ATCAATAGAGAAAGCTTTCATAACTGATTAAGTTGAATAACCTCGAATTGTACACAATTATCTATTCTAAATACTATTTTCAGTTAGTGTTAAAAAAAAATGAGATTTTTCTTAAAAGGTCGTCACAGTATTTATTTATTTTTATATCTACTTTAAAACTGTAATGTTTTAAAATATCTTCCTATATGCACGTAGACAAAGTCCTCTTTAAGTTTTGTAGTATGTGAATTTTCTCTAAACCTAACCAGCCAATAACTAGTTGTGCTGATTGGTTAATTATTACTCATATGTTCCAACATAATATATAAAAAAAAAGTAACATAACTTGCTAGAAATGCTACTTGTTTTTTTTTTAATTTAAACGTTTCTTATTTTTTTAGTTATTACTAACATCAGCCAAATTTTCTTTTCGAAATATATGCCAGATTCCCATCTTTAATTAAATTTATTAGCTGTACAGATGAATATGTTCACCCTAAATCCATCTTCCCTGTCCCCTTATCTCTTTCGTTTTATTGATACCATATTATTATTGCGCTGTTGGACAAAAAATTAAACATTTATGGCTTATTAAAATTCAGTGGACCAATCATTAACTACTAAATTATCTTTAAGGAATTACTAAATATGTAATGATTTCTTAAATAATTAAAGAACGATTATGCAAACCAGCATATAAGAGCAAAGCGTTTGAATTCACAACAGCTATATTAAAGATTGTAGTGTTTTTTTTTTTAAATATTTTAAACGATGATTGTGTGTGTTGATAGGACTGGTGTATTATTTTTATGTTGTACAATCTGTATAATGTGTAATTACGTTCTCGTATTTGGATTTTGCAAACCGTCCAACGATAACGCCATTAATACGGATACAATTTTATTATGACGTTTATTTTGGTTTCCGACGTGCGAATTTCACTGCGTTTCGTGCTTATCGTTCATTCGGTGTTGTTGTAGACTAAAACGAATATTGCAGTAGTCGCTCACCATATCTATGTACAATATGTGAAATACATTACTCGAACTCTTTAGGTTACCCAGTAACAAATACTAGTACCTAATTTACTTTACCTTTTTTACTTGATAACTTATTATTAGAGCTCGGATGTTGATGACCATTAATGTATTGGAGTACGCATTTAAAAATGTCAAAAAATGCGCCTTTATTTGAAATCGACTAAAAATGTTTGCCGAGTTTTCGAATAGCCGACTTTTATAATTCAAATAACATTTACATAAATTAATTTGAAAAGGTATTTTATGTATTAGAATAACATTGAATTACAATTATATTGATGTTTTTTAATTTAAAAGAACAATGACAATTATTTTTGCAATTCTGGTTGTAAAATATTGTCTGAAATTTCTTAAATTTACTTTTTCTAAAATTTTGTATAATTTTCTTTAGCTCATAATTGTACACACGATAAAAAATAATGATAAAATGGAACATCTGTTTTAATTATACTTACAAATGTGTGCTATTAAATCTAGAAATAATCATAAGCAAATATAGCATTATAAGTTTGCCGATTTGTAATCTAGTCTTTGTTAATCGAATTTATATCTTAGTATTTGGGTGTAAATTAGATTTTACTAAAAAAATATGTAGTCATAAACATCCTAGCTTTAGTGATGACTAATATCATCTATGTAGTATAGTATTGTTTCTGTTTTCCCCCTTCATATAACATCTATCTATAACTAATGAGTTACTATCGTGTATTATTTATAACAAAAAGTTCAGAAAAAAATAACATTTTATTCCCCCCATCTCAAAAAAATGTCCAAAATTAAATTAGTTTTTCAGACAATTATTTTACACTTATATTAAAAAATATCAAAACATATTGTTTTTACTGTGTTAATACTCATTACCTCTAGAACTTTTCCGAAACAAATAGATTTCATTTGATCCGATAAATTAGTTTGTAGCGACTAAAATGTGATTTTTGTCTAAAACCTAGCAATTAATAAACTTAACTAGAAGTCAGTGTACAGTTTATAGAAAAGGTTACGTGGTGAAATAAATGGACTAATGGACTGCTTGTGCTAGGCGTTTAAATAAACGTTGGCAAGACAAAATAAGGAAAGAACGATTATCTAACTCCCGTAGTAACATTAAATTAAACAAAGAGATCGCCGCGTTTAATAAAAATGATAAAATATGTCCTACTTATATTTTATGCTTACTAATAAAAACTCCTTAATTTATTTTATTGAGAATGAATGCCGAAAATTGTACTTATCCACAACATTCTGGGTCACGAACTCGACTTTAATTGTTCACCCTTTTTACGTACCATTTCGTGGTCGTAACTTAGCATAGAGTACTTCGTGTCCATTTTTTATTATACTCTAGCATTATGATAACAATCTTTAGTAAGTATATATGCGATATATACTTATAAGTTATATAATATTACAATCCACCAACTTAATGGTCTGGGGTTATCTTAATAGGCTTAGAAGGTCAGATGTAAATCGTAAGGGTAAATCTGCCCTTGATGATGTAGACAAATGCACACAAACTGTCTACGAATGTAAACAGTTTAACCATTTAGTTCCCAAATTAAATTTAGAGAATATTTTACCTTTTTACATTTTTATCGTATAATAAACATGTTTTCCTATTAAGTTAAATCGTATCACATGTCTAAGTAATATCACATATAGCTATAGATAATACTCATCGTCCGGTTGCACGTAAGCATTCTGTATATGGAGCTCGGCACCTGTAGCGAGTTTTGATTGGACGCGGACGACAGCTGAAGTGTTGCGGAGATGCTTAATATCCGTGTCTCGGTTAACGGTGCAGTCGGTTGGGCTCTTTTTCGGCATGAGGTTGGTTAGATCTCGAATCTCGAGTTAGTACTTTTAGTACTTAAATTTTTTACTTTTTATTCTCAAATTTAAACTTAGTTTAACTTGAAATCCGTGACCTCCCCCTAAACTGTAGCCTGTAAACCTAGGATATTTTTAGTTAATAGTGAATCTACGGCGCCGAGCAAGCGAAGCGAAACGCAATTATATATGGTATCATGTTGTTGGCGTTTTGATGATAAAACAGCGGTATAATAATTTAGTCTCTGAGTAACCTATATATATATATATATATATAATCTAAAAAATTGTCACCGGTAGTGTCATAGTTTAAATCGAATAAACAATCTCAATTTAAACTCTTAGTCATTACTTAGTTAATCATTACTCATAATATGTTCTAGTATACTGAACATGTATTACTTACTAAAATAATTACACCCGTTTTTTTAAATGTTTTATTATTTGTTTTTTAGTTATTAGTTATTACTAACATCAGCCGATTTTTCTATTCGAATTATGCGCCATATTAAATCTATTAGCGGTTTTAAGACTGATAAAGACAGTTATAAATAATGTAGACGTGGACAAATTAACACTATTAAAAACGAAATCCATAGTAGAAAACGATATATATCGCTATATAGCACTAGTCTAATTGTCAATGTCATATCTAAGGATACGTAGTACCCAAAGGGGGACTACCTCTTCTTGGTAGAAATGACCTTACCGCTTAGGGTATTAATAATTTATTATATTCCGACTTTTTTACCATCGTCGACGAAGGAGTTGAATCGATATTAAATAAGCACAAAATAGTATTCGACGACGGTTTGGGTAGGCCCTGGACACTGAAAAAAATTAACACGGAGAAGATACTTAACACACAAAAACGCGACGGCCATCTTTTTAAGGCTACACCACTATAATGTTATATCTATAGATTATTATTTTTAGTTGTTTATAGATATAACACATAATAATAAAAATGGTCGTTACTTATTTTGTTTACATTCAAAATGACCCTTCTGCTTTTATCTAGTCTGTGGTTTGGGTACCTTTAACTTTTATCAAGTATCTCTAAGAGTGAATGCCCGCCCGGTCCATTTAGCTCTTAGAAAAAAAAGTGGAAGAGGAGATAGAACGTTTAGTGTCTACAACATACTGGTAGATCCGTAGACCTTAACAAGTGGGCCACTCCATTAGTCCAGACCGCTAAAAGCGACGGTATAGGAAGATTGTGTAGTGACTTTAAAATCACAGTTAACCCAGTGTGTTAGCGGTGACCGAATAACCTCTTCTACCACCTGTAGCCAGGGCTGGTTATTTCTCTAATGTAGATATGAAGGACGCATATCAAAAGCAGCTGTTAGTACTTGATTATAAATCACAAACCGCCATAACCAGCTAGCCACGTAATAAAAAGAAAAGAGCACGCCCGGCAACCTGGTATATTTACAGGAACCCGTCAAACTCTCCATTCCGTGCTGTTTATCGATCATTTCTGTCAACACCTGTAGATTGAACAAAGTGCAATTACAATAAAATTTGCATGCAAATGTTGCGTGAATGATAGTTAATACTATTGTGAAACTTAAAAGTTGGTCATCCGATACATACAACTAGAAAATAACGCAAAAGTAAACAAAAATAACTAGTGCGTAAAACATAATAAAAACGAGACTTGCTAGTAAATATAAGCTAATATTTTGTTATTAGACTGCGATAGATCCTTCTCTTTGTTGTGTTGTGGTTAGTATACTTCCTCACTCACCAACATCTTTTATTTGCACTTTCATGTTTGTCTATGATAAAGTTGGGTTTTTTCATTTAACGGAGTATGATGTACAAATATTGTAACACTGTTTTCAAAGAAGGTGGTAGAGTGTGGTGAAGTTCATCGCCATTTTGTGATACACACAAATACGGTTGCCAATATTTATAAAATATAAATTAGGTCGATATTGTTAAAAAATTACTTGTTTAAAACAAAAGTTCTTAGTTGGCACTTTTCTTAGTAGGCTTTTTCAATGCAGAATTTAAACCTAAATTATTAAAAGACATACATTTTGTGTATGTAAGGTATAAAAGGGAGAGTGCAGAGCGAAGCCCCCTCAAAAAGAAAGAGGACTATATAATCTGAATTATTAATGTGTTTCTTAATTATTTTTTAAGGTATACTAAGCGATATTCAAAAGTATTTCAATATTGGTGACGATCAAGGTGGATTATTACAAACAGTATTTGTTATAAGTTACATGATATTTGCCCCAGCGTTTGGTTATTTGGGCGATAGATATAATCGAAGGCTATTAATGGCATTTGGCGTTTTCTTGTGGTCAATAACCACATTAGTTGGTTCTTATATGGATGTTAGTAATAAATAAACATATTTCATACAATACGGTCTTTGTTATTAATGTTTGTTATTTTACAGGGCTACTACCAATTTTTATTTTTCCGAAGTCTAGTCGGTATTGGTGAAGCTAGTTATTCAACAATCGCACCTACAATAATAAGTGACATGTTTGTAAAAGACTTGCGTTCCAAAATGTTGGCCCTTTTCTATTTTGCTATTCCGGTTGGAAGGTACAATTATTATAAATAACAAATCAAACATTATCATGTAATTCTATTTTATTTATTGTCAGTGGTTTGGGGTACATTATTGGTTCAGAAACAGCAAAAGCTCTTGGCAGTTGGCATTGGGGATTGCGGGTTACTCCCCTTCTAGGTATGATCGCTGTTGTAATGATTTTATTTGCTATGGAAGAGCCTGAACGTGGACAAAGTGAAGGTTACGCTCACACGACGTCAACAACATCGTGGTCCGAGGATATAAAATTACTAACAAAAAAGTATATTAAAAATTCATATTTTGCCATAAATTACTTTTTTTTACATTAAAAAATAATTTTTTTCAACAGCAAAAGTTTTATGTTGTCCACTTGTGGATTTACTTGTGTGGCCTTTGTCACGGGCTCATTAGCTTGGTGGGGTCCGACAATAATGTTTTTAGGACTGAAACTACAATCGGGCCATAATGAAGTCGATTTAAACAGGTTAGAATTGGTATTTCAAATTATATTTATACATTTAACTAATTATATTAATTTTTTTAGTGTATCATTAAAGTTTGGAATCATAGCCATGTTAGCTGGCCTTATTGGTGTGCCATTAGGTTCTTATTTATCTCAACGTCTCAAAGTGTCTTACCCAAAAGCAGACCCGTTAATTTGTGCTGGAGGTCTTCTCGTATCGGCTCCTCTTTTATTTTTGGGCTTAGCATTAGCAGATAGATATTATCTGCCTGTACTATTTTTAATATTTTTTGGCCAAGTATCAATTAATCTGAATTGGTCAATTGTCGCTGATATATTACTTGTAAGTATAGTTTTTAATCCTGGTATAAGACAATTACAGTTTTTACTTAGTTATAACTATTTTATGTTTTAGTATGTAGTAAGTCCTATAAGGCGTTCTACTGCAGAAGCTTTTCAAATATTGATATCGCATGCATTTGGCGATGCAGGAAGCCCATATCTCATTGGAGTGGTAAATATCAACTTTATTTCAATGATTCATGACTGATTTTTATAGTATTATTTGACGCTTATGCTGACATATTATCTGATGTTTTTGGGAGTCAAGGTTTTTCCTGTCTTGACCAATTGCTTATAAAGGATAAAAGGGATTTTAAAAATTGTAAAATGATTCCCCATTCAGTTGCTCTCAAAACGACTTAATACGTTTTTGGTACTAGACTTAGACAACAAACTTATCTAAAGAATTTTTCTCTTATTGAAATATTTTTAAGAATATTATGCCAAAGGCAAAACAAGAAAAGAAGTAGAACGCTGTTAAATGGGTAAACTAATCTAGAATTTCTACTTTCTAGAGGGTAAATCAGAATTATGATTAGTAAGTGTTAATTAAATGTATTAATTGAATATTATTTTATTTTATATTATATTTTAAACGGGATAAATGTAAAACACAAATTATAAAATTACATAAGTATTCTGACACAAGAAAGTAACAGTTTTAATTTTTAATAAAACATGGTTAATAGGGAAAATAAATTGAGGTCATTATTAGCGATTCGTTACAAAATAAAATATTTTGGTGTAATTAGAGGAAATGATACAAATAATTAAATACTAATTGAATTTAAAATAAATGAACTGATAACTCCCAAGTGATTTTTTTTTAGATTTCGGAAATGCTGAAAAAGTTGTTAACAAAAGGAGCCATACCAGTTGTTCTGTCGTCGGTGGTTTTAGTTAGCAATAACTTAAATGACAATAAAACGTTAGAAGATGACCGAATTGTTTTTCGCAGTCTACAATATGCATTGTTTATAACGAGTTTTATTGAAATACTTGGAGGGCTGTTTTTCTTTTTCACCGCATATTATGTAATAGAAGATAAAGAATTAGCAGAATCAGAAACTCCAGGTTGGCCTAACTACACTCCTATTGTTAACTAATAGTTTAGCTGAATTTTTTTTTTTGAGATGTTTTGCAACAAACATTACTAATTTCGTATTATTATTTATTTGTTTTGATTTAAACTTTTTTTTTCTTAATTTAATTTATTGATTTTTACTCAATTTAGAAAATCATTTTTGTTATTGTGTTCTTGTAATTTTATCATGGATTATTGGTTTTTTTACTTTAACTGCTTGGGGTTTTCAATGGACCTCCATCTACGCCTATTGTTTTTTCTCTTTACATTTTAAACTTATTCTACTGTAACTGAGGGCTAAATAATTGAATTACTTATTTGAGTATATGTCATGTGTGATAGTGTTTGTAATTTATGTAATATATGTTGTACTGTGATATATTAGTATAATTATTGTTGGGCATTTTTTTTTCCAATATTATTGGGGTCAAGATGAACAACAACTATAGTTTGGGACAAATACTGTCTAATAAACTTATAATTGTTACCAAACTTTAAGTTATTTGGTAATTTTTTGATACAATCTATTCAACTTTTTTTCTCGTTTTCAACTAACTAAAGCAGGATCTTTCTGGATTTTCTGAATATATACAAATATATGTAATGTATATCTTACATTTGTTTATCTATGATGTAGGAAATAATAATAAGGATAATGAGTCTTCCATTTTAACATTTATAGTATACTCTGTTTCAAGAAGAATAACCAATGCAAAAACTAAAACGCGTTATTTCTGCTCTGTCCGCCCACCCGAGGGATGTAACGTGTTTTAGTTTCTGCACTGTTTATTCTCTTTACTGAGTATAAAGTTAACATCTGATATTTTTGTATGAATGTTAGTTAAGACTTGTAAAAATTAATGAACAGTGATAGAACGTGACATAAAACTGTGCAACCTTATTCAGACAATAATTATAGTCTTTATTCTTAATAACAATCAATATTTTATCTAATTATCTTGATTACCTGGGTAGGTGACTTTCTAATTAAACATTTTATACAGTTTACTTTTACCCAGTTTTTTTATGAGAGAAAATATAAACAAGAAATTTGATGATATAGTATATAATATACATTTTTTTTATCAAAATTTCTAAAACTCGTGTTAATAAAGTTTATTTGAGAAAAAAATTGTTGTCTAAAAGTGATAAATGTATTTTAAACCTGTTACCTGTAACTCTAAAGAAATGTTTTAATATTTGACTGCTATAAGTATATAGCTATATATATATAGTTAATATTTTCAAACTAAAAATATTCACTTGTTAAACTAAAAGTGTTGACTATTATTAGTACATTAGGACTATTTATATGTTTGATTGTCTTTTATTTAACACAAATTGAAATTTCAGCAGAAAATACCCAGAATATTGTCTCAAGGCACATTTACACTGCAGCGGATGAAACAACTTTACATGGTCATTCCAATCCTCATTTTGTTGCCTAACTTAGTTAATTAAATAATAAGTCCTCTTGCCATACATATTAGATGAATAATAATAATATATATATATATATAATAAATATTCACAAATTTACTTGATGTGTACATTTTAAAGACTAGCACATGTAAAAAATCAAATTTTTTACTGTATTGATAAACATATATATATTTGTACAGTATTTATTTAGAATAATTTATTTTTCTACACGCCTATTATAAGCTATCTATATTTACTATTTATACAAATTATCTGTGATATGAAAACAAATTGTAATGGGTAAATAAACTAAATTAATATACAATTTTTTAAATTATTTTGTATAAGTATAAATAAGTCCAATATTTAATTGTGTAAATTAAGTAATATGAACTTCAAAGATAGTTAACAAAAATTAAATGTTTTTTTTTTGTTTATGTATTAGCAGCTAGTTAGTATTGATAACTGACTAATAAAACATAAATTTAAAATAAGCGGATGGTTTTGTTTTCATTTTTTAAACTATGTTTCATTATTATTCTAATAGTACTGTTTTATAAATATTTCAATATTGTAACCACAATGACTCCAACAAAATTAATATCGGAATATTTCTTACTGCTCGAATCCAAGAAAGTCATCAATCAGTATGACCAAAGTAAGAGTAATACTTTGTTTTAGGTGGGAGCTCGCCATTCAGTGAGTAAAAAATATGGGTCAGATACAACCTCTTTTCCAATTGCATTTCTCGCTCAACAAGATATTTTTATTATGTGCCAACTTGTGAGCAGTAATTTCTATCAAAATTGTCTTACTTTATACAACTATACTTAAGGGACTTCTACACTAGCATTCAATAAAGTGTGTTGTATAGACAATTTTTAACTAAAACTTTACATTAAATTAAAATTTGTAAACACTGGGAGAAGTACCAATTATTATATTTCATTTTTTTCTTAACTTGTAACATAAACTTATTTTTGTACAAAACTTACGTTTCTATGTTTATTTATACAACTCGAATGTAAGTGATGAAAAATCATGTAACATTTAAAAAGGTATATCCATCGTGGTAAAATTTTAAAATAATACTAAAAAAGAAATTAAAGATGAACTCAGATTCATACAACAAGTAAATATTGAAAAATCTATATTCAGTTTTAAAACTGTTGACAGATTACAAGTCTCAGAGTACTGTTAAAATTAGATCAGGTTGTTTTCGACCAAAATATGCTGATGTAGAGACCCCTTAACTTTTTTAAGTGTAGTAAAATATCTTAAATACTTTTTTTAGAAACAGTTACATAAAAAATAAATTTTTATTGTATTATATATATATTAATATATTGTGACATTTTTTTTCAAATTTGGAAAAGAGTTGTAAGGATTATTAGCTAGTACATTTTATTAAAAAATAATGTTAGTAACAGAAGTAATATCTACTTAATAATTAGTTAACATTTATTTAAAAAAAAAATCATAAAATGTGTGTTAAGGTATCAAATGTTGATATATATTAATTATAGCGAAGGCATTACAGTTTTGAGCTATTCACTGTGATACTAAAAACATGCTTTTTCATTCCAGCCAATCGATTATAAACAACATAAAAATTATAAAAAACATAATATTTTAATATATTATTTCACAAGGTGTTGTGAATTCCTAAGCGGAATATATCATGAGCACAATAGAAACTATTACCAGCTGGTTTCAGCACAAATACTTGATTGAACTGATGAACTGGATCTTCATCACACTATTAAAAAAAAACAAGTTTATATCAGTATAATAAATAAAAAAAATCCTTATAGTTCCAATATTACCTGTAGACGACCCAAGACGTTTATTAAAATACCTCCATCGAACATGGGTTGAGAGTCCACAGAAGTTATATCTCGAGAAATTTTTTGAAATGATAAGCTCTAAAAATATAATATTTTTAAGTATATAAATAATAAATAAATATTGTACAACATGATACACATTATTTTTATTCCTTTTTATGTTACTTATTTATAATAATGTACTTATATGTATGATTGAGTTATAAAAAATAAAGTAATATATATACACAAGTCATGCATGAGGTTCTTTGATGAGGAGGAGGAGAGTATTCCCTATTCACTCACACAATTTGTTTTTTTTTTCGACTCAATCAGTACTTGGTTTTCGAATTTTTGGGAAATTTCAAATGTGCGAAAAAAAAACCCGTCATTAAATAGTTTACGTCATGATATGGCTGTTGTTTACAACGATTGTTGCTATGTAGCTACTAAATTATGTGTAACAGTATCGCATTACATTTTTAGCATTAAAAAAAAAAGCATCACACAAATTTTCAACTGACCCTCGACTTAAAACTATATTCATGTTAAAAATTACTCATATAAAACCTTTTTGGTTTTGATCAAACAAAAATTATTTTAAGTTTTTATATTTCTTGATTGCCAGTAGCCAGATTTAGAGGGGTTGGGGTGAGGTAACTTAATAGTAACATAAACATTTAATAATTATGGACGGGAGGTGAAGTGCGGTTGAGTAATGCGTGCAGATAAAAATAATACTACTCGCTACCATTACTCCTGTCTTAATAATTTAATCTGTTATTAAAAATAAAATATTGATGATACTAAAAAATGCAATTCCTTAAGGTTTTAATTTATCAAGTTATGTTAAGTCTATACTGGTGGTAGTTCTAGAATATATCAATAATATGTAATAACACTAGATATCGTTAGACAGCATTACACAGAAAGCTGACAAGACACCATATTTATTAGTTTATTATTGCACACCTATCTAAATTAATAACAACAATTTGGAAAAATAATTAATAGCGATAAATAAACGAATTTTAGATAACTTACATTAAATTTTTCCATTATTTTATTTGCACCCTGAAGTGGAACGCCTTCAAATGACATAAATGATGTTTCTGGCTGTTAAACATACAAATAAATTACATAGTACCATTTGTTATTATTTAATACATTGAAACATTTCATAATGGTTAACTCACGTTGTACATTGTCACTAACGAGGCCCTCTGGGCCGCGTCATCGAACATTAGATAATATTGTTCAACGAATCCTTTACCGATGGCTTCGTATTGTGGATTTAATGCCATGATTTGAATTTACACTATTAGCTGGCGTTGGCGCTTAAACACGAAGAAAATGCATAGAAAAAGATCCAAGAAAGTAGTAAAATTAATAAAAATGGTTTTAAAAAATCAAAAAGTGATTTGGGTTATTTTCACGATGCGATAGACCGATAGACGTTATATTATTTTGCTGATGGTTTTTTTTTTAACTTGTACCGTGGTTGCAGCTTTGTACGGTATTGATAAGAAATAGCCAGCAGCAGCTCCGGCCGGATAAAATATTATATTGTTTATCATCTAAATCCCCTCCTACCATGACGGTGTTCGGTGAGTGAGTGAGTCATGCAAGGCATGACTTATTATGGTGCAAGCCAAGCAAGGTTTTTAGATTATAATCTGTTAACATTGCTGTAACTTGTAGTGAGTAGTGACTAGTGGCGGTCGGAATTCGCATACGGAGGGTTGGAAGGTCCGTCACAAAATTGGTTTCACGAGGGTTACCCTCAGTAAGCTCCTCGACAAAAACACTACTAGGGGTACCAACTTATATAGTATACTATTGCACGATTATTGCTCGTGTATTCGTTGCAGCTGAGCAGCCAGTATCGTATTTTAAGAAAAGGAAAACTTGTGCACCAACCAAATACCAATGTACTATGCAAAATTCTGAACGCCCATTACCAATTTGTTAGAATAATAATTGCTTTTATTATTTTTAGAATTATTAGGAATATTAACAAACCATTCTCCTTTTTTTTTTAAAAAATAAACATACTTGGAATTCACTTGTTTATAAGATGTCAAATCTTACATTTTAGGTATAATAATAAAACATATATATAAATTCATTAGTTATAAGACCAAAAGCCTATATTATGTTTTATTAAAATCAATTTGACTCAAATAAGTTAAGTAATTTGTTATATAAGAGCGTACATATATTTTAATCTATATAAATGTAATGCGAATTTACAACGGAGATAAGTTAGTCTGAATAATAATTAGAATATAACATATTTTGTCTTTAGGATTTATATCTTTAGGGTTTTCAATTTTTATTTTTATTACTATCGAGTTATTTAAAAGTTGTGTACAGTGTAGTGTGTTATCACTTGACTGTTGACACTAATTATTATTGCAAATTTGCAATGTCTAATCTTTTTTTATAATCTGACTCTAGCGAAGTGGAATATGATCAATAGTATTTTTTAAAACTAATTGTAAGTCATAAGTGCTTAGTACACTATAATGAATAAAATTATGTATAATTTTTGGGGATACGTTTTAACACCTAGATAACACAACATTTACTTTTTGGTAGGCTAAATTTATGGATTTCTTAAAAGTAATTCTCTTCATATTTATATTTTAAATTTTAATGGCATTCTTAACCGGGAGTAAACACAGATTATATGAAAACCAATTGTTCATTCGGGATGTTGATAAACAAATGAGCTGATAATGTCTTCGCCGAAACCACGATTTAAGATAGATTCTATTTTAAATCGTGGCCGAAACTAATGCAATATTATAAAAACATTTTGTAAATTGAATAATCGTGTAGTTTATACACGTCACTTCCCTATTTATTAAGATAAATCCTTAATAAAAGGGGGTATAGAAAATGTTTTGCAAAATGTAAAATTTAAAGGTTACAATGTGTTGTGTAATTATTAATTTTATTTTTCTAAAAATACCGTCGAGAAACCTAGTTAAAGTTCTCTTTTAAATGGTATCAAAATTATTTTTCTATGACCATTTCGCTTGAACCTACACCTTTTTGCCAAGTCATCTTAAGTCTTAAGAGATAGCGTATAGAGCTAACTACTGCGTAAAATATAGGCCAACTGTAAAATTTAAAAAAAATGTAAATTACATTTATAATATCTATAATATTCACAAACTACTTTCTCGTAAAAACATAATTTTTAGTCTCTCGAGTTTAACGCTTCCCAAATTTAAGAGACCTAGCTAAGACTTAAACCTCTGGCCTCTAAATTCTAATAATCGGCTATATATAAAAAAAAAATATATAGTACATAATTGATCCCTTACAATCATGAGCCCTGAAGAAGTGTTCCTCTTTTCAACAACGCAAATTCCATCACAGTCAGCTAAAAAAATTTTAATGTTTAAAAAATATTTTACAATCTTTAAAGCCAGAAAGTTAAAAGTTTTACAAATTTCTGTTTGAATATTAGGAAAATTTTTTAGTGATTTAACAATAATTTGTAAAAAAATGTAATAGTCATTAAAATTCTAAACAAAAAAATATTAAGTTATATTTTCATACTGTCTGGGGTCCAAATAACCAAATAGGTTATGTATCTAATACAACATTTGTTGTAAATCATAGAAATATGTTTGTTGTCATTTTGAGGTATTATAAAATTAATAAATATAAAACTGTATTTATTTACTTAAGCTCTATCAACTTTTGAAATTTAAATGGTAATGTATGTACTTAATTTATGCTAAACCAACTGGTCTACGTGTGTCTATTAGCACTTTTTTTATTGCAATTTAATTATCCAAGACAACTTGGACGTAATATTAGGTAAAATGAACGTAAACTCCTCAGTTGACAATGAAATATAACAAATTTATTGCTCCCATATCAAAATAATTTTACAATTATAAAAGGTATGGGGATTTTTAATGAAAAAAAAACCCAAATGTCGTTCTTACTTTGTTATGTTATATTAATCATATGAAAATAAAAATAAAAATTCTTCTTTTGGAAATTTAATGATGCTAGAACACATATTATACGATTTTATTCACAAACTTGAAAATATTTTTATAAATCAATTTCCATTAATTTAAACAGTAAAACAAAAGCAAATCACATTTAACAAAACAAACAACTATTATTCGAGAATAAGTTAATAGTTATAAGACTAACCAGATACCTACAATAACAGTAGCTTTTTAAATTTTAAAATAATATGGATTTTAATTTAGTTTGTACAGGAACAAAGAAATTTTAATTGTTTTAATTTGAATTAAAAGTTCAATGTTCGTCTAATTACTACATAGTATGATGATTGTCGAAATTAAAGACAAAAGGCAAATTTAATTATAATTTACTTCATACCTCCACCTTAAGCAGTTGGATTAAAATGTTGATTTTGTTGCGCTCATGTAACTGCGAATGCTTTATTTTAAAAATACATAACACAATAACTATAAAGTATTAATTTTTTAAAGTACATAAAATAATACTGATATAATTATTAATAGAATTGTTATAAAGGCCGTCTTCTTTGTTCATGTATAATTTATAAGAGAACATAAAAAAACTATATCGGAGGAAAGTATAACAAAAAAAAAAAAAATTATTTGTAAAAAAGGTCTATATTAATTATTTACAGTTTATATCACGAAAGTTAATTAAAATGACCATATACAACAACATCAATTTTACAAGTACAATGCAAATAAATTTTAAAAAAATGATTAAAATTACAATATACAACAAAAAACTATACAATGAATTTGTACAATATAAATATTCTGGTGCACCAAATATTTATACAAATTTGTCATTTTCAATTTTATTTATTTCAATTGATCTATACATATTACATTTGTTTAAGAGTTATTTTTGCACCATAATACATAAATTATTATATTATGTATACAGAGTATTTTCTATGAAGAAAAAAAATAAGTTTAGCAGTCACAATTTTCACACGAATCAATCAAAATTAAATATTAAGTTCTGTTTTAAATTTTAAAAAAAGAAAGTATTATTAATTAAAATGTAAAAACATTTTTTTTACCGTTTAAAATTATTTCTTAAAAAAAAAAAAAAAAAAATGATCTTAGATATCATTATCTTTAACATAAAAGAGCTATTATTTACGACAATAATGGTAACAGCCTACATCTAAGATTTAATTACAGAATTTTTTTATCCCTATTTTATACATACATATAATATATATGTATATATATAAATATATTTAAATTACGTAGTGCATAATGCAATTTTACGTAACGATTTTAACAAATCATCAATGTGATCGACAAGGAAAATAAAAAATATTAATTACGTCACCAGACAGTTCAATATTGTTAATTTCATTTATATTAAAATTAAATTAAAATCAATAATTTTCTTTGAAACAAATTTTTATAATGAACAAAAAATTCTATAAATATTAGTCTGTTAATAGTAAAAATGGATAGGTAATGTAAACCACATCTCGTAAAAAAAAAAAAGTTTTTAATTTTAAATACTTTTTTAAGGTATCCACCACATATCAAGTTGTGCGAGGTGTATGTGAATTAGGCGATGAAGGTATTGTTAGAACAGTTGGTTGCTGTTGTTGTGGAGCCATGGATACAGCAACAATAGAACCAGGCTGTCCTGATGAACTTTGAACACGTAACTGACCTTGACGAACAGACATTGGTTGCCCTTGTTGAAATACCACCTTTAAAAAATAATTTTAATAAAGCAAATACAATAAATCAAGACAACGATAAGGCCCGATTTCACCAGCGAGGCTTAATCAGTCAATCGCGGTTAGCTGTTAACCGTCTAAAATTGGCTGGTTAAACGGACGGCAAACGGCTAATACGATTACACCAATGATTTGAAAATCGGGGTTTTACATAATATGAGTAATTAATTTAAGCTGATGTATAACAGTTGTGTATAAATTAAAAAGACATTTTACCTGAGAAAGTATATTAGGAGAATGGCCAGTTGTGCCAGTCGTTTTAAATACATTACTCAAGGAGCATGGCTGAAGTGAAGAGCGTACACCTTCTAAACCAACACCAGATGTAGTTCGTAATGTTTGGACTGGATTAACAACCTTAAAAATAATATTTAATAAATACAAAAATATAATGAACTTATCTATTGAACAATGTGACTAATTAACATTATTAATGTTTTATAAAAATATAAATACCTGAATTGCCTGTTTTAATGATGTTTGTGTTGTTACTACAGGTAAAACCCTCGTAAGTCCAATATTAGAAGACTGACCTTGACTTTTTGCAATAACATGAGATATTACTTGGCCACTACTAGAATTGGACTGCATTGCTGTTATATTTGCACCAGACACCTGTGAATATAAAGTTCAATATAATTTATCAACAACCTTTATTTTGTTTCCAAAAGTAAAAAAAACTTACATTGACATTCTGAATATTTTGCTGCTTCATCATAGTTTGTAATTGTTGCATGGTCATTGTACTCGGGACACCTTTAGACTGCACTATAAGTTGTGTTGGTACTCCAGTTTTACCAGTAACCTTTCATAGCAATGTATAAATAATAAGGTTATAAAATAGATAAAAATAAAATTATTTACCACAACTTGACTCAGCTGAGTAACTTTTTGGGCTGGTATTTTGCGATGGGCTAACATGGGCTGCTGTTGAAGAGTAAGATGTCTGAATTGTTGTTGTGGCGAATTGATGTTCTTTGTAGAAGCAGCAACTGTCAAAGCATTTTTAGAACCGGCAGAAAGCATTAAACTTTGTATGGATGTCTTAACTATTGACGGACCCGCAGACGAAATTGTGGATTGAGCTGACCCTGTTTGGGCTTGCTTTTGTTGAAGTAGTTGATGTCTTTTAATGAAATTTGTTACATCAGTATCAGTTATATTCCTAGTGTTTATTGTGGTTTTAGGCCGAACGTTAACTGTGGTTGGAGTTTGAGATGTTTGGACGGGTATGATATTGGCAGTGGAAGTTTTGGTAGCTCTCGCGCTAACCATTTTAACTTGTTGTTGTCGAGCAATATTTTGTTGCTGTTGACGATACATTTGTATTTGGGACTGAGTGATAGTTTTGTTCATTGTAGTGACTAAAAAAATATAAATAATACATTAAAAAAACACAAAATTAGGACTGTTTTATTGTTTTAGCAATAACACGATCATAAATTAAATATATTTTAGATGGGCAATGCCTGTTTGATGATTTAATACTTTTTTTTATTATTATATAAAAGTTTAAACTTTACGAAATCCTGAAATCCAGGTATAATGCTTTAGATTTGAATATTAGTGTTGCTAATCTATAATTCTATCGATTTCTTAAACCATAAACCTAATCTGTACTTTTAATTTCTAAAACCAGTTTAAAAACCAAACCATTAACTATTAGAAAAAAAACCCCAAATTTTAGAAACCAGTTATAAAACTGATAAATTACAAAAACAATGATTAAAACCTACTGTGATAAATAATTAAATATATATTGTTCTTCTTTATTTAAAATTTTAATAATATTGTACGATAATATTCTATTAATAATATTATTTAATATATTCTACAATATAACCTCCAAATATATTTATCAAACTATTTACATACAAAGCAATGATTTTTGTTAAGCGGTTTAATTTTGTTTTTTTTTCAAATTAAAAATCAAACATATAAAACCAAATTGACCAAAACAAACAAATTTTTTTTAACCATAATTAATATTTTATAATATAATATATACCCTTTCCAGTAGTTGAAGAAGCCTGAGTTACTATTGAAGCTTGAGTAAAATTTAACGCTCGTTGAACAGCAGCTGAATAATGAACAGACATTGGTACAACTTTAGGACTTGTTTGTGGTATATTTTGTACATTTGAATCCTGAAAATTGTATCATATAGCACCACCATATAAACACTAAATACGAAGTTGTTAATACTTGAACGATTGAAGGGGAGGTCATAATTATACGGTGTTGAGTAGCAGTTGAAGGTCTAATTGATGCAGGGCTAACAACGGCTGTTTGTGTTGAAGGTAAGGAGTTTGGCAGCTGTATGGATTTTACAGCTTGTGGTTGCTGTTGTTGTAATCTAATGGATGCTGGTGATTCTGCTAGTTGTTGCTGCTGTTTTTCACGGATCATACGATCTGTACGGCGACTTATAACTTGCATTGGTCCCAAGGGTACATTGTAGTCCACATCATAGTTCTCTTTCAATATATTAATATGACTAGCATTCGGAATTAATGGTGTATTGGCTGACTGACTAGGAGTGGATTGGCTATTAGTTCTGCAGAGAGGTTGTCGTTTAGCAGCTACAGATAATAAACCATTAAACCTCGATATAAGTAGCTGAGTATGAGTTCGGTTGCCATCTGATGTATAAATTTGAGATGTACGTAAGCCACGATTGATTTTCTAAAAAAACAAAACAAAAGTTTTTAAATATTTATCATACTGAAGTCCTATTATAAGTCATATTATTTACTTTTTTCTGTTTTTTTAACAACTGTTCTTGCAACATACGGCCTTCTTCTCGATTTATTATAACAGATTCGTAGCTAAAAAAAAACCTTGTTAATTGATTTATAAAGATCAATAATTTACTTTTAAAATATTAAAATTAAAGTATAATTATTTTGAAAAAAAACATTTGTATTTAGAGGTTGCTGGTGGACATTTTATAAGTGTTCCCAATGACATTTATAACTATTGATTTTCATAAAAACGACATCAAATTTTCATGTGACATTTTTACAATCCAATCAAACATAAAAATCATACATTTATATGTCTTTTGATTGGTTAAAAATAAACAGTATTATATTATCTTAAATAAGGTTCTTGGAAAACTCGATTATCGTAATATCACAAAATACTTTTTGTTTCCAGATTTTTGTGGATTTATATGTTTGTTTGGCTTTTTACTAGAAAAAATTTCACTTAATGGTAACTCAGTTGAGTTAATCATCTATAGAAATACTTAATAATTACTAGTACATCATCGATATTATTGTAAAACATAATTTATGAAATATAAGTTACAAAACCATTATTTTATTAGAAGAATATCTACATAGTCTCTGTAGGACCTAAGATCCTATTATATATAAGGTAATGTAATACTTGAATTAGTGTGTTATTATAGTTAAAAATGTCATTGGTACGCTTATATATATATTATTATTATTTAAATAATATTATAACATGTATAAATTAATTTTTACCGATTTTTGCATTGTTTAGGAGATCTATAGACACGTGACATCATATTGACTAGCTCAGAAACTAAATCCCAATTTGGCGTGTGGGCTGGACATAATATCACTAAGTTTAATGTCATTTCTTGCACTCTTTGAACAGCCTATAACAAATAAAATATGATTACTTTTAGTAATTGATACTTTAATTCAGAATATCAAAATTAATTTTATACTAAATACCTGCAATAATGCATAATCCTCATGTATGAGCCAATCTGGAACATGAGCAGGTTCTTGTACCGGTCGTGCTGGTAGAGGTGGTTTAAGACTGGCCAGAGTCATGGTCATAGGTCTATTAATGCCACGGTACCGTTGTATGCGCACGTCATTTCGCATCTTAAGTAATGCACCAGGAGAACGGTCAAACATTGATCGAGGTAGATGAGGGAAAATATTTTCATTTGGCCGCCATTCTCCAGCACTATTATCACGAGTACTATAAACTGATTTAGGGTTTGCGGACAATGATCCCGGTATACAAGAACGATCTAAAAAATAATATAAATATATTATGCATCATGTTGTTAGTTAAAACAGAATCAAAAAATGAAATGTACATACTATTTATAAATGCTACATCAGTCCTTGGTCGTTTTCGAGCAGATGGCACAGGAGGAAGTTGAGCTTCTGTCATGGGAACATGGGAATATTGATTGAAATACAATTGATCATGATAAAGCTCATCCCCTGACCAAGGCCCAAGTATCAAATTCTTAAAATTTAAAAATTAATGATTAACAAAAAATTAAGTAAATTTAGTTTTCTAAAAAATTACTAACCTTAGGTACATCAGATTTTTTTGAACCAAGATTGGGGTAAACAATCTATAAATATATAACAATACATTTAAATGATAATATAAAGTACTATAATAATTACATAGAATGGATTTTGATGATAAAAAAAATTTAGTTATTAAGTGAATGTGACTTGTACATCTACCACTTTTTTCGATTTACTAAGGTGTTGAATACACAATTTTTTTTGTCAGACTCTTAGTTTAATACTAAAACTTTGGTGTACTTTATTAGCACAATGTTTTTAATCCTATTTTTCTTCATAATTATTAGTTATGAAGTACTCTTCTGTTATGCCTTTGCTAGTCTAAAAATGTTTGTGGTACAAAAAATAATATTATAAGACGTCAATTTTACAACAGAAGCTTTTTTTCATACAATGTTATAATATTTTTCATGTGTGAACATCTTTATGTGCGGTATAGGCTAGGAGTAAATCAGCATAACCGTTACGGATGTAGTAGTTACAGAAGTAATTTATGACTGTATGTTCAGTGACCACAGCAGACACCAACTCGGCGTTCTGTAAGTTGAAGGAAAAGCAACCCATAGAAGGGCTTTTTATCGTAATAATGCTGCTGTGTTTAAATATTCTTGGCCATACTGCGGAGAGTGGCTGCTTAGACCCTAATACACTCAATTGTAATCTATTTAACACCTTGCTACCTTAAGGCATAAGAGTAATAACACATGTCTGGCGTATTTTGGCAGCTTAAATTAGAATCAAATTATTGTCACACGAATGATCAAAAAATAATTTGTATTATGATAATTACATTATTATTAGGTAGACTTTGTCTATATTGTGACATATTGCCAAACCAAGTATACAAGGTAGTAAGTAATAATAAAATAAATAGAATATAAAAATTAGTACAAGTATTTAGGCAAACAAAAAAGTTGTACCATAATCGGAATAATGTACTTGAGTAATAAAATTTAACCAATTTCATCAATATTGGGGCGTCAACTAATTATACAAATAGGATAGAAAAGTAGAAAAAAAAACTGAACATTTAAGCCATGATAAGATCAACAACTCTTTTATATTTTTTAATGAGGAATTTCTAATTAAACTATAGTATGATGTTAACACACATCCAGTGAGTACTGCTGCGGCTCACTCAATTATTATTATTATAGTAATAAAATAGAGAAAAGTGATTTAAAAAATTACTAAAGGCCTAGTAGAATATGAAAAAGCCATTACAAAGAGCTGTCAAGCTAGCTTCAAACTAATGGCGTGCAGTGTGTAATATTGTTTTCTATGAGGTTCCACCAAAGTATTACAACTAAAAACAATATAGTAGTTTTATACCTGTAATAACTAATATATGGCATATAAGTGTTTATCTAAAACACCACAATATGAAAGGACTATTCAGTAATTTCAAGATTAAAAATGATGAAATATAATTAAATTATATAGCAATTCCGCTAGTTCAAAATAAAAACAAAAAAGCCAGTACAGAGGAGTCGGGGCAAAGTGGGGATGAAACATATTGAGTCACCGATCTACAGAAATTATTATAACTAAAAGTGATAAAATCTTTTTCAAATAAACTCTGGTGCAAATCTGTATATATAACATACAGACTTACAAATATTGATAAAAGCTTTGTTATGACAATAATGTACTTATAATTGTATTTTTAGTATTAAGATGGATACCATTAGGTAGGGTTAGTCATTTGACTATAATAATTGTTTCCATTGTTAACCATGTATCGTAATTAAAAACTTAATAAAAATGTTTTTTCAGATACCTGTTTGACTGTTGATTCTCTCTCACACAACAACCTAGAAATTTACTACGGTCAGTTAATTTTTTATGGTGTTTCCTTAAAAAAATCAAGTTTATCTACAGATTTTTGAGAAAATTGGATAATTTATCGCCCCACTCTAGACCCATCTTCAGTCTAGTTTTAAGACTTACATTTTGACTTGGAATATCCCCCCAAAAAATGTGAATCACAAAACTCGGCAACAAATTGTCAAATTGTTTTCTATACACTCTTTTTTTTTTCTACTCAATAATATAGAAAATGTTTTTAATCCTCTGGTCTCTCTTAGCACTGCAAAGGGACTCTCCCCTCTCACCATACCAATTTTAGGGAAAATCGCCAAAAAAAAAGGTATTTTAACATGGTTAACACCCTATAAATTCACTAGTTAACCAAAATTTGTATGGAACTTTATCAGACATGCCTCAATTTACAAATAGTCTTAAATACTCCCCACGTGAAGGAAGATTTTCCCCCTTTTTTTAAATATATAACATCTAAAATTGTGCTTTATATATGAAAGCACAATTTTAGAATTTAAGACCTCAATAGACACAAGATCTAATATATACACCTGTGCCACATTAACCAAACATCCGTAGTACAACTTCATATATTACAATATTTGCCGAAAACCACTAAAATGTAGATATTGAATTCATTTTTAGGTGTACACTGAACAAATTTGAATTTTAGTACATTTTCAATCATTTCATTGCCTATTCATGTAGTGGTTTACATTTGATAAAGATAATAGTAGTATGATGTATGAAAATGATAAAATTTAACATTTCAAATGATTTGTGAATAATGAACTTCTTTTGCAAAGTGTACAGTTATTAATGGCTATTATACTTAGTCAGTATTAATTTCATTGGAAATTAATTGTTCATAAATATAGATCTTGCACATTCACTAAATATGAAATTACTGAACCAATTTATTTGAAACTTGGTCAAAAATCAAACTACTTTTTTCTCTCTTCAATAGAAGTTAAAACTACAAAACAATTGATAATTTATAGAACGTGAGCTTACTATAGTTAAGTGAAAAAATTTAAAACTATGTTAATGGAAATTTTTGTTTGCACCTACATGAAAATGTATATTTAAATGATTTTTACAAATTTTCCTCTTCAAATTTTGTAGTAAGTTTAATAATTATTAAAGCTTTTTCTAATAATAGAAACTATAAAACTATTTTTAATTCAAATACTGATAACGAAATGTATTAAAAAATTGGAATCTGAATATATTATTTTTTAAGTGTGTATTCAAATAACTCCCACCACAATTTTTAATAGCAATTGCTTTAAATTTTGAATAAAAATATGTCTGCATTGATTAAAAATATAATTACATTTGTAAAGAATAATATGCATAAGATCACAACAGTTTGAGACATTAAGTGTATAAATTATTGTATAATATTAAAATCAAATATTATTACAGTAATTTCATGAAAAACTGTTGTATATTTGTATTTTCTAAGTATTGATTATTGATTAGATGTGTACATTTTGAATATTTGTAAAATCTAGAAAATTGGAATTTTTATAAATATAGAAATATCTTGATAACCAAAATGGCTTTTATTAAATTGTGTTTTACACCAGTGAAATTGATTTAAAAGGATCATATATAAGAGTCATACATCCCTCAAGTCGCAAATACTAAATATCTCTGCACCATATTCATATTTTTGGATTCGGTTATTAAGCATTTAAGAATGTATAATTAGAGAACAAAAAAAATAGTAATTTTAGAAAATATTAATGTAATTAAAATTTTTAAAAATTGTAGTAAAATCGATAGAAGATCAATATAATAGTTTAACTAAAAATATGAATTAATCCAGTAAATCCATATTGTCAATAAGTTTTAAAAAAAAACTTATTGACAACAATGTTTAGTGACTAATCATTACCATTTGACATCAGTAACAACTTACACACTAGTGGTCCAAATAAAGGTTTTTGGATAAATTAACGTTTTAGCCATGTAAATCCGTTCGATAAGAGTAACAATTAGTAGTAAAATGTGTTACAATCTTTAATTGAGCAAGTTGAAATCAGAACTTACATTTTTCAGAAAAACCGAAAAATCTGAGGCAGGATTAACCTGGACAATAGTCATCTGGTTATTTTTAAGGTTGAAATTTTGATAAAAAAAATTAGAAAAATATATGACTGAAGAAACCTTCAATATCAGACCTCACAGAACACAATGAAAGATGTTAGTCTTGATAAATCTAGCATGTTTTGGCGTTTTAAAACTAATTGACAACATATTTGGATTAGTCTTCAAAAATCCTATAAGACATTGCTGAAAACTCATATTTCTATTTTTTTTTTTTTTTTGGATCATGTGAGATGATCACAGCCTACTCATCTGTATTTTCTTTTCTTCTCATTTCTTAATATATAAATTACGATAATACATAAATGTACATATAACTTATGTTTCATTTATCTTTGAATGAAGATATATGATAATAAACGATTATCTTGCAGACAAAGTAGCTATTCTTTATCGTATTTTAGGGAAAAATTCGCACTCAAACAAGTAGAGAAAAGATACCCTACAAAAAGCCGAGAATCTTGTGCTCATTTGGAACTGGTTTGTTGAGGTAAAAAAATTCATTCAAAAATCCTAATTCATGGGTTCACAGATTCGTAATCCAGATATTTAAATTTTACTAACATTATTTGTATTTGATCTAAAGTATTCATTTTTTAAAATATATTTTTATTCTGCAGTAAGAAGGGAAAACAAAATAATAGCATTTTACTAATTTTTTTACCCCCTCTGTGTAGAAGCTAAAATGTTCTATAAATATACTGATATTGACTTCAATTTATAAAAAAAAAAATAGTAGGTAGTACTAGCATCGATATTTAAATGTATATGCACATTAATAACTGTTCATTAAATCACTTTCATCATATCATCAGAAGTCTTCTTCTCTTGCTCTCTGTGCGATTGGATGTTTTTCTTTATTTGTTTCAGATAGTCTCGTTTGCCAGTCCCGTTTGGACTGGCAAGGAGGGGCTTGTGTTTTGGTGACAACCTCTATGCCAGACCAAACAAAAAACGATCGGCTTCCCTTAGTTTTTATAACAAAATTAAAACAATACAGTTAATTTAAAAAAATAAAATAAAATTTATCATCAGGAGTTTAAATTTTAATAAAGTTTAAAAAAATCTGAAGTTAAATGATAAAAAATTCATTTTAAGACGCACTGCGAGAGCTAGAGAAGAGTATGCTTCTAATGAGGGACACCAAAACAGAGCCCAACCTTGTTGAGAAGCTATCGAGAAACATAAAAGAAAAACAACCATAACACATAGAATTATTATATTTTTTAATCATATAATATATATATATAAAAAATGTTCACAATTGTTTACAAAATTAACTCGTCCTGTGTTAATAACCAAAATGTATAAATAAAAAAAAATTCTCTGTTGGGAGACAATAAAATAAGTTAATGACAAAATGTTTTATAAATGATGCTATTTTATTTTTGGTGTGGTCTAAGACCATAACTGCCTTTCTTTCTTAAATTAGTTCCTACTTTCTGTAATTTTTTATTTTGTCTAGATTTTTTTTTATTCTTCATGGGTCTCCCTACATTTTTAGCTGTAATACTATTTTGTTTTTTAACCTGAAACTTATTTATGAATGTCAAATCCTCATTTTCGACTTCGTCCTCTTCATCGTCAGAATCTGGAAATTTACGCTTCTGATTTAATCTTTCTTCAGTACGTTTGGCAGCTTCTTGTTGTTCAACTTTCCATTCCCGCTTCTGATGTTCTAACTCAGCTTCAGCTGCTGCAATTTGTTGTGCAGCCCAATCCATATCAGAAGATTCCACGTATGACATAGCCCATTTTTCTAAGGGTGATAACTGTAATAAACAGTAAAAATTACTACATAATTACATAAAAGTATATAATAAGCATTAGTTTTAGTTAAAACAAAATACAGTAATTAAATTAAGGAATGAATATATATATATATATATTTAAATATGTTAATTCAATCAATCTAAAACTATTATAACTATAAGCTAAAACTCTTTAAAACTTCATTAATACCAATTACGAATGTATACCTGTTTCTCAAGAGCTTGAACTTCCAAATCTGCTTTACTAAGTTTAGTTGTATCATTTTGATCATCGATTGGGATCGCTTCATCAAACTCAGCTAAATCTGCAACAGCTTCTTCTTTAGCAATTTTAGCAGCTACTACATCAGTTTCATCTTCCGCAGCCGCAAGAGCCGTTTCAAATACATTGATTGCATGTCTATCTCCTTCGTTACTATTATGAGATTGCGTAAATTCAGACACCAGGGTATGAACACTTTGTTTTTCATTAACTTCAAAAAGTTCTTGAATTGTTGTCTAAATAAATTGTTATTAATTACATTATTAATAAATCAAAACTTGCGAACAAAAATTAAAAATACAGATAATAAAACAATATTAAATTATGATGCTATTTGGTACTTACAGATTTGAAGAATGAAGCAGTAAAATTTCCACCTTCTATAGCTAAATCACCCAAGAGTCTTTTTTGGTTGGCCTTTTTAAGAATATTCTCTTCAATAGTCTTTTCACTAATTAATCTATGATAATACATAAAACAAAATGTGATATAAACAGGTAAATAATTATGATAGGCCTATAAATTACCTGTAGATGTGAACATCTCGAGTTTGGCCAATACGGTGGCAACGATCTTGAGCTTGGGCATCCATGGTAGGATTCCAATCGCTGTCATAAAATATCACAGTATCGGCTCCAGTAAGATTAATTCCAACACCGCCCGATCTTGTAGATAATATAAAACAGAAATATCTCTTATCTGCATTAAATCTCTCCATTAAAAGCTAGAAAAAAAACGAAAAAAAAAACCGATAAATAGGTATTAAAAACACATTTTTTAGGAATTTTACCTGTCGTGTTTCTACTTTAGTGGTACCATCAAGTCTCAAATATATGTACCCATGATAGTTAAGAAATGCTTCCAGAACATCCAACATCTTAGTCATTTGTGTAAATATTAATACCCTATGATGACCAGCTTTTAATTTTCTTAATAAACTATCTAACGACTGAAGTTTACCACAGTCATATTGAATAAGTCTTTGATCTGGAAAAAGAACGCTCATGGCTGAAATAATTGGATGCAATGTGTTGAGGGTTGGTTTAAGGTTGTTTTCCAATAAAGACGCATCATCTTGAGCAAGACTGAATTCTGTTTTAGGAGATCTTCCTTGTACTGCGGGTACATATACAATAAACTGTTCAAAAGAATCACGTAATTCTTTCATTCGACTATCGACAGTCTTCACAGTATCTGATAATGCAACAGCTGTCATATATGACATACGTTGAATGTGTGCAGAATATTGGGAACTAACAGATAACACATTATTTGAGCCGAGCCAAAGCCAAGGATTTCGTTCTACAGAATCAGAATTTCCGACATGACCAGACGATGTATCAAACCGTATGAAGTCTCGTAGATCTCGACCATATACAACATTAGTGGCACCATCAATTCTTTTATTGTTTATTAATGATATTGTTTTCATTTTCAACTGTCGCCGTAATTGTCGCTTTTCTTCTAGCTTTGGCTAAAATAAATAAAGCATAAATTCAGAAATTCGAAATAAAAATATAATTATTTTATAAATAATTACAATGTAGAAAATAGTGTTATCAGTTGGCTCCAATAAATATTGTTTTTGTTTAGATGAACAAATGTTGGATTCTTTGAACATTTTTGATGAATCAGTAACATCATTCATTTTTTCTAGTGATAATTCATTGGCAACTAAACTACTATTTGAATTTGATTTACCTAAAACATTAAGTAATTGAAATTAATACTAACATGTACATTTTTAGCATAATTTAAGTAAACAAGTAATATGGACTATATTTTATGGAACAAGGTTCTTGACTACACTGAAAATAACAAACTTAGTTTGTTAACTTAACTAAGTTAGGCAAAAACGACATTGCGGAACTACAAACTTCTATCATGAAGAATAAAGTATAGAAAACAAATGCCACATTAACTGTATGCTTCATATTTACTAGTCATTATAATCTTATAATTACTAAATTATCACATAAGAAGCAGAGTAATATAGCATTGGTGCAAAAACTCGTATTCAAAAACAAGAATACTTATTGATCTACAATGCAACATGAATAAATACAAAAATAGCTTTTGTTTATGGCATATAACAGCTTAAAGGTAAAAAAACTTGACTTTAAACAATCCCTATTTACTGACTAATTAACCATTAAATTTACCAATGATTTGAATTAAAAATAGGATGTAATTACTTCCGAATAAAAAGTACATAAACAAGTACAGTATGAATATTAGAAGATCGAACTTAAAGAGTTTAACAATATGAAAAATAATTGTTAACATTTCATTAAAGATTAACCTACTATGACTAATCTGACTTGACCAATGTTCATTCTCGCAAAAATAAAAGTGCTTAAGCAGTTGAAATATTAGGAGATCCTAACTCCATACTTATGGTATGAAACACAATTTTTGAGATGCTAATTGTAAAACTAAAGGTGTTAAGTGGGTCCATACCGCTAGACCAAAATACTGGCAATTAATACTATTGAGATTCTACAAACAAAAGTTAAGTCTGATTTCTTTAGAGCAGTTAAGAAAAAAGGCCATTTTTCAATTTAAATTTATTAGTAAGAATAATTTAAGACAATTTCATTTTTTCATACTTTAAAAAATTAGGTTCAATTATCAGCTTCATAAAAATAATATACTGAACATTAATTTGACTAAAATGATTTGCAACACCCTTCAGCGAAAATTTCAAGTATAGTTACCATTCAATTTTGTAGAGGAATTTAAGAACTGATTCGTGCGGGTCTGATTTGTCTTTGTTCGATTTTTTATCACAATTGAATCATTTCTATTTTTTAAGTAATCATTTAACATATTGAACTTGGGAACCAACGATGTAATATCTGAAAAAATAACAAGTTATAAGCATTGCATTTTTAATTAAAAAAGAATACTTTTTATTTTTTACTTGACAAGGCTGGATTTTTTGATATATTACTGCCAACAGATTTCAATTTTAAATCTAAAGAACACAAGAACATAACGCATTTATTATAAATATTACATAATTTGATAAAGTTTAATAATTAAAACGAACCCTTTAATCCTTTTTCAGCTAAAAGTTTTACAATGGGCATGTTGTGTTTAAGTTTAACGTTAACAAGTTTATTTTGAGAACTAGACATATTGATCTGAAAAAAAAAATATTTTTATGTACCTGGAGCGATTTTGATTAATTATATCATCATACCTTTGAAATGATATTTAAGGTTTTAGGCAACTTCATGTTAAAATTCATTTTAATTTTAGGAAGTTTAGTTGGGGAATCAGGCAGGGAGTCCACTTGATCAAATACACTACTTGGTAACTGGTAACGTTTTAAGCGATGGGCAGCCCATGCACTCATGATTCGCTCTAAATGAGTGAACAGCAAATTGACTGAACTTAAATCAATTTCCTATTGTAAAAAATACACCAATAGATTTTAGTAACTTACTATTAAAACAGATATAATTAAAACTCTTATTAATAGTTACATTAAATGGATTATACTCCAAAATATTGAAAATAGAACGAGGAACCGAGTAAGTAAGAGCTTCCATTTGAAACGGAGATATAGTTGGGCGAGGTTCAAATAAATTAGGGTGATTGCAGACTTTTCTTAGCTGCATTAAAACATTTATGACACTCAACATGTTTCCAGTTGCAAGAGTTTCTTTCGTTCTAAAAAAAAAATATATATATAAAAGCCATTACACATACAATTTTGATTAAGCATTAAATTTACTGAAACTCACTTAGCACGAGACATGAAATCATCATAAAGATATCTTTGCCTTTTGGATAATCTGCACATTACAATATGCTCATATTTCTTAGGCAATTGTTTTTCAACCTCGCATTTCAGTCTTCTAAGAATAAATGGTCGAAGAACCTTATGAAGCTTTTTTATAATAGTTTCATTATACTCAGCATTGCCTTCAATCATTCCCGTTACAGGGTTTGAAAACCATTCTTTAAACTCTCGATGAGACGCAAAGAGATTGGGCATCAAGAAATGCATCAATGACCATAATTCCATTAGGTTGTTTTGCAAAGGAGTTCCAGTTAAGAGTAATCGTCTTTCCGACTGAAAATTTAATAGGAGTTGCCACCTTTGCGATTTGAAGTTTTTAATATTTTGGGCTTCATCCAAAATTAAATACTTCCATTTTTTTCTGCGAAAACTTTGATGATCAGTAATTACCAATTTGTAAGATGTTATACAAATATGGAATGTATTAGGTTTTGTCCAGCCTGTTCTTTTTATTTTACGCTCTTTCACAGACCCATAGTAAGTGAGTATTTTAAAACTTGGACACCATTTTTTTATTTCCATTTCCCAATTAAGCATTACTGAAGTCGGAACTACAATCAAATGAGGACCCCAATCTTCTAAAAACATTTAAGATAAAAAAAGTATAACCATGTTTAAAAACTTCAAATAAAGTTTAATAAAATATAATAAAGTATTTGTCTTACCCTTTTCACAGGCTAAATGGGCTAGTAAAGCAATAGTTTGAATAGTTTTCCCAAGACCCATTTCATCAGCTAAAATGCCATTCAGATTTTGTTCATACATCGTAACAAGCCAATCAAGTCCTATGTGTTGATATTCTCGCAAGGTATTTCTTAACAAGAATGGAACTTTCGTCACAACCTAAAAAAAAAAGTATACATTATTTTATACATTTTATTTAAAGTAAACTTATCAAAAGCTATCATGAAATCAGGCAACTTACACTTGTTGAAGACAATGTGTTTCCTTTAGGTTGGATACTTTCAGCTAAGGCAGTTACATCATTAATTTCTTTATCAGCATTGCAATCACTTGTCCCATTGAGCTAAAAAAATTAGATATTTTGAACTTAGTTTCTATAAAATATAGAATATATTATATTAACACATACAGAATGCATCACAGTGATGACAGATTAACATACATTTTATATGCAGTTCTGATACACCTAAATACATAAAAAAAAGAGAATCTGAAATCTATGTCCTACAAGGATCATAGTATATTGAGTATATTGCAGGAAATATCTTGGAAAACGTAATTTTTGAGTATTAATTTCATGGCAATTTAGAAAAGACATTTTTTTTCTGATGAAGCACAAGTTAACCTTTTAATGCCCATTTTTGCAAATATGAAACATGTTAGTTATATTTTTATAATCATACTCTGTAATATATAAATATCATAAAGAGTTGTTTATACACTTTGTTATTAAATAAAAAAAATATGTGAACTTTCAGCCCTTAACTGTTAAATCTTACAATTTGATAGCGAGACTTACTCTGAACTACTCATAAATCTATAAAAACCTATTTGTGACGTAAACACGTAAATAACGGATAATTCAAAATTTCAATTAATACTCACCATTTTACTAGGAGATCTTCGCAATAGATATTTTAAGCCAACATCTTTTGAAGTTATTTCTTTATTAGTAGAACTATCAGAAGCATGACCTAAAAGACACAAAGTTTAAACAATGATTCACTGAAAACGTATTGCATTTAAACTTACTGCTTTCATCATCATTCTCCTCATCTTCGGTATGGCTTGATTGCTCTATTTTATTATTTGGTAAGCGCACGTTGTACATTGCTAATATCTGTTCAATACTCATATCATTTTCAGCCTATAAAATTGATTCATTTTTTTAATTGAAATACTTAAAACAAAATTACAAATTACTGTATTACATACATAAGGACACTATGTTATGTCCACGTGACATTTTCTATTTAGAAAGAATGCAACTTAAAATTAAGTTGTAACATACCTCTAACTCAGCAATTTCTTTGGAATGATCAATACGGCCTTCTTCTTTTTCAGCAAGTTGCAATGTTTCTTCATCATCACTCCAACTACTATTTGATGCTTCAAAATCTTCATCTTCACTTTTTTCACTAGAAGGTTGCTAAAAGAGTAATACATACATATAAATAACTATAATTAACCTCCAAGTGCTCGCATTGGCTGTGTTAACACCACAACTTTTGGTACTTTTTAAATACAGAAATTAAATGACGTTGTAAACACCACAGCATGAACGCCAAAGAGATTTTTTGAAATGAGACTGCTAGAAAAGGAGTTTAATAAATAGATAATTTGAAAATTACGTTACCTCTTCCTCTAGTTCTTTGGCCCGCATTTCCAAATATCCTTCTGGTAACTGATCGACAACGTCATTAATAGAGAATTTAGATTCTTTTTTCAGCATATCAATTTCTTTCTTACGTTCTACTTCATTAGTATTATTTTTTTCATCTTCTTCAATAGTTTCTTCATCATCAGAAGACGAGTGACTAGGATCTAATTTTCCTGATAGTTAATAAGACATTATTTCATTAGCACAGTTAAATTTAGTTGAATAAATAAAATAAAACTTTAATAAAACATTTACTTTAGCATATAATACCACACTATCAATACAATAAAAATAAATTTAAAAAAAAAGTCGAGAAAAGTCTATATTTTCAAATTAATGCTTTATAGTACTATTATTGCAATTTGTTTTTCTTTTAATTCAAAATTAAAATAGAACCCCATTTATAAATTAGCATTGAATTGGATTATCCACTTACCATCAGAAGTCATCATAGAAGAATTTTGTAATGGTATAATTGATGAATTGTTAGCAGACTTCTTTAAACTTTCAGCTACTAAGGTTGACATTTTTTCAGTTTGATCAACAATAAAATTTAAATGTTCATCAAGTGCAATTTTTCTTTTTTCTTCTAATTTAGTAGATTGTTTAAATTCAACCAACTAAGACAGATACAAAGTAGTTCTTATTTGTGTTTAATGATAAGTGCAAGATTTTAAGGGAAAAAAAGAATATACCTTTTCAACATTACTCCAAAATGTTTTTACCATTTTTGCTATGAAACCAGTAATTCTTCTTTGATGCATCTCAGAAGCTTTTGCTGCTTTTTGAGCTTCTGTTTTTTTTTCATGGAAATATTTTTTAACCATTTTAGCACACTAAAACACATCAAAATTAATTTAAAAAATGACCAAAATTAATTATCCTATTAATACTATAACCAGAACACTTATAATTACTTGTTTAGCAGCTTTTTTCTTCCATTTTCTTTCTTGTGCAAAATCAGTAGCAAGCCACTGCATTTCTTCCAAGAGATAGTCATGGTGTGCTTTATTTCTAGGTGGTTCATAAACTTTAGGCAGTCTTCGTTCACTCCAAAGACCATCCCGTTGAAGTTGGTTTATTTTTTGAATAATTTGGGCTTCCTAATTTTAAATAAAAAAATAAAATAAACAAATTAATTTAATGCTAATTATATTTTCATAACCGTTACCCAATGTATTTTTGGTATTTCCCCTTTAATACTTTATCGCTCATTCTGAACTACGACCAATAAGACCTCTTAAAATATTGACAAATTTTACAAACGAAAATGCTAATTACCTACATAATTTTGCCCTATCTAGCAACAAGCTCTGTGACCCAATTTAACATTAACCCTTTAATATTGTGTAATGTTTAATAATGTGACTTTCGATTTACTAACAAAATTTCTCTCTTTAGTGTGATTACACAGAAATATTTCAACCTTACTGTATACTTCCCGCTTCCATACTAGTTGAAGTATTTGTCTAGTTTTATTTACTCTCACTAATTATTATGATTCATGGGTTAAATATAAGTATTTCTTCATATCTTCACATTCTATCCACCTCTAAATCTTACATATTCAAATTCATTTTCTTTCAGAACAGTGCATAAAGTACGAGACCAATTAAATAAAATAATATTGAAAATTAACAAAGTATACTAACCCATTTTACTCTTTCTACAACTTGATCAGATTGATTTTCATTTGACTGCCGTAGTGCAAGAGAGAAATTGGGATTATCTTCAACAGGAGAGGTAGAAGGAATTATTTTGTTAGATTCTAAATTAAAAAAAAAAAAAAAGTTTACATTAAAATGTTAAAAATATATGTTATGAATGCGTTAAAACTTTCGTGGATTGATATATTACTTGAGTAAGTTTCGGATATATCCACGTCACTAGTTTCGGACTTTTTGGACTCTTTGCATAGTCCATCTTTAGAGCGATAGTGGTCTCGACTGTTCAACTGCCGTGACCATACTGTCACAAACGTCGGCATATAACTAGTGACGTGGATATATCCGAAACTTACTCAAGTGAAAAATATGTGTCTTTAAAAATAGCAGATTTAGTTTTAAAAGTAAATTACTTGTAACCGAAACTGGAATAGGTGTTTCCTGTGGTTCGGATGATTGCTTTTCCAACCACACTTTAAGTTCAGCGAACGGGTCACCAGTAAACAAAGGGTCATCACCACATTTAATATTAGATTCAGACCAAGGATGTAAGTCATTGAATACTTGTTCAACTTTTTCCGGTAAGAAGTCGAGAAAATTCGGCAATGATTGTACTTCATCCAATTCCAGTTGGGATTGAGCAAGCTTTGCACGTACAGTTTCCATTTGTTCAAATACCATTTCACAAGTACGTTTAATTTTAGCAGCTGTGCACATTTCCATTGCTTCAAACTCTTTAGCAGCTTTATAATAAACAATGAATAAAAAATATAAGTATTTTAGGTATAAAATTATTCAAAATTCATGTACTTACATTCAGTGGAGTATTTTCGCTTTCGAGAAAGCTGATTTTTACAATCCACAGAATCATCATTGTCTGAAGTATAGGTGGTGTTCTCGACATCATTTGTGGAACCATTTACACCAATAGGATTATCACAATTGTTTGGTATAAGTTTTACACCAGTTGTCACCTATGGAATTCAAATTTAATAATGATTAACTTTAAAAAAATAAAATAAGTATAATAAAATATGACAATTACTAGAATTTTATTACATACCTGATGGTCATTTCCATCAAATTTATTATTTTTGTGACAATCAATGGTCCCAGCTCCCAGTTGGGAAGCAGTGGCCATAAATGATTTTAAGTTTTGAACAATTATTTATTGCGTTTGAATTATCCATTTAGTTCTGCTATAACAAAAATATATTAATATTATAATATAATATACATAAATTACCAAATAAATAACAACTTATCATGCAAGTTTAATAATTATCATTGATATAAAATTCTCACATTTACATAATTAATATGTACCTTATTATATGATACAAAAACCTAATTAAGGAATAGTCATTTTTTTAAAAAGAAAACAAAAAATAACCTATTATTTTTATCATAAGTTATAAGACTATAGGGCATCACAAAAAGGAAGAAATATACAATTCTTAAAACCTTGAACCTTAAATATTAATATTATTTGAACATTATTATACAGTAACTTTGTTTTTTTTATGTACAATTAATTTTTTTGAACTTGTAAATGAAACTGTAGAATAAATAATAATATATTTTATATTATATAATTGTTTAAAAATATATGGATGAAGTATAAAAAGTAAATTGTTTTAATGGTTATCGATACACTAATTAAAAGTAATTTTAAGATTTTTATTGGTATACTTATCTCATTATAGTAGTAAATCATTGAAGACTAATATATGAATGAGGTTTTTAAAACAATTGTACCTACTTATCAAGGCTTTAAAGGATATTAAAAATAAATAAATGTAGCTACTGGTATATAACCATGCAACTAAAAAGAGATGATGTGTTTTAAAAACCTAAGTATCTTACAATTCAATTAAATAAACTATGCAATTTAATAAAAAACCTAGATAATTATTATCAATACTCTAATGATAAAAATAGAAAAATACCAAATATTGATACAAACCATACTTCAATTTTTACAAAGTTATATCAGTAAACATTCTAATATTGAAAATACATTTTGATAAGTGTATAAGATATGTGACATAAATCATTTAAACCAATAAATAAAAATATGTTTACATACACAACTTTCAAATCTTTTGAGGTAAATATCAAAGTTCTGAAGATCTTTAAAGCCAAATTTAAAATAAAAAAATGTAAATAATAAGCACATGTCGGTCGATTATGTTATATCCTTGGCTAATAGTTATAAACAAATCATTGTATTATATGTTTTACGGTTATACATATTGAAACAACTGACGTTTAACAAATTAACCAGTGTTTTAGTAGTTAATTATTCCATAATTTTATTGAAAAATTAAGTTTTTTTAGTATTATCGTAAGTTTAGAGGTTATGTTATGAAAACAGAAACATAATATAAATAAATAATAATAATAATAATAATAATAATAGGCGGGATAAAATAATTGATAAAACGCACAGGCAACGAAATTAATAATATTAGAACGTAAAATCACCACGAAAATCACGTTCGTCACGAAATTAACAAGCATTTCAAACGGTCGAACAAATCAAATAATACATCCACTCTGGAATAACGGAAGGAAATAGCGGGTCGGCCATTTTGTGCCGGATGAAACTGTGGGATGCTTACCAAGATCGAAGCGATTGCCCTCCATCGGTCGCAAGCCATTATACAAGTCCGTTTAAACGGTAACGACACATTTGGTGCACGCAACAATACTAGAACACAGCGCGAAATACACGATAAATTTCATATTCGTTTATCTCGATGCGTTAAATACTACTAAGCGTTTTGGTAAGAACTACTCGGCAAGCGAGGCACACAACAATATGGCGTCTGGCCGCGGTCGACTACGAGAATTCGCTGTTTAGTGGGCGCAGCTAGAACGGGCTGGTCGAGAGTGAGCGGCAATCGCCTAACAGCAAAACAAAACAATAAAACCTCACTGCGCGTCTGGCTCGGAACAATAACACAATTGCAGTGTCGGCAACGTTATTCATTGTAATAACGCGTCGTCCGCCTTCGTATTCCCGCCAATTTTTGAAAAAAAAACATTTAGGTTATGTGATGTACGCGGTTAAACTCGCAGCTTTTCAACGAGATTTAGATATCATTATTCATTATTATATTATGTCAATGATATTGATATATTTTTTGAATTTTTTAATAATGGTGGTGTTTTTTTAGCCATTGCATAATGGCATTTATTTATTTATATTTTAAACGATTTTTTCTTAATATTAATTACATTATTTTTAATTAATTCATTTTTTTTTTCGACTTGTGGAATTTAATATGATGCGATTAAATGTCCCTATGATCACTTCTGCGGCACTTGTTGATAAATTACTCTCAAGAAATGTGTTTACAGTTTTTGATTTTTTACAAAGACCAAATTTAGATTTGCAAGATATTTGTAATTTAAGTTGCAAGGTAGTACTTCTTAGGGACTCGGATCGCGTTTTGGCCAAAATGTTTGTCCTGACCGAAAATTATATTATTTTTACTATTAAAGTTATAAGGGTGACTGGTGTACAGATTCACAGTGCATTTTTTGAAATTGTACATAAACGAATGAATGTTTCGAGTATTCATAATGCCATATCATTATATGTATTTAATAAACTTTTATGTCTAAAATCAAAAGTAATATCTCGGTCTTCCAATATTTTTGTTACAATGTATTAGACTATTAAATATATATTGCTATGCATAACTCATTTTAACAAAATGAAACTTGACACCAATTATACTATGTGCACTATGCCAATTATATGTTTATCTTAATGGTTAAACCTTTTTATATATTAAAAATCCATTTTTTGTTCAGAATTTTTTAACTTGTAAGATTTCGAAAACATTTTCAAATAGGATAAACTTGATAAAAAATATAATTTTTAAATGGTGTCTTCAGTTATCACTTGGCACTGTGCCATTCACTGCGCTTGATCCTAGATAAGTGGCCATCCAAGAATTCTAGCGGTGGCTCATTCCATATTTCTACCATGTGTCTGTAGTTTACAAAATCCAACCAACCAATAAAAGCTAATGAACCAAGTTACCATAAATATATATAAATATACTTATTGGAATTATTTAAAATTGTATTCCTTAATCCTTATTGTTATTTTAACTTGGATAAAAACATTCAACAAATATTTTATAGATAATTTTTATATATATGACTTTTATTTATATCCTTTATAATCAATATCGCTTTTATTTATCTTTTGGTTTTTTAGGAAGTTTCAAAACTTAAAGATAATATAATGATATCTTATTGTTCTGATTTTATTAATGCATTTATACTATACTCAAATAGCTCAACAAATTGTATTCAAACTGGAATAGTGAAGTAAGATTCATGTTAATATCATTATATGAAATTATGTTAACCAACTGCAAATTTGAATAGCCTAGATGAACTTCTTAATGGTGGATTGCGTTATGGAAATATCTATGAATTTTGTGGCCCCTCTGCCTGTGGCAAAACTCAGTTATGTTATAGCATAATATCAAATATATCAATTACTAGCAGAAATATAATCTTTATAGACACAAAATGTGAATTTTCTATTAAAAGAATAAAAGAAATTATATACCACACGTACCATGTATCTAAAAATCAAGTACAGTTTTTTCAAAATATTTTATACGTCGATACACGTCATTTAGTTATTAAAATTATTACAAAAATGTTTAAGATGAAAGTTGCTTTGGATAAAATTCACGTGTATTCAATTTTGGAGATTTATAGTTTAATCAGTTGTTTACACAGTCTCAAAGAAAAGTCTGAACTAATAATAATAATTGATTCAATACCAGTGTTATATCTACCGTTTGTTGGGTCATCTAAAAACGAAGGTAACCCTTACAAGAACATTATTTACGCTAATATTACTTATAATAAAAATATCTTTTTTAGGTTTGTGCTTTATGAACCACATTCATTCAATACTCAAACGTTTATGTAAAAATAAAAGTATAGTTTTGTTAACTAACTTGGCAGTTAAAAATTGTGATTTCTCAAATGAAGATGTGACAAGTCTATCTACAAAACAGACTGAATACAAGCCAGCTATAGGGAAATATTGGTTACATGTGCCTAGTACAAGACTTATGCTTACTTCTAAACAAAGTCAGCAATATGTAATCAATGTAACTATTTCAAAAAGTGTTAATTTACCTATAAATAAAAATTGCATTTTAACATTAAATAATAAAGGTGTTTTATAATAATAATTATTTTTGGAATATGGATTGTTTTACAAATGTATTAATTATAATAGTTACTCAAAGAATATATAAATATATCAAACTTTATTGAACACTTCAAAATTGATTCAATAAATAGCTGAAAGTAAGTTTAACTTCAAATTACAATATGTTAATATTTTTTGAGATTAAAAAAACTTTTATAAGTCAAAAATACAATAGCAAAATTTTTTTAGTTACGACAACAAAATAACAAAAACTCAAAACTTAGAAACAGAAAATTAGTATAACTTTTACATAAACTATACAATACATAAAAATATTTTTGGTGGACTTGTACATTTCAACATCATTATGTTGAGCAAGAACTAGTTGTGTGTGTTACACAAGAACAAAACCGTAATTTTTTTGTCATATTTTCCTTTTCATTTAACTGTTTTTTAGCTACTTTATTAACAACTGTATACTCTGATATCAAATTACTTACAATTCGTTTCATTTTAATATCTTTATCGAACCAAGCATGATCTATAACTTGATCAAAATTAAACCGCACACTGTAATCAACCATGATTAACTTTTTGATTAAATCTTTTGCTCCACTTGATGTATTTAAGAACAACGATTTAGTCATTTCATAAGCACCATGTCGTATTTTCAACTCTAAACTTTCTCCAGTGAAAGGTTTTATTCCAGTTAAACTAAATTCAATAATTATATAAATTAAATAATCAATCTTTATGATTAATTAGTAAATTTATTTTACAAATACTATTAGACATAGTTGAAATGCTTACCACTCGTATAAAATAACTCCAAAACTCCACGAATCAACTTTATTAGTATAAGCATAAGCTTGTTTATAATAACGCTTATAGTTCACAAAAACTTCTGGAGCAATGTACGCAAGCGAACCACAAAAAGTTTTTAAGTGGGTGTTATCAGTAACTATTTTGGATAGCCCAAAGTCGGCTAATTTTGCATGGCGTCCAGAGAGCAATATATTTGCAGGCTATAAAAAAAAAGTTATTATAACATTTGTCTACAACATCAATAAATAAGAAAATAACAATTTGTTTTTAAATCTTCAAGACTTAACTGTTTAGTAAGAAATGGTATTAACAATTAATAAAAAAATATATTTATATAAAAACAACTTAATTAACATTAATTTAAAATAAACAACATTATAATTCATTTAAAAAAATAATAAATCACTTGAATATTGCATAGTTATTGAATGTAAGCAAACCTTTCAGCTTTCCTCTCAGCTCTTTCATTAACCGACTTTCAAGGTACTAAAATATATATTCATTCGGATCACACTACACACAAGTTCGGCTCACAAGTTTATCAAAATAAAAAGCAAAAAACATTATAATCTATAATTTAAAAAAAAAAAAAAGCTATTACTTTGAGATCTCTGTGAGCAATCAATCTGTTATGCAAATACTGTATTGCTCGAGCAACTTGATATAATATTATTTTTGACTCGTCTTCTTTAAGATTATTCACATTCATTAATAAATCTTGTAAAGACCCACTGGGCATATATTCCAAACATATATAAACTGCATCGTTTGATTCAAAATATTTATCCATTTTAACAATATTTGGCTAAAAAGTAAAAAAAAGAATAATTATTGGTTATTAGATGTAATTGCCAAACATTTGATTTTAGTTACATGCTGTAAGCTGGCTAAAATGGTGTGTTCCCGATCCACACAACTTTCACGCTTTACTTTTTTGAGAGCAAAACATTTTGTTGTTTTCTATACAAATAAATATTTAATTAATTAAATTTTAAGAAAAAATGTTTCCATTTAAAACAAAATACTATTGTATAAATTATATTAAAAATAAAAAATCAAAGATAAATCAAACCGTGTTACTAAAAAGAAAAGGAAAAACAAAATATTATTTTATAGGGTGTATTATATGACTGATTGCATACAACATTTTCGAAAATTTGTCAAATAGTCGTGAGAAACGTGTTGAATACTCACTTTATTAAACGCTATGCGTACTTCTCCAAAGGTACCTGTTCCCAAAATACCATAAACTGCTAGTTCCATTCTAACTTCTTGAGGTAAATTGGGTATATCAGCACTGTTATCTATATAACTGTAAACTAAAGACAACATGTTATTACAAATTATTATTTTTTAATGGACATACAATCTATAATGTAAGTCATTAGTCTAATGACCTAGCTATCAACTCAAAGTTCGTATAATAATAATATTTTTAGGAACAAACTTAAGCATGGACACAAGCCACCGTAGACACATTCTTACATAAAATAAAGCTCATCATGTAAAAAAAAAAGGAGGGTGGACAGCATCTGTTCTGTTGTGTACAGGTAACAACTTTTATAAATAATTAGATTTGTTTAATCTGTAAAGACGTAAGCGTTTTAGAATTAATTATGATAAATTGGAATGCTTTCACTGAGCACGTCCTGGCATATCACTTTGTCAATAGTTGAGCTTCAAGTCTTACCAAACATGATCTATAATTCAGCTAATACAGCTGACTTAAGTCAAGTCGAATCTCAAAGGCTTTGTCTCTATTAATAAGACATATATTTTTTATATCTTATACCATTGATTATAAATATTATAGATTGCCCAACGAGACAATTTTCAATGGATGTCGACATGGGACGGGTGCTAGTACACAGTAGTATCATTTTCATAGAAATTAATTTTTTTTTTTTTTTTAAATCACGAAATAGTAATGAACTTTTTTGGTTTTCAACACTTTATTTTATTAAATGATCAAAAATAATTTTTAATTACTAATTATTTTTAGTCTATTTTATGTTTCTACATTGTAATTAGGGTTTGTAGAAATAAAAACAAATTTTACCTACCATAATTTGTTTTTTTTATGACAGCAATTTTGTCATTGTTGGATAATACCCAACGACAATTTTTTCCAATTTTTTCTCCATTCAAAAAGGTGCCATTAGAGCTCATATCTGTGATAAATACCATATGTCTATTAGCATCCCGTTCTTCACGGGATATTATAAAATGAACCTTGCTAATATGGTTCATAACATTGACGCTAAAACCTTCCTTAGTAAACTGAAAGTCAACTCCATAGGTTTGTCGACCTGCTTTGTACTCATCTTTTACTAAATCTATTAGAAAAACAAAAATTCTATATGCTACAAATCAATTATAAAACTAAAAGAATAATATGAATATTTTTCAATAAATACTAACCTTCAATTTTTAAAGATTCATTTTCAGGGTATAAGCGCCCCCACGCATTGGGATTTTCCAAGACTGACATTCCTTGGCTACACAAAGGTTCTTGACTATTTATCAATGGTGTTAAGACATCTAAATCACCCATTTTTTTACCTAAATGAAAAACAAACTATAAATAAAATATATTATACATTTTATTATTATATAGGAATAAAAGTATGTCCATATAGTTTTCTAGCTGTTACACCCGTCTTCACATTTAGAACTTAAGACTTAACTAATTTAACTATGAAAATAAAAGATTGTTTATAGCAGGACAGGGGTCATCCACTAGTCTAACCGGGTCAACCCATATAAATGTTAACTTAATATTGAAACTATTTATAGAGAAACGTCCTTAGTAATTTGTTGTAAACGGATTTGAGAATGCTTCAAATTAAACGTTATCTAAATAATCATCTAGATAAGAAATTCTTTATGTATAAGTTATTTAAATATTTTATTATTTGATTAATTCTAAACATAATTATTAAAATAATTTCAAATTCCATTATTCGAATAGTTTTTAAACTTATATTATTTAAAAAGTTTGCTTTTTTAAGTAATTATATTTTAAAATATTATTTCGTATATTATGTATACATTTTTTGTTTATCCAAATAAATTGAAAAATAATTATTCGAATGATATTTTATTTAAATAAGAATTTACACAACTCTGATTGTGTGTGTGTGTAAATGTAAATATATATATATATATATATAATTAAATAAAAATTCTTAAAAATGTATAATATATATATATATATTATACATTTTTAAGAATTTTAATTTTATTTAAGAAATTTAATTTTTAATTTTATTAAAAATTTATAAAATTGTATTACACAAAAGATAACTTAAGGCGCTAGTTTAGAATGACAATATTTATTTAAAAAAAGGGACACAATTTTGTCCAAATTCTAAAAAAGCTCTCCAAACAAAATGTGTAATTTTTTTTAAATATTTTAACAATAATATTTAATATTAATTTTAATTAATATGATTTATTAATAAACTCGTTTAAATTCCACATGTTTAGAAGTTTACATGCCTACTTTCTAAATTTATTTTTATAATTTTTCTTTAGTTCAACAGCATAGGTACATTTTTTTTGTAAAAGTGCCACTGGATGGGCATCATTTATCAGGGCTGTCACTCTTTTTTAATTAGAAAATCATATTTTTTTGTACCCGGAGTTTTGTTATAATCATCGCTATTTTAAAATACTTTTTTTTAAATGCTATTCAAAAATAGCATTAAATCTAAAATGTCTACATTTTACTACTTTTTCCATCTAAATAAAAATAAATAACTATTACTCTATTGGTATATTTTGACTAAATAGCTGATCACAAGATTAAAACGGGGCCATCTTTTAAAAACCTGACAAAAAGCGTCCCTTCAGAAGTCAGTAGGGACAAGGGAATATTTTGCTCAAAAAAGGTACAATTTTGTTTTTAATGGGATGTACGGTTATCCTAGGCTAGTTATGAATTGTAACATACCCTAATAGCCAATCTGGAGATATCATGTATCTAGAAAAAAACTTCAATGAAAATTTGTTCAGTTGTTCTCAAAGAAAGATGGACCACACACATAGAAGCTTAACTTATTTATAAAAAGAAAAAGAAGAATGGTAATTAGGTCAGATTTATACGAAAGTTCATTTAATATTTTATTTTCATACTTTCAGAGTTATGAATAACTCTGAAATTCTATATTTATTTTAACTTCAAAATTATTTATAATAAGCCTGTGCATGGGCGCCCTGGAGGAGGGGCAAGATAGAGTATTTGCCCCCCCCCTTAGACTTTAAATATAATTTTGAAAATTTTAACTTTTATTATTGTTTAATTAAAAATAAGTTTTTATTTAATAACGAATAAATAGTATATTATAATTTTAACATATTTTTTTAGTTTGCAAAGAATAAACTTTTTGGTGTTTGATTTAATTATGCCCCTACCTGATAAATTGTCTGTGGGACCTCATGATCCTGTGTAAAAAATAGTTCTATAATAGTTTATTATAAAACTATTACACTATAAATTTCATTACCCACTTTCAATGAACACATTTAAGTAACTGAAAATAATTTAATGCTTAACACTTTAACTGCTAAACTTTATAGAAAATTATCTTAAATATTTTTAAACTAAATTATAAACAAAAATTCGCAAGAAATATTGCAATGTACATTATTGTAGTCTACATCTTACAGAGAGCCTTGATTATAATTTACAAAATAAATACCATTATTAAACAATTGAAGGGGGGAGTTGACAAAGATGTTAACTGACAATTTCAAAACTTTTTAGGAAGCAACATTTTAGTCAATACATATTTAAATGCTTGGAATTTTTTTTATTTTTAAGCCCGACATGCATTTAAATGTTATAATATCAAATGTTGTTTACAATAATATTACACTTTCATTCATTCAAACTATTTTTATAACTATTCAAACTAGACTATTTTATAAAAAATGTCAGTTAACGTCTATATCCACTCACCCCTTTAATTATACCTGAAAAAATTTCAATTTAGAATACAACATATAATATTACCCTTATCCAATCAGTGACAAGTTCACAACAATTAAGACAACGATAAATCTCGAAACTCGTGTCACGTAGCGTAGTCTGTACTCTGTAGGTATTTTTAAATTTTCCGTTTGAAGACAAATACAAAACGTAATATTAATGTTATCAATGGTAGTTGGAGCCACATGTTTTATGTTTACTGTTATAACTTTTAACTACCAATATGAATATGACAGTGTTGACACGAGTAAAAACCATAAACCACAGAATATATTATTAATAATAACTTATTTTAGATAAATTCATGGATAAAATAAATACCTATATTATATTATGTATTATCTAATTTCACAGGAAAAAATTAGCCCGGATATCTTTTCTATTCTAAAGGCCCAAACTGTGAGTAAAAGCATCAAATTCACATTGGTGTCTGAGAAATTTTATAAACGACTATTAAATATTAATTTTTAAATTTTAGTTGTAGCAAACAGACCCGCGGGGGCTTCGTCCTCACACTCCCAACAAAAAGTTAAGTTATAAAATATTTTAACACAACATACCAATTTTATAAATTAATTAAAACAATAAATTTGTTAAATATCATAAATTTATTATTCTATTACATTTTTAGAAAATGTATTTGTGATCGTTATGGTATTTGAACATATTTTTTAATCTTATAACTTATTTCTGATTGTACAATTTTGTAAAATATAGCGCTATAAAGAAAGGAAAAACCAATTTTTTTTTTAAATGCTAAAACCACTAGTTTATATAATATTTTGAGGGGGCTTCAGCTACGAATTAATTATTTTGGGATAGCTAAGCCCCCCGTAAGCCACCCCCGATCTCCGCCTGTTGATGGGATTAAGGTGAATGATAAGAATTGTTGGTTTATAACACTGAATTCAATATTGACTATTGAGTTCAGTGGTTTATAATTATTTAAATAATATTTTTGATACCTTAATTTAAAAACAATTTATTACGTAAGTTGAAATAGTAATTACTAATTTTGAAATCGGTAAATTTGTTTTAAAAAATCAATTGTTGCTACTAAATATCAAGTGTGCAAAGAATTCAAAATATTATAATTATTTTTTTTTTTATTGTACTTTTTGTCTTTTATTGAAAAACATACAATCAGTAAATTATATTTTACAATGAGTATTTTTATAAACTATTTACAATAAGCTGTACACATGATTAACATGAGGAGGATACCCCACATTAGGGGCACCTCAATGAATATAAAGATAAATTAGTGTCTTAAATCGCACCATCTTCTTTTGAGGCGTCTGGGGGGATTTCCAGGGAGGTTTTCAGCTGATAACTGCACAATAAGTTGATTTGAGCTTGAGCCCAGTTTTGAGTGAAAGCGGTTGTAATACACCTCGGCGATCTCGTTTACCGATTGAAGATTAAGATCTCGCTTTAGAGTGTCATTTTTAACAAACCATGGACCACCGGTGATTAAATGCATACAAATATTTTGGAAAGCCTGAAAATTTTTTATATTTGAGGATTTCGCTGAGCCCCAGATGGCAATCCCATAGGTCCACATAGGTCTTAAAAGAGTTTTGTAGAGAATGAGCTTGTGTGCCAGTGAAATATTTGATTTGAGCAGAGGTCTAAGAAGGTGAAGCTTAGAGTTCATTATAATTATTATAATAGATGTATGGTTAATCCTGAAATATTGACATAGAGTATTAATACTAATATGTATTAAATTTAAGTATATATACACACAAATTCAATTTTTTTTTTAAACATGATTCCTTATTTATTTTTGATAATGCTTATAGACGAAACACAAAAATTCACTAAGTAAAGGGGGTTAAAAGCGGTCTGTTTTTTTTTACGTTTTAGAGCAAAAAATGTGAAAACATGTTGACTACTTAGGATGGTCCAATTTAAATTCTGTAAAGAGATATGAGTTCTTTGGCTACTTAACTATGTCAGAAACGGATTTTTGATTTTTTCGTAAAAAATTATATTATAGAAAATGTTTCAAATTCAATTTATTTAATTACAAAACTGAATTTTTTTGAATAAAAAAAAAATTTCCTTCATAACCTAGTAGAGTAGTGAAAGACCACAATTTTTTTTACAGAATTGAAATCGGACTATCCTAAGTAGGCGTAATTTTGTCAGCTTTTAGGTCTAAAATACCACCAAAATGGCGTTTACTATTTGAAAAAACTGTTCAAGTTAAAAATATAGCCTTGAAACTAATAAAAAAAATTAATCTAAAATAATAAATTTGTAAATAAATTCACAAGGTCAAAATTTAATAAACCCCTGTTTTTAAATATTGCCTGTATAAGGCTCCTTTAAACCAGTCCGCTTTATATCCCCTTTAATAGAACAAATAGTTTAGCTTATAACCGCAATCAAAGCTAAATTTAGGCGAAATTTTGGGGGTCGAAACCCTTTTCCAGTTGAAGGGCTGCGGGGAAAAAAGATCAATGTCAATTTTTGTTCATTCTGAGAAAATCATGTTTTTAATTTCAAAACGTAATACATTTTGCCTGTATGCCTAAACTTCCGGCGGTCGTTACTCTCGACTAATCTGTTTTTTCCCTGGTTCGAGCGCATAAAAGATACAATACGTCAATACAAATAATTTGATACCAAAGTCTCATTTTTAAAAAAAATTGACATTGATCTTTTTTCCCCGCAGCCCTTCAATTATTTTCCGTCAATGGCCAAGTTAGTTCCATATTATTATAATAATCTATTGTGTAATATTATATTTATGTCACGTTGTAATACGTATTTTTTTGAAAAAATAGGCAACATAATATACATTATCACCATGACACTTTCTGTTATCATATCATAATATTGCTGGCTAGTTTATCACTAGCTGTTATCACTATGATTATGCAAGACTTCGCTAAGATAAATAGCCAATAGGTCATATGTAAATAAATTAGTGTTGTTATAAATCAGATTCGTTATCTGTAAATTGGAATGCATTTTGTTTATTAAAAAATAAAAATAGGCATACACATCTAAAATTTTAATACCTATTTACTTGTTAGTAAATACATATAAAGTGACAAAATAATACCAAATTTTGACTTTTGAGATGATCATTGATTATGTTGACAGGACAATTAGTGCTCTAAAAGAATTTTAAATTGTATTATTTTTGTTTATAACGTAATCATTGTGTAAACCTGTAGCAATTATGAATTCATTGGTTGCTGATTATGGCAGTGAATCTGATTCAGACTCTTCTATTAGAAATTGTGATCAGTTACAATATCAAGAAGAAAAGGAAATTGAGAACAAGAAGTAAATTATAGTTGTAAATAAAATATTATAAAATTATGTTTATATAACAAAATAACAAAGACCAAGAATAATATAAACCAGAATATGAGAAAGTATCAGTGGTGATGAATTTTCCTTTTCTTTGCTTTTTTTTTTTACAGTTTTTCTCAAACAAAACAAAAATTATTCTCAAGATTTACAAAAAGATATTTTAAATTTGTTTTATTATGTTTTTATCTCCTGTTAAAATTTGAAGTCATAAAAACTGTTTGACTTGTGATATTATTATTAACCCATGATACAATCATGTTTTGTGTAATTAGAGAATTGTTAATCGGATTCATTGTATACTGATATTGAAATCAAGAGATTAAACTGATGAACTTTTACTGTTTATATATAATAAATCATAAAGTTATACCATGGTTAATATATGTTTCATAGTATGGAAATATTATGTTTCATAGTTCTTTTATTTTTTATAGGTCTGCTGATGAAAATAAGTTGCCACCACCAAGATTTAAAGAAACTGGTATTATAAACGAGTCTGTATTTAGGAATCCTTATTTAGAAGCAGAGCGTGCTAAAAGTGCAATTTTAGAAAAACATGTTAAAATGGTACCTTCTAAGGATAACTTAAAAACTGTTAATGGAAAAAACATTTGCTGGATGAATAAAAAAGGCCGTTGTCGTTTTGGTAATAAATGTAAATATGCTCATGATTCTGAGCTTGTAAATAATCTAAATGTAGTGGAAAATACAACTAATGATACACCCACAAGTCAAATGTCTTCAAAAAAAAGAAAAAAACCTGGGCTGACGCAGGGCTTGATACCGGGTAAGAAAGTATTAAAGATGTTTAAAAAAACAGAAAATCAATTTCAAAGACAAACATAAGGATAAAAACTTGTATATGTTAGACCTAAATGTAAATTTTAATTTATATTGTTTCAATGAATACTGTATAATAATTAGTACTGCTATTTCATATTTTTGTTTGCTATAATAATGTTAACAGATGCACCATTTTTTTATATTAAAAAAAAAACTTGCTTAGCTTTAAGATCAATTATTATTATATTTATAGAAATTTTATTGAAATAGTTTTTGTGTTTTTATATTTTTTTTAGTGTGTGCAAACCAATATAATATGATATTTTATTTTGAATTGTTACATATTTTAATTTATTAAACTTCTTAATTATTTATTATGTAAAATGTACATCTGTATGTAGAATATATAATATATATGCTATGTTATTAGAGCAACACAGGTTATCAAGACATTTTTTTTTTTAACCTGCCAACAACAATGCATTAATATATTTACGGTCAGTTATAATTTTAAAATAATTAAAAATAAAATGCTATATTTTTGTTTATTCAGCTAATACTTTCAAAAATACAGTATAATGTTTAGTAAAAGTGTTTGGCATTTACCTTTTTTGTCGCAATATATAGACATATTTACAAAGTAATTTATTAATTGTCATTATCATCAGTTTTCAAACATAATAACAAACGAAAAATCAAAGACTTCATTAGGGTTATAGAACGTTTGAGTTAGCTTCTAAGAACAGAAATTTGCAAGTAAAACATTTTTTATTAAATTGTAGAATACCTATAAATATTATTAATTAATCACTAAACTCTGGAATTAGTAATTTTAAAATCAATTCAGGGAAGATCCTGCCTGATAACATTATTAATGATTTTATATTTATACTATTAATTAAAAATATCGGTAATCTAAATTTTGTAGCAGGATGCTACAATTTTTTTCAATATTGGTTTAATTATACTGATATATTTTTGAATAGGTATTACTCAAAGTAGAAAAATATGTTGTTACCGGGTGCTTTTATTATCAAGCTATGAAAGCAAGTATTAAAAAATACATAAGTTTGCATAAGTTTAATTTGTAGTCTAAAAATTATGTCATTCACTCTGCTCTTAACATAATTTTCATCAACCTAAAATCATTTTTGGTTCAGTTTTGAATTAATGGTATACAATATTTAAGAAATAATAAAGCAATTTTAGTATCAGTTAAAAAAACGTTATATTCTCGAGAGTTTAAAATAGGTAGTGACATATTATAATTTTACCATAGAATTAATTAAAATTGATCCCCTGGGTTATTCACAAGTTAAAAAACAAAAAAAAGAGTTGAGGAATAGACAATAGCTCAACCTGTTTATTTTTGAGCTTCTGCAGTGACAATAACATAAAAATCATCGTTTTTGTTTATAAAAAAAATTTTACTTTATTTCAATTCATTTTTTTTTTTTTTATGTACACACTAGGTTATTTATAAATATTAAGAGCGCCGCATTGCTAGCATGGTATTAATTTCCCAAATAATCCTGCGAAGATGATCAATTATCTCTTTTAAATGTCGGTTTTTAGCACTTAATTGCTCAGCGACTTCCTTCATTTCATCATTAGCTACTCGGTATGTTTCACTTGTCTTTCTTTCTTCAGACTTCATATCCCATTCTTCTTGAAGTGGAATTAATCCCTCCATATGCATATATTCCATACCTTGTAATTGGCAACTGTCATTACATTTTTCATATATAATTCTCAATCTTTTAAATAGTAATTTAATATTTCTTAACTGATCATGCATTTTTATTCGCCTTTCATTACTCATATTGGCACCAGTGGGAGTTCCATTTGGTGGCATGAGAACTTTGAGTATTTGGAATACTTCATGTGTACGTGATACTATTTCTTGAACAGTTTCTTGACCAAAACGACACAATGATGCTGTATTAAATTGATGACTTGATGCCGACTGATTTTGGTTAGATGGAGCAACTGTTGGTTGAGAAACTGAACTTACTCCTACTGAGTTTTGATTTACTTGTGGTACCATTACATGCTGCGATCCAGGAACTTGTTGTTGCATATTCTGTTGTAATCCTGGACCAACGTTAAAGCCTTGCTGACCAACCATGTTTGCTTGAGAGGACTGCATGACTGATTTTTATAAAATACTTATATAAATTTAATTTTAACTAAAATACAATTTAATTAATATTAATTATTACGGACTTTATCAAAATTTCCAGAACTTGCCGTACACAGCTACAGTATACAATTTAAAAGCATACAACAAAACAATTAATCTATTTTGTGTACATACATATATATGTTTGTTATATAGAATTTGGATCACTAAGATTTACAGTTTATTGCGTAAAAATCATTTAAATAATTATTATTTAGAATTACGACTAACGAGTTGTAAATAGTAATAGAAAAGACTAATGTTATTTGTTTTAGACATAAATTATAATAATAATTACATGTATGAAGCTAGCATAGATAATATTATCTATTATTATCTATGGAAGTTCTTCATGATAACGATTTTTTGTATGCACCGCCGTGGTAACAGATATCTGGACTTTACCGCTAGGGGCCGCTTTACATACCGCATAAAAGGTCTACTGTAATTTATTATGCTGTATTTTAATTTATGCAACTCAAATGAGTTTCTCATATAGTTTACCCCTTCGCACAGTGGTCTGAAACGCAATTTTAGGTGGAAAAAATTTATATTGATCAAATTTTCCTCAGATTTTGTCCAAAAAATTATAAAAAAGTGGTGCTTAATGTTTTTGGGGTCAAAGTGTTCAAAATTTATATCAATTTTTAAATTCACGTATAATTGTAAGATGCAAGTAAACATAATATTTTGTTTTTAAATTGAAATTTAACTTTCGTAAACTTCTTCATAAGTTTCATAACTTAAATTTAATAATGATTTTACGTCATTGTCCAATTCATTTTTTTTTTTTTGGTATGTTGCAAATTGAGGAAATATATGGATCTGAAGTGACAAGTAATAAGTGTAGAACGTCTTCATTTTGAGCTACTCTACTAATTTTTCGCGAGTGATGTTCGCGATAATTTTTATAGTCTTTATTTCGAGCTTCCTGTGCTTCCTCGGAAAGTTGTCCTTAAAAATGTTCATATTACATTAGTTAATTATAATAAAGTTTATAATGGCTTTTACGCCAAAGTCTTTGTAAAACCAAAGTAAACTTTAAAATTGAATAGTTGACTAACTTAATGTGTATTGCGGTTCCCATTTTACATTTTCATACCGTGCCCTCAAAATTTCAAATAAATAGTTTCTCGATTTTAAAAAATGGGGATTTAGTGGACCTCTATTTTTTAATAGCTGATAAAAATCATTATAAGAATAATACCGAGAATCAGTGTTATTCCAATCCAAATTGTCGTCAATTTCAGAATCATTTATTCCAACACTGCCGCTAGAGCTACCTACAAAAAAAATTATTAAAAATACAGATGCAAATGGATGCAAACCAAATTTTGGGATCTGGTACTGAAGAACAAGTACTATATTGTATATATATTGAATAACGATTATTATGGGTTATTTTTTAGTTATACGCTTTGAAATATCAATATTAACATTTGTTTACTACTTTTTTAACTTTGTTTTAATAGTAAAATAATAAATATTTATAATATTAATATGAAACACTTACCTAAGTTTTCGAATTCATTACTTATATGAAACTAATTAAAAAAAAAAAAAGTTTACCTGTGTATAATATACTAAAAAAATGTAATGTACAATCGGTGAACGATTCGACGTTTGTGAGCGCGTTATTATGTTTTACTTATCGCTTGCGCCGCTTGGTAATGTTAATATTATCTGAAATTTTATTTTTTTGTTATATAGAACTTATATATAATGGGTTAATAACATAAAATACCTATTTTTATGAATTTTAATAATTGACTTTATTCCACCTAAATTAGCTTTTAGACCACTGTGCTTCGGTGCAAGTTGACACTTATGTTTTCTAATATCAAATTTTGTTAGCTTTCCGATGATACTGATATTAGTTTCAGCTCTGTAATTATCCCAGAAGATGCTCAATCAGGCAAAGATCGTTCGGTGTACCTAGCGTTCGATGTACCGTAACATCATATTTTAATTTATGCTACTCAGATGTGTTTATCAGAGCTGACACTTATATCATTGGAAAGACTAAAATAAGGACTATGATTTCAAAAAAAAAATTAAGGTTCTAACATAATACCTGTACGAAATCAATAAAATAGTATGACGTATTTGTCAAATGATTAAAATTTTATAAATTCTTTTCAATATTGATTTAATACAATATGTTTTATAATAAAACATGTTTATTAATACAGTATTTTTCAAGACTTAAAAATAATAGCCTTAATTAGTTTATCTAGAAATAACTTAGTAACTTATGGTTGTATATAATAAAGAAATTAATATTAAAAACCCTTAACCATAAGAATAATACACTCTCTATGTATACGTATTTCAGCAACAATGTTGTCATCTTTAGCGCTAACGGCAGAGTCATAATTACATTATTTCTTAAATAGATTTTTTGTAAATCTGGATTTTTATAATCCCATCCTCAATAAATAATAACAAGATATAATGTGTAAGAATATTACAGAATTTTTTTAATCGTATAAAGAAGATTAAGGTGTACAGACATTTTCATACTAAAAATATTTTAAATTTCAACTACAGTAACACTTAATAAATGTTTTGATTAATTATTGAGAGTCATTACTGTTAACAAACTTAGATAAGAAGTCATTAGGCTTTGGTTCAACTGTATCCTTAAATAAATTCATTATGTGACAATCCTGGGCCCACTTGGTCACTATTTCTTGCAAAAGCATTTGTCCCTAAAAATAAACACTGCATGTTAAACATTAATAATTTAATACAACTTAAATTTATAAATTAATAAACATGTATACTAGTTAGTTAATTTAATGTAGTAAATAATAATAATAACACTTTACAGTCTACAGATTGGCCAATTTACTATGAATGTGGCAATAATATTTACAAAAACAAAATTGTAACTTCTGTTATTTTTTGTGATGGTAAATGTATAAAAGGAGAAGTGGCTGAATAGGTAAGACGGCAGTGTGTTAGTGCTCACTGTAGCTGTTTCGACACTTGGTTACGAGCACTCTGTTTGCTGGGCGAGCAATCATCTGGTGAAAAGGAGCCACCATCCCCCTCTTCCGCGACGGACTCACGACCCGTCCCGGATAGATAATTCGTCTAGTAACCATCTCATGATAGCCACATTAGGCCTTCATGGCCTGTTAAGCTTGCACGATGATGACTATGATAAATTTAAAAACTACTTTTACCTACTAGTATATTTTTACTGTAAAATAAATACAAGTTAAAAATATTTACAGTAAAACAATAACTGCATCTCAAAAGTAAAGTATTGCAAGACTAAAAAAATACATTTACAGGAGATAAAAATTATTATGTGATTTTTGGGGAAAATTATAATCAGAGTATTTTTTGCATTATTTATTAAATGTTGCTAATGACTATTAATTATTAATACAACATTAATGGTTTAAATCAATATTTTTATACCATTTTATTAATGGACTTGCTATTACTTTTTCAAGGTTTCTGAATTGATTGTTTGATATCTTAGTGTTTGTCTAATTTTACTCGGAATCGGTATTCACCATAATACAGTATATTTTATAACACTTGGTTAACCGTGTTTTTTCAATCATTTTAAAATAAACTTTTTCATTTAGTAAAATATATTTGCAAAAATAATTAATGAATATGATTTATTAAAAAGGTATTTGTGAATTGTGATGTTATTAGACTATCGAATTAGGTTATTAATCCAAATTTAGTATTATTATTTATATAAATATTTAATGTTACCTTAATCACCAGCATATCAATGACTCTAATATCGGTAATATGCTTATTCTTCAAAAATTCTTCTTTCAATTTTTGTTGACATTCTTCTTTTGTCAGTGGAAGATGATGATCAAACACTAACCAATAATCATAAAATATGATGTTATAACTAATATATAAATACATATTAGTAAAAAGAAATTATATGGGCAAAAACATTATTTAGTTAATTTATTCATAGATAGGGTCAGGCCAAGGAATAATGGGCTGGCACTTGCCAAAGATGAAGGATGCAAAATATCGAACAAGTGATAGAGGTACACAAAATTTGAAATAATAATTTTAATTTAATTTTACCAGGAACGTAGCATTAGCTTGGCCAGGCCCTGCTCGTAGACCATAATTCAATTAAGTAAAAAAATTATTACTCACACATCAAAGGTATTTGCCTGTAGTATGTCTTGTATAAATTTAATACTCTTTTTTTGGCTTCAGATTTGTTTGACGAAAGTAATGGCCTTACTACTTTGGTTGCATACTTCGAAGCCTCTCTTGCTGCCATTTTTTACTACTAAGAAAAAATAAGTGAAAATTTTATATTTTTAAATTGAAAAAAAAAAATTTACATAACCATTTGTTAATTATTAAGCGTAATTATTAGGCGATGGTTTTTATTTAGAATATTGCAATTTGCAGTATAATAGAATAACCTTCCATATAAAAAGAATATCTGATAAGCGGATAATAACACCTTTTCGTCATATGCTTGATAACGAAAAAACGTTTGCAGCAAAGTAGCTATCATCTAGATAGCGCACCATTCGAGGATATTATTTTTTTCCTTGGAATTATTTCAAACATAATTGTTTGTATAATTTGCAAGTGCAAGTTGTAATTTTTTTATTAAACACAATTTTTTAAATTTATATACATTATAAAAAAATAAAAATTTATGTATAACAGGGATTCTAAACGATACCAAGTCAAATTTTACACTATATTTGTTGTAAAATCCACGGGTTCCTAGTATAAGTCTGATCAGTTATTTTGAACTTGTTAATGATAAAAACTCAATAAAACATTTTTTTATGAAAAGTAATGCGTTTGGAACGATATAAAATATTGTTTTAGGAACGTTACGTTTATATAGTTCCATAGGGCATAATTTTACTTTATAATCTTTTTTTTTACAAGTTCAAAATCAGTTGAGCTCCATGGCTGTCATATTATCATTAATTTTAATAAACTTTTGTGGTAGCTATAACAAATAGTGTAAATTTTGGCTTAGTTAAGTTTTCAGTCCTTGATATACGTATATGATAAGGAACTTCGTTCCAATTAATAATTAGTGTACAATTATTCGAATAATTTGTTTTGATAATTAATTGAATCTTATATCTGTCAACAAATCGACAAACCGATCGTTACGTATGTAGTTCCAGTGAGCCGACCTGAGGGCGCTTTTAGCCTGTCTGGTTTCCATTGTACATGCGTACTCGAGTTCTCAGTTCGGTAATTTATCTATATATTAAACTTATATTTTTATTAAGATGATAGCCGTGATCGGTGCTCCAGTCTGACCCACATCTTAGCCGAATGCTTTGTCTAGCTCTAGTAGAATAAGGTCTGATAAAATTACCGCTAGATGACAGTAACTGTTTCGGAATCTGACCTGAACGCCTTCAGGCTTCAGTGCATCATTTTTTGATAAACATGTAAAATAGCGAGTTGTGTTAACCTAACAATATTGGTCATCTAGAGACTATAAAAAATAGATCCATTTTTTTGTTTTATACCTGATCCATGCACGATGTAGAGAAGATAAGGTGACGCCGTACAACTTCTTATCAGTAAAAATCTGGGGTCGAATGCTTCAGGCATTTTGGTAGTTCAGCTTCGCCGTTCATGCGGCGCCACCATTTGCCCGGAGGCCGATATCTTCTATGCGGCTTATGGACGATAAATGTTATTATTTTTTTTATGTTAACTAAGTATTTATAAAATATATAATAACTAAGACTAATTTCTCATTAATCTGAACATAAACTTATTAGGATAAATGTATAGTTGTTAATTAAATCGTATAAGGAATAAGTAGGAATTGAATAGACTGTACAAAACATTACACTTAATTATTAATTTTATATGATAGTAATAATAATAAATAAGTGTAGAATTGTTCTATAAATTAATTATAAGTACTATTATAGTACTTAAAATGTATATATTAATACATTTTAATAACTATAGTACTATAGTAGCAATTAAAAGAATTATCCAACTGTATATGGTGTATAGTGTTCCAAAAGGGAATAAATTCAATTTTCGAATATTAGTTTTCTTCCACCTTTGAAACGCCAGTTTTTATATTAAAGTCTAACCATATAGAACATTTAATCAGTGACGTCGCGGATCCATTTAATAAAACTTAATATTCGAAAATTTCCTTAAATGATGAACGTAAGTTAAGTTCATAAGGCAAAGGCCAAAGACACTAATAAAAACGAATAAGAACAACAGTATTTTATATAATTATACATGCCGCGGTATATTATGTTGGTACAAAATATAAACAATTATTGATGATGTAAATATCATCCCTAGAAACATAATGTAGAGAATATATAGGAATTTCACGTATGGTTGGGCTTGAATTACACGGTAGTTGGGCTGTCGGAGACACTTAATTCGGGTTTAATAATGTAATCAATATCCACCTTACACAAGCGATACTTATTTTTGGGGGAGATATTAAAATAATCGGAAAAAATGTATCTATTGTTATGTAAAAGCGTACTAAAGTGAGTTCACTCAAATGGATAAGACTCCGTTTATTAAGTCAGAGGTATTAATATAATTTTATCCTAAATAACTCTCCGATACCCGTTTTAATATGCCCTACTTTATAAGTCCCTTTTAATTACCACAGAATAAGCTTTATCTTGTAAAAATGTCTAGTTTTTAGGGAACTGCATATTTCTTAAGAAATTTTCGTGTAATTATTCTTTAGACCTTCAATAACTATAATCTTAATTTGAAAAACTTCTCTGGTGCTTAAAAATTCATTATAGGGGGGGGGGGGACTGGTTGAGAACAATTTTTTCCTTGTATATAATACGTATTATATTGTATATATTGTTGTAAAAGGATAGTTATCGTTCGACCAAAAACGTCTTTTGTGTAATACGAATTATAATAAATAATACATTTAATAAGACTACATATACGAATATTGTGGTTTTAAAAATAATATATAATCTGTAGTACTGTATTAAAATTAAATTACATGTAATATATTTTTATATAGCAATAAAAATGACAGTAACGTATAATAATATGTAAAATAGCCTATTAGTCCATGTAAAAGTCGGCCTCCGGGCGAATGGTGGCGCTATCTACGTGACAAATTGTACTACCAAAATGCCGTAATTTCTTGACTCTGATTTGGTTGGAGTGGCGTCTTATCTTCTCTACATCGTGGATCCATGATATATTAGTAATTATTATTAAGTGTATGAGTAGAACCATGGTAGTCGGTATCATAGAACTCCTTGATTTACGATGAAGATACCGATTACCGAAAAAATGTTTTATCTGACACTGACTTTTCTGACCTGTTTTAGTGATAGTGATCCTCTCTTTTTTTTCTTCTTTTTTTGTACGTTTTAGTGTAATACTTGTATAAATTACGTGTGGTAAGCTAGCGAAGAATTAAAAAATGTTTAGTGTGTAATAACCGTATGATGGAATGGCGGAAGAGGACTTTGACAGGCAGTTGATGTGCGATGAACCTGAAGTGGTACAAAAAATCATCGACATTTCATCAAAAATGTTGATCGACGTGAGGAATTTATGTGAAACGCGAGCAGAACTCACACAGCATGAGATAAGGACCTTGGAGGTAAAATCTATAATTTGTCATCTAAATAAAAATGCTACTTAAATACAAATGATTTTTTAGGGGAAACTCGTCAAGCTGTTTTCAGTGCAGCTGAATAATAGGCAAAAAAATCCAGGCCGCTTTGAATCGTCCAAATTAAAAAATACACCATCCTTAAAGCAATGGCTAGAAGTAGTGGGGCTCAGTACATTATCTGTTCAAGTAAGCATGTATATTTTACTTTAATTTCAGAATAATACCATAATATATGTATATATTTCTTCTTTCGCTTTATTCCTTACAATATGGGTCGGCCGGCCAAATCTACAAAAATCACTGCATATTTCCTATTCTATTCACTCCACATAGCTCTCCGTGTTTATTTAAATAATACATAAATCTAATTAAATTTTTTATTTTCAGAGGATTTGTGATAATATTAGCTGTATAGAAGCTCTATTATTAAAATCTGAAACTGAATTAAAGTCAATTCTTCCAGAATATTCTCTAAAAGATGAAGAACTTAGACGGTTAACAAGAGCTTCGTATAATTTAAAAAAATATAGTGGTATGTATATTAAAGTTGATAGGCTTAGAGCAACAATCCAAATTGCTTAGGATAATAAATAATATTAGGGAAACTTTAAAGAAATAAATATACTATAGGAAATACAAATTTTTCTCATAGCTTGAAAAACGTAATTATTCATTGTTGTAAATAGATCTTACTTTTTTTAGCCTGACTATCATGGACTTATTTTTAACAGAAATACAGCTGGCTGTCTTGCTAAGTTTTTGATGTACCCCTGAAAGCATACACTGATGTTAATTTGAAAAACGACTGAATTTATGACATAATCTTCGGTCGATCCTACTTTTTTTAATTCAATATAATTTTTTGTTTATTTTCAAGTATTCAATTTTTCATCAAATTCATCAAATTTTCACCAAAACTTTTAGCTAAAACGTATTATTAAATTTTTGTTTATAAATACAAAAATAAGATATCTACTTTGATATTTAATTTTTTTTCTTTAAATTATTTAACATGAACATGCCCATTTTTATACAAAGCAATGGAGTTGTACATAGAGTTGTTTGTAATAACATTTAATTTTCTTCATAACATTTACAAGGTATCAATCGTGGCATATTTATAAAATTATTTTTAGTTAACTAATAATTTCTATGTGAAAATCTGCAATTTTTAAAGTTTTTAATGACTTTTACATCGATATTAAAAAGTGAAAACTAAAAATTTATATTCTATTAATAGATCAAGCTAATATCGAAAATAGCAAATAACTGTTTTGAAAATTATTGTAGAACACGGTATAAAATACAAATTCATTTTGTGCAAACCACATAACAAAATATTAATGTTTGGCTTAGGTTTGAATTTTTAAAGTTTTAGTTCAATTGAAAAAGTTGCTAAATTGAGACACTACATTTAATGTAATATGTCATAAATGTTTGATAGAACCCAGGGTAAGTGAAATATTCGTAAAATATGCACTGCTTGGTCCCCACTATGTTCCGACGGCATTGTAGAGGTTTTTTTGTATTGAGATATGTTTTATAAAATATATTTGAACTATATAAAGTTAAAAAAAATTATAATTATTATTATTTATTTATTTCAGAAACTTTAAGAATTGGTAACAGAACTCGAGAAAAATGTAAAATGACATTGTACTGGGATTCGTGGTACCGGCAGTATGAAGTTCGTTGTGAACAAGCAGGGCATTCTCCTTCTTCAGTTCAAGGTCATTCTCCTTCATCCTCTTGTCGTGTTAGAAATTCTCATATAAATCATTACACTCCACCCTTGACTCCTACTCTATTTAATCACACCCATAGTAAGTAAATACAATTGATATACAGTAATCGACATAGTCTTTATAAAATATTTTTTTATAAAAAAATATACCAAGGGATATTACGTTAATTATTACTATGTTACTAGGGACCAGTGATAGTCCTATTTCTAAGCTGACGTCACCAAAAACTCGTAGAAATATAAATCCAGATGTAGTTTTTTCTGTAGTTACTACTCAAAGTCATTCAGATAATAATGTAGATGGAATTTAGTAAGTTAACTAATTTTTTTAAGTTTTAGACATAGTTTTAATATTACTTTTGTCAACTATTCAGTCAAAATGGAGTAGCAACACATTGTTTACCAAAAGAACATGTTGATAGCTCAATTTTTACGTCATCAGTGAGCTCAAATAGAGATAACCAATCTGCAGCCAATGAATTTAATATGTCACTATCGCCAAAAAATTCAGTTCCTGATATTTGTATTAAAACTGGACATAAATTTTCAAATTTGTTCCCTATGATTGGATATTGTGAACAATGTTCTGCCCGAGTATTTGTTGGTAAGTAAATAAAATTAACAATATAAAATGGAACTTAATATAATTATTCTGTAAACATGTATGTCATAGTGCTATAAGGATTAAACCTGATACTAAAGGTATTGCGTTTGATTTCATTATATTGGTCACACTGCAAAACATGTTCGCCCTCACCACGTACAACTTCTTTATGTTGCGGGTCTTTAGAAATAAATTGTTTATAAAAAACAATATATACACATGATAATTCAATATATAATTATATTTTGAAAACAAATTAGTAGCAATAAACATCAACTGAATTTTATTGGTATACAGCAATTATGTTTTTACAACCGAAGTGTTAAGACTTAGCAGTATTGGCGCGCGCTAGATTAAATTTTTGATCAAACTTGTTCCTACTCAGGGGGTGCCCCTTTTGTTGGGGTAAAATCAAATTATGGGTTTAAAACATTTGTTAAGAGGGCGTCGCACCAGTGATTTTCAGTGGTAAAAACATGTTTAAGCAGACTGAAAATAACTCGTTTGATTTTGGTTTTAGAGTAAAAGCACCCATTATAAAATTTAAAGAGAACAATATTCCGGAGGGCAAGACGGTGCGTTTTTTTAAAAAAAAAATCATTGTTTGAAAAGTTACAGTCATTTAAAAATGTTAAAATAGTCGTTATTTTTAAACTATGTATTGAGCGTTATACTTGGAATAATGAAAAAAACGCACCGTCTTGCCCTCCGGAATGTTGTTCTCTTTTAATTTTATAATGGGTGCTTTTACTCTAAAACCAAAATTAAACAAGTTATTTTCAGTCTGCTTAAACATATAGAGATGAAAAAAAATTTTTTAAATAGCTTTCAAGGATGCTGTGATAGTCCAAAAAATAAATTAACTACAAAAATAAGAGTCCTAGTTATTGAACTAATAATTACATGTCACAGTTTAACCCTTGAATTAAGATTTTGTAAAAAATTGCCTATACTCTACTCCTTAAAAATGGGCGGTGCGACGCCCTCTTAAGCAAATTATTATTAGTTGTCTGTTTTTAATTTATCGTTTTTAACAATTATTTAATAATAATAATGCATACTTATATAGTATGTATACCTCTGAATGAAGTAAAATGTATTTTTGTTTTAGGTATAAAATGTAAAATTTGCAAGTATCGATATCATAAAGGATGTCTGTCTAAAGTTCCATTACATTGTACAAAAAGTGTTATGACAGATGACAATGACCAAACAGCATTTGATGGTAATAGAGATTTAAAATGTTATAATGGTCTCACAGTTTGGTTTAAAATTTATTTACTTTTTTTATGTATAATTTAACTAAAACTCAATATTAAATTAACTTAAACAATACTTATTAAACTTAACCTATGATTTATCAGTTCTCTAAACAAATTACTTTAATGTATTTATGTATATAACACTCAAAAAATCTCTTCATATCGATTACTAAGGGGATTCTAAAAAGCTTTTTGCTAAAGGGCAAAAGATAGACAATATTTAAAAAAATTGATCTATACTCTGGTCATTTTAGAAAGATACCTGGGCGGCCGACTAAAACTCGCCCACTGCTATTACACATACATATTCATATTGTATATGCACAATAGGAATAGTGGAAACGTTGGAAAGAGATGCTTATTATCTAATAATAAAAATGTACCCAGTTCTCCTTGTTACAGTATAAAAGGGCACTTAAGTTTTATTTTTTAATTACAATTTTAACAAAATTTACCTATCCCAAACCCCTTTGTAAATTCAAATATTTGAAAGGCGACCTTATAGGTTCGTCAATATAAAAGGCCTAACTGGTTTTTAAAACTGTAAAAAAACATGGGTTTTAACTTATGTTATTTTCCGTATCAGTCACATTTCATAAATCTAACATAGTTTTTTTTTAAGTAGAGATATTTAAAGATGTTTGTTTTTCTGTATTTAAACTGGCCTTATGATTAATTTATCATTTTAATTTTTCATAAATGTAATAGAAATATGAAAATTCTGGTTATATTTGAGGACCAAAAAAGCTAAATGGGGGGAAATTGAGTTAATTGGCGTTATCAATGGTGTTTGAAGGTATCATTTAATAACAATTTGCTATCTTAGTTAATAGAAAAACTTGCTAAATAAATATTTATTTGAAATATTTCTAATTACTTTTTTGGTTCTATGATGTAAGTAAGATAATTGTATATTTTACAGACCTTATAAGCTCATCAGTTAATCATTCGCCTAATTTTCATCGCCCTACCTCACACAAAACTTCTTCATCATTACTGTCAAGAAGAAAAACTCGCATTCCGTCCATCAACTCAATACCAGTTTCTGTTAGTATTAATATTTAATTAATTATTTATGTATGAATATATTATTTTACTAATAGTTTAATTGATTTATATTAGTCTAAGAGTGGTGGAGCTGAATCTAGTTCTGCTCCATCTAGTACAAATAGTTCTACACCTTCGAGTCCAGCTCTAGTCAACACTAGACAAACGCATGTTTCTTCATTACTAACTCCAGCTAGAACTCATGAACAATTTCAGTTTCCTGATACATCTCATTACCCACAAGATTTACAGGTAATACTAACTATAGTATATTATATTAAAGTTACAAAAAAGTCATATTTAATAATATAATGTATATTTTTAAGTAATACCTCGTTTCTAATGTTTACCGGAAACAAAGTTGAACACTTATACTCAATAATTACCTAACAGATTTGTAGTTTATACATAATAATAATTATGATATATTGTAATTAAAAACTTTACATTTTAGTAAAAGTGAATAAAAGTATCTAAAAGAAAATTTTTAATAAATTGTTTATCGTAGTCTCTCGTAGTAAAAATAGTTAGTATTTCAACATTTTATGAAATTTATCAAATATATCATAAGAATATCAAATTATATTATTTATTTGATTATTTTGTTTCTTATTAAAAATTGGTTTGTACATATTGATCAATATGTTTACAATTTGCAACTCTTTTAAGTTGTTTAAAACAATTTTTACTGTAAATTTCATTAGTGCTCAAATTTTTTTGTTTTAGAAAAACCAGTGTAGGTATACAGAATCGAGATGTGGTAGTTCAGATTCAGAGCATACATCTGTAAGAATGGATTCGTCTGAAGCTCAAAATTGGGACACGGATGAAATGGACACAAGAGGTTGGCCACGACAAAATAGTGTAAGTCTAATATACAGTATTGTTTATTTTAAAAAATGTATGTAATTATGTACTTGTATTCAATATTCTATAATGGATAGTGGGTTTCCTGTTATTGCAAACACTCGTTGAAACTTCCTGTTAAGAGGACGCTACCCACCCATAGTTTTATCCGCAAAAAATGCGGGGTTGGTTTTGCGGGGGACAAGAATGTAAGGGCAGTAACTACAAAAAGTTTTTACAATGGATAGAGAATAACTCTATCTACAGGTTAGCGTTTTTAGTTTTTTAATAACAAACACAATCAAAATTATTCGTAAAGATTCATTTTTTTAATTTTTTTATAAAAAAAATATTAAATATAGATATCAAAATATAACAACGCTACCCCATAGATAATGTTCTTTTCTATACATACTGAAAATTTGGTAAATCGACTGTTAATACTTGCCTCACATACTTGTCCCGCACCAAGCAGTTTTGATGAGGAAAAATTGTAATTTATCCAACAGGAATGACTGTGATGGTCTGAAAAAAAAATGGCAATTAACAAAATATCCTCATTACTGTATTAATAAGTATACACTATAGGTCAAACTCTAAATTAAAATTTGTAAAAAAAATAGTGTTTGGTATGATATATAATTATAATTACATAATATTATAATATTTGCTTAGCTGTCTCTTCAAGAATGGGATATACCCTGGGATGAATTAAATATGTGTGACAAATTGGGAGAAGGTCATTTTGGTACTGTGTACAGTGGAAATTGGCATGGGCCTGTTGCAATTAAAGTAATAAATATGGATTATTTAGATTACGAAAAAACATTAGAAGCATTCAAAGCAGAAGTAAGTAAACAGTGTATTTTCAAATTATATATATTTAAAATACAATTCAAAATGCGTCATATGTTTTAAAACTGCATAATTTTTACTGTGATGGATGATTCACTAATTATGAACTTGTCAATATTTCATAAGATATTAGACTTTTAAAAATTATTCTATTTTATACTTTTATTTATTTTTCAAAAAAATAAATCCATCCCATATGTATTAAAACCTTACGAACTTAGCTTTTTAGATGGTAACGTATTTATTTTACTAACATAATTAATTGAGAGTATTACGCTGAAAATTTTGACTGGTCGATACTCAGTTATGATGTTTACTTTTAAAGTTTAAAATTTAGGATGGGAAGAAGAAGGGTAGAGTGATGTAATTTTTATCTGCACGCATTACTTTACTGCACTCCACCTCCCATTCTACATTTTGGGCTTAAATAACTTTAAAAGTAATCATCCAAAAAAATTATCAATTAGTCAAAACTTTCAGCATAATACTCTTAATTTAAAAAGCTGAAATAATAGGTATATGTATGTTTCCATTTAAAAATCTAAAGTTCATAATATTTTAACACATAAGAAATGGAGTTTTGTTGTTGAATACTACTGGGTGAGGCAGTCAAACCTGACGCTTTATAACGCCTTTACCGCGAACGCACATTGTTCACTCGACCAACGCTCTATTTTTACTAAATTCAGGGTGTCTGGAAGCAGTAGGTTCAGTCCCAAACTCGTCGGGTTTGACTGCCCCACCCTGTATGTCAAATTTGGGCTAACTAATAACTGTAAAAGTATGAAAAAGAGTAATTAAAAATTTTTTATTATCTTTTAAGATATTGACTGCTTCATATTTGTTAACCAATCTGTATGTATACTATAATTTTAAGGTGGCTACCTTTCGCAAAACACGCCATGAAAATTTGATTTTGTTCATGGGTGCCTGTATGAAACTTCCCAGGTTAGCTATTGTTACAAGTCTTGCAAATGGTATGACTTTATACAGACATATACACATTCTGAAAGACAAATTTAATATGAGTCGTACTACAATGGTTGCTCAACAAATATCACAGGTAATGTCATTATTGTCAAATCTTACACCAACTATGTAATTAAATCAACTCAATTATGCACTTAGGGTATGGGTTATTTACATGCAAAAGGCATTATACATAAAGACTTAAGGAGTAAAAATATATTTTTGGAAAATGGAAAAGTCATCATTACAGATTTTGGTTTGTTTAGTGTAACCAGATTATGCTTTCGAAATCGGTAATACACAATTCATAAAAGTGTGTAACTGCATTATTTTTAAGTTGATTTACCTTTTTTAGAACTCAAGATGGCTTAATTGTTCCACCTGGTTGGTTATGTTACTTGGCACCTGAATTAGTGCGCAATTTACGTGTTCATCAAAGACCCGAAGAAGAAGATTTACCATTTAGTAAAGCTTCTGATGTTTATGCATTTGGGTGAGTTACATCAATTATGTACTTCAAACATTATGAAAAAAAATGAATACAGAAGATTAATGTATTTTAATTATTGTATATAATTTTTTTTTTGAAAATTAGTAAATTTTAGTTTTGACACACAAAATGTTTATATCACAGTTAGTCATATTTCTATATATTTTTTTTTAATTTTAAATTTCAGATTTTACACTATTATACTATAAAAATTATGCATGAAGATCGAATTTTAGTTTTAATTTAATTTTCTCATTTTATAGAACGGTTTGGTATGAGCTGTTGTGTGGTGAGTGGCCATTCAAATCGGCTAGCCCAGAAGTAATTATTTGGAATATTGGACGTGGCATGAAACAAAGATTGGCTAATTTAGAAGCATCTGGTGACGTTAAAGTATGAGGAAATAAAAAAAAATTCTTGTTAAAATTAGTTAAAACCTTAACTTTTTAAATTATTTTAGGATATATTGATGACATGCTGGTCATTTAATCCAGAAAAAAGACCAGATTTTTCTCAAATGCTTAAAACTCTAGAACGGTTACCAAGAAAAAGGTTAGCTCGTAGCCCATCCCATCCAATCCATTTGTCAAGATCAGCGGAATCTATTTTTTAAGAAATATTGTTTAACAGTATTAAACATAGCTATACCAATACATTTACTTGCATATAATAAGCTAGTATAATGATCATAATTGTAATACAAAAAACACTCAGCTCAGTTATACAGGTAAACGTTGAATGAAGTGCTTTTTAATTATTAAATATAATATAAATGTATTTTTCATTATTATTTTTATGAATATAATATTATATAATAATTATAAATATTATTATTTGTGTATTATAATTCACATTGTTATCTATTTATGAACTGTATGATACAAGTTATTATATATTGAGCACACAGTCGAGTTTCTATTATAGTTTTTAAAATTTATGAAATACATATTATATGCATTGTGGTTCACAAGAATTTGAAAAATGCTAATTTTGTATAAATAAAAACATTTTTTAATTTTGTTTTTTAGTAAAAATTTAATAATAAACCATAAATATTTTATATTTTAAAATAAATAAATATTCATAATAAAAAAATTAATACTTTTTAGTTCTTTAAATTAAAAAAAAAAAATCAAGGTAGCCATTTTAAAGAGTATGCAATATTTGATAAATTTTAAGTAAGAAATTTACACTAAACTCTCTATGTAAAATCATGTAACCAATCAAAAAAAGATTCATACCTAAAACCTTGAGTTTTACTCACAAACCCCTTATTCAGTATAATATTATGAAGTTTTAAACGTCACTAATAAAACAATTTAATTTCAGATATAGCTGTAAAAATTAAAATAAATAATTTTGTTTTTTTACACTAGAAGGGCACAGGGGAAGAAGGGTAATAGTCCATGTATAAACATTTTAGAGTATAGCAAAACATAGTTCATGAATTCCTCTCCCTCTTACATAAGAACAAAAAAAATCACGTAATTTTGCTATTTTACTAAAAAATGTATTTATTTACACAATCTACTGACATAAATAAAACAAATTAATGGCAAGTATTGAAAAAAAAAATTTCATAAATTGATTACTACCCTTCTTCTCCTGTGCCCTTCATTTGATTATGTTTTCTATGAAAAGTTCAATAACTAATTATAACAGTAAATAACGGTGATCAGCATCAAGTTAATAGTCCAAGATATAGCACTTTTTATAATAAATTACTAAAAGCAATTTTTAACAATATCATTGTTTTAATGTAAAAGTAGTAAAATACATTTGTTATTTGTTTAAATATAAAAGTCAAAACAGTTTAATTAAAAAAATGTATTCAATTTATACAATAAATATTTTGGTATTACTTTTTATCTCAGTGGATTGGATAAATTGTTAATAAGCTTCATGGTTTCATCAAAATTATTTAAATCTGAAAGCAAAGTAAAATAAATTAAAAACTGGAAGTATTAAAAGTGATAACATCAATGGTTGGTTTCACCGGATTAGCTTAAAAATTATGTAAAGTTTAATAACATTACAACTACAGGTTAATAAATTGTACTCTAATGTTCAGCCTAACGGGTAGGAATGCCAGAACAGAACGTCTACAACAGCAATATTTAATTTTAAGAAAATATTAAGTTATAACTAAACTTAACTTATAGTTAAATATTTCAAAAAAAGTTATAAGTTGATCCAATTTGTTTAACTGAGCTAGACGACAACATGTGGCGCAGTGGTACAATGTGTCTAACTTGGTACTAGCACAATTCACATGAACAAATTTCCAATAATCTGTGGTCTAGCATTCTGTGTTTAATTCTCACACCACTGGTAAACAGACATTATCTAGATCCTACTCACATAATCCAGCTTACTTGATGGGCGTTACACATTTAAATAATAGAAAGAAATATGTACGAGTATGAGCACTTAATTGCGTTCATACAAAACAAAAATGTATGCAACAAGCATTAGGTATAATTTTGTTTTTCCAAGTAAACAACAAAATGGTATAAAGACTACTAACCGAAATCATTGGTTATGTTAGATGGAAAACTAATGTGGTATGTTCCATTTATGGTTGTTTTGTCACTGACGTATCCATGAATTTCAACTAAAGCATCTACTTTGCTATACACGGGTTCATGGAAATTAGCAGTCACAACTTGATTATCAGTAGTTTGTAGCGTTAACGATTTACCATCTCCACTGATCTATTGTAGGATTGAAAGTTAAATCACGTCCATCAATCACAATCCACATCAGTGTTAATAAACTCAAGTAAATAAAAAAACCTTACTTTTAATACAGATGCTATCAACGTGACCGGTTTTCCTATCGATTTTTGTAAATATCCTCCATTTACATAAGTTCGAGTAGGCAAAATCGATGACTCCATAATGGCAAAATATGCAAAATGTGTAGTTATAAAATATTTATAACGGGTGCTCAGAAAAACTATTCTAAGATCACAACTAACACGCTAGTATTGAGAAGTAATTTTTTAAATAGGTACTACAGCTAAAAACTCAGATTTCAGATACGGTAGTGTGCTATTATAACAGAAATCAGAATACTGAAACTGAATAATGCTTAATGAAACTAATTTTCATTTAACCTGAGATATTATTTGTATTTTGTAGCAAGAACAATATACAAAATATATGGATTCAATATTTTAACCATTAACACATTGTGATTATGGCGCGCTCAGCTCGTGCCATCTAGTTGTAGCAATTGCCTCATCACGTGCTTAGAAGCTAAACTCAGGTAGTCACTCAAATCTCACATAATATATTAGGCCACGATTAAGATGTTATTATATTTAATCGTGGTTTAGGCCAATCGCAACTACCGGCCGGTCACTCTTTTTATAAACAAGTATATATTCTTTTGCCAGCATCTCCACAATCCCATAAAGTAAAAACACAGAATAGATTAAATTAAATCTATTCTATGGTTATAATTTATATCCCTTACCAAAAGTAAGTAGAAACATAGATATTTCTATGGAAAATAGCTCTTTTTCCCCGTCCAGAACCACAACCCCGTGTATTATATATAGTATAGACACTGTGCATTGGAATATTCAGCGTTGCAGTGGACAGCGAAAATAACTAGGTGTCGTTAGATCCTTACCACCCGGCTTTTTTAATCCAATTTCAATGTATTATATCTGTGCAACCGTAAAGTCCATCTGGTTGGTTTTAGAAGATTATACAGGTAGGGAATCAGTTCAGGAATAGAGATATAAAGACCGAAAAATAAATTATTCATTTTACAGTTTGTTTTATACAATTCAAATTAAATAAAAAGAATGATAAATTTCTCTTTTTTATAGCATTTTATCACAAAAAAGTTTAAAAAATACAAAGTTTCTATTACAGAGTCAAAATTTAATGCTACTGTAAAAATATACTGAACTCTGAACATTGATTGTATTATATTTTACAAAATAAATGTATGTTGATTTCATAAGATAAAAAATGTCTGCAGCTTGCGCATCCCTCAGAATTTGGGGCCAAGTGTAAGTGCACCTACTGCACTTGCAGAAATCAGACCCTGATTATACAATATAATATTATCTTTGTACAGGGTGATGCATCCGAAGTAAGACACTAATAATTGTCTAAAAAAATAATAACAATTGTATTGTTTTATCTAATTTATTTTACTGTATCATAAAAATTTAAATTATTAATTATCAAACATATATACACTTTTTTATTGTATTTTTCATTGATGAAGAAATGGAACATTTATATTATTCATGAAAAATTATTTTTTATTTACACAGAATAACATTGGTAACGATTTCAAAACAATAAACAAATAGGAAAGACAATAATTATACAAAAAACATACAATAATTATACAAAACGATTATAAAAAAAAAAAATTAGTACAATAACATTAAAATCATCTTAATAAGATGAATCAAATTAATATTTTACAGGGGATTAAACAAGTAGGGGGGAGGGCGGTAGTAGGTGTAAGCCACAAGGGTACGTTAGAAACCCGCATAATAAAATCCTCTCTCGACGGGCATGTCCGGGTACTCTTGCTTGCTTCTTAAGCTTATGGCCATGGCTTTTACCCTCGCCAGCCTGGCTCTGTATTCGGCGTCCACCGTGGTGGTGCTCTGGCCAAAGCGGTGTCTTATGTATAGGTTCCTGAGCCGAGCTGCTGGCAACGTCGCCGCCGCTTTGGGCTTCGGTCGTCGGTGGTTTGACCTCGGTGACTTTGGGCAGCAGTCTATCTTTAATGTCCTTGAACGTACTGAAAACCGTTGACCGTACCCAATGGTTCAGACTGGCCAGATAGCCTGATTTCTGGCGGCCAACGGTGTTGACGACTACGGGGAACAAGATTTTACAATTGGAAAAGAACATGTAGCAATTAAAGTTGTGGAAAAAATAACATGACCAAAAAAAGCAATTAAATATACGACTTCAGAAAGTGCCGAGCAATAAAAGGACAAGAAAGAGTAAGGATTAACAGGAAGTATAAAAAAGTAACTACAATATATGAATATAAAAAGTAATGGATACAGTCAACATGGGCGTAAATCGTAATATCAATAAAAACAAGAAAAAAATAAATTACCAAGCTTACAAATAGAAGATATCAAACGATACATCTGAATAGTGGCAAAAATAATCAATTCAAAGCCACTGTTCGCGGGTCCACGGGTTTGACGGCATCTCCGTCGGCTTGATCGGTAGGTTGGACGTTGGCATTGGCTGTTTCCGTATTGGCTTCGGGCTTGGTATGCGCGATACAGTCCAAGACTTTGATAATTCCAATTGACAGTCCATCTTTCAGCACATTTTATACAAAAGACATTGCTTTTGGAGACATGGTTTTTTTTATTTTTAATTAATTAAAACAAGGGGAAATATAGAAAACACGAGAAGTATGATGTGAAGTAAAGATGTTGTCCATAAAGATGAAATTTGGAACAGTGTCGCAAACACCAATGGAAAATGTGGTCTCTATAAAAAAAATAACATAGTAGTAATAATAGTATAATTATAGAGAAATCTAGTAATAATTATTAACTAATTAACATTTCAAAGACGAAAAACTAGTCAATAATAAAATAAAATGAATATATAAAATAAATGTTTGATTTTAATTTTTCTGACAAACTGTTGTCATTATTATTTTGATATTTAAGACATACATGAGTTTTATTGGTACTATCGTAGGGGTCGATATAATTGTTTAATAGAAAATCTCTGTGCTACTTGTCTTTAAAAACCAAACAACTATTGACTTTAAATTTAAATATTTACAAAGTTATGAGTGAAGAATCGATTATTGAAAACTAGAGATTGAAACGATAATTTTTAAATGTAATTTCTACTACCAAGTTATCGACTTAAAAATATGTGTTTGCTTTAAAAGTAGCTAGTAGTGTAACGTCATAAAGCAAGTATATAGAATACAAAATCGGAAAACATTACATAGTATGTAAAGTCAAACTTAATCAAGTTTATAAAACGCCTTTCTATAGGTCCTTTTTTTTTGTAATTTAAGATTGGCCAATGTAACCGACACTGTCATCATGGCTAATATTACAAAATATACGGCACTTTACACACATCGTGTATTCCCTAAAAGCCTTGGAGTTTTAAAGAAAACATTTTAAATCAATATGATAAAAGACGATAATTAACACAAAGATACATTTAACAGTTAACACGCATTTAATTATATTATTCTATTTTCGGTATTTTAGCTTAACTTGTTTTCAAAAAATATTGTGTTATCATATAGTGTAGAAGATATTGCCTATCCGAGACGCCTTAAAACCAATTATTATGTCTCCTCATTAGTAATCCGTTCTTTTTCAATTCATAAAACTAGTTCATTATTTATTTGTGATATGTTGATAAAGTTTGATTGTCATCGGTTTCGACCAATTCGACATCCATATTATTATCATTGTTAGATTTTGATGTTGTTGGCAAATCAGACTAACGCAATTCATTAATATTCTAAAACAAAAAACAATATTAACTAATTACCCGAGTTTTCAGATATTTTTGAAAAATAATAAGTATTAACGTACGAGTCAGATAAACAAGCTGAGAACATTTTCTAGTGACTTTGGCTACATTTATTTTTTATTATCTCAGATTAGATTAAACCAGATGATACAACTTGTACAAAACAAGTAGTATGAACACTTAGCAATCTGAATTCTAGTTTATTATATAATATATTATCTGTGATAAGTGATAAGGATAACTTTACCGAAACCTTTGACTTCTTGATGTCCTAACTTCACTATGCTCCGTCCCCACAATGCCCTAACCCTATTATGCTGAACGCGGAGTTTTTTTAAATATTTGTTAATTTATTTATTTCACATTTGCCTACCTGCGATTCAGATGGTGAATTATCTTTAGCTTCATAAGTGGGATAGTTCAACGATGTCTTACGCCGCACCTGTGGATCTTTGTCGATCATTTCCACGTCGATAATGACATTGTCAAACTTCACGAACTGCACAACTCCTGCACTAGACCTCTGGTTGAAAATTGCAATTTTCCTAGAATTACATACCGATGTGATTTTTTTATTATTTTTTTTTTTACGGATACTGCAGAACACCCACTTGGTGAGCAGTCCACTATTATATTTTAATAAAGTTGTTTATGTATAACTTGTTACATTTGAACTATGACTGATGTAGACTTCCATGAAGAACTATTTAAAATATAATATTATTTAATCGAGGGGGAGATGTGTTCTTATGATATTCAACTTACAAGCTCTGTAGGGAATGATAGACAGATATATAGAATACAGAATCGGGAAACATTACATAGTATGTAAAGTTAAACTAAATCAAATTTATAATACGACTTTTTATAGGTCCTTTTTTTTGTAATTTAAGATTGGCCAATGTAACCGACACTGTCATGGCTAATATTACAAAATATACGGCACTTTACACACATTGTGTATCCTCTAAAAGCCTTGGAGTTTTAAAGAAAACACATACCCATAAAGTATACAAGAATAACCACAACTTAGGAGTGTAGCTAGAGAATGGGCCTGTGTAATATAGTATAAATAATAATTGTCTAGAATGACTAAACTGACGATATTTTGATTTACAAGAATACATATTTGGCACTATGGATGTACGGAGGGATGTATAGCGTACCTATTGTATTATTATAAGTTTAAAAATAGCATGTACATTATTTGGGAGTTTATCTATTGACAACTAAAAGTCAGATAGCGCATAGTAAACCGCGTGAAAGGGCATAATATTATGGTTCCCCAAATGTTAGTTTCGTAATCATTATCCCAAAAATATCTGCTACATACGTCCGAGTATTTTGCTGGCTGAAACCAGCTTTCATTTATTGAATTCAATCATTTTTTTCGAAGTATTTTAACTTCCGGATATCTGAGCACAAAATATTTTATTAGGCTTGTTTTTTAAATTCTTAATATCTAGTTTTTACTTAAATGACAATCTATAATTTTGATTGTAATAATATTTAATACATTCTTAAGCTACCTAATATTTGTTTCTTTGCTGTATTTAGATTTGCAACCGTTTGCAAAACAAGAATGTGCCATTTTCTTATTAGGTCTATGAATTTAATACAAATGAATATTTTATTATTTTATAACATCTACGAAATCAGTTTCTTCTTGTTATGATAGATATGTTTAATATCCATATCAGTTTTATATTTTATTGATAAGTATGAAAAAAATGTTCCAAAGAAATTTTTATAGGTTACAACGTCTTTGGATTTCCCTACATAGCTCTTTCTCTCTCGCACATAATATCTTTGATTCACCGATTTACGCTGTACGACAATGATATGAGCGGTCCATTCGTATTGGTTATTAGGTCTATGATAAGAACTCTTGTAGATGCAACCAGTGTCCAGTGTATCTACAGTCGTGAGTAAATGTATGCCCACAGCTGATTGGCAATTTAGTTAAGTATGATGGTCACTTTCCTTATCATATACCGTAGTATAATCAGTTTATCTTAATTCGTGGTAGCGAAATCTCAATGTGACGTGTTCGTCGAATTGGGACTTGGAAGCGCGAGTTGTGATAAATGATAAGAAAACCAAATACTAATACCAAGTCACTACTAAACAATTTGGTTTTCTCAAAAAAAAAAAAAAAACAAAAACCAGATAAGTGAAGGGTCATTGAATCCTAAGGTCAAGGTTTCACATGGTAAGACTTCATGATTGTCTAATTTTTGACTGTACAGTAAAAGTAGTATGGATAGCACTATAAACGATAAAATACAGAAAACGATCGTGACACCAGGTATCGACGGTCAGCCTACTTTCTCCATTGGCACAAAAGTAAGTCGGATATCGATAAAAAAAAATTCCTTCAGTCATCCTATTACATACCTTGACTAGTATAACACGTTGTTAACTTTTTTTTTTTTTTTTGAAGGCGTCATTTCATTTTGTGACGAGACTAGTCAGTAATGGCAAAGTAATTGATGATAGTTATAAATGGCCCAAGCACATGGAAATAGTTTTCGGCAAAAAATTCAAGTTGGAAGTTTGGGAAACTGTATTGACGTCTATGCAAGAGAAAGAAATTTCTAAATTCATCGTACATAAAAGTGTAAGTACATTTAGAATGTTAAAACATAAAGTTACAATAATCTTGTGTGTTTGAATTTGACTTCATTTAAAATTTTTAATTTACATTTCTTCCCCACAAGTAATATATTTATTTTATACTTTAATAATTTGAAGTTAATATTACAACATTTCATGATAAAAATTTAAATTTCAGTTTACTGTTGATTGTATTGAATTAACTACTGTAAAATGCTAGTTGTTATTCTATTAAAACCTCTGCTTTAATTATAAAATTGTATTGAATAAATAACAATTAATTCTATAAATTAATTAATGCCATATTATGTATATATAAAAGAGCATTTAATTTTTGTGTAGAAAATATAACTCAGTAGATGTATTTATCTAAGAACCTAACATAAGTAGTATTAAAGTAAAAAATTACCTTTCCTATTTACAAAATTAATTATCACTTTTGACCTTAAGCTCTAAAACTTAAGAACACCTAAAAAAAGCGAAATTAAAAAAAAGTTGTTACCCCTTCTTGGGGAAAGGGTTTATAATATTATTTTGGTTTGTCATAGTTAATCTTTATTTCTTGGATCGATCTTACTGTAGTAAGTTTTATTTCTTTATTTCATTATTGTTGTTATTATTATTATTTAATGCTTTATTATTATTATCATGATCATTAGTATTAGTTTTATTACCTTTATGTTAAGCTGATAGTCATATGCAAAATAAAATAAAATAAATCTTTATTACTAAGTCGAAAAGATATTCCATACAAATTTAGGACTAATTCTACTTGTTTAAGAAAAATTTTAGAGCACTGTAATTTCAAGTTGAAAAATATGTACATTGTTAGGATGTTTTTTTCAATTTTGAAGGGAAAAAGATACATTTTTTAATTTATGGGTCAATAAAGTACCTTTCAGGTATGATGTCTGCTCTATAGAGTTGCTTCACAAAGAAATTGGTTCAGCTGTATAAAAGATATCGTGGGTCCAGACACAAAAAAAAAAAACAAAGAATAAAAACACATCATTAAAAATACAAAACCTTCTCAACTCCACATCAAAGATAAGGAACTACTACTGTAAAACATTCTATCACACGTAATTTCTATGATAAAATATATTTGATTATAAAATATAAAATCCTACTATAATAATTATTAATAATAGCATTAACCCATAATTAATAACAAGCGATACCGTTACTCGTTTATGTTTGTAAATCTTACCTCTAAGTAATAGGGTTTTGTAAGTATAAGTTTTAATAAACTGTAAAAGTAATTTGAAGTATTTTAATAGTGTTAATATATCGCTCGAAGCAATTTTATTCCACTCAGAGGTTATTTGGGTCATGTATTTTGAGGTATATTTTTAAACAATATTAAACAAAATTTGTTGTGTTTTGAATTTATTATGTACATATTTTATTTACAAACTTTTTTAGTGTAATTTACCCAAAATAGCTATTCAAAATGTGGGCCTGATATTATCAACAGTAACTTTCTTTTTTCTTCAAATCAAATATGAGCACATTTTTTTAAAATTATTTTAATAGAACCTTGTATATTTTATAAAATTCTTTATAATCTTCAATAATTTATGTATATTAAGCAAGTTTACCATAATTCCATGTCTATTTTTCACATGCCACCACACTTTACTATCATACCATAAAATTCAAATGCTTAATAGCAACTACCTATTAATTTAGTGAACTATTAGTAGTTAATATTAAATAGTTTACCTTCCTATACTACCAAACAGGACAATCAAAAATTATATAATGAATTGAAAAAAAATTAAGCAATGATTTTATTGAGGAATTTTTCTAGATCACAGGTAGTTTATAAATTTTAAGAAACACTTCATTATTAATTACTTGTTTTTGAATTAATGTTTGAATGTTAAATACCTTTATCATTATTTGTCATAAAAATAAGAATTTTTTTATTTATTTTATTGTGTTTGGGCTTTAGATTGGGCTTAATAGATATTAAGCCGCTGAACTGATTTCTTTGTATAGCAACTATAGATCAGAAATTGTATCTAAAAGGTAATTTATTGGGCCATAAATTACAAAAATTTACCCCTTCCTCTTCAAAATCATGAAAAACACCCAAAAATTGTACATATTTTTCAACTTAAAATTACAATACTCTTTAATTTTTTAAAAAATTGTCAAATTTGTATGGAATATTCTTTAAACATAAATACTACTGATAAAAATTGACAAACCAAAAAAAAATATCCTAAGCCCTTTTCCCTAGAAAATATAGACATGCAAATTTTTAAGAATTTGGGTCTGAATATTAGACTGAAGGCAGATCTAGAAAGAAACTATAACATACCTGTACAATTTTTTCAAAAATCTATGGCCAAATTTAATTTTTATTAATAATTGCTGTACACCTCATCTCCGCTATGCCCCGACCCTACTGTACTGGCTTTTTTTCTATTTTGTATACTTTATAATTTTTTGAACTTAACTAATTGGTTTAACTAACACATTGGTGTTTCGAATGTTGAAAATTTAACTGTCAGTTTCTTTCTTACTTAGTTAGAAAACATTTAATTGTTAAATTTAAATTTTGATATTTTGAAATATTAAAAATGTTCTCATTTCTAGAAAAAACATTTTTTTTCGGTTTATTTTCTAGCCTTAATTCTAGAAAATAGATAGCGAAAATTATGATATAAATAGCTACAATATATTTAAAAGCTAAAATTAAATATAAAAAGTCAGTACAGTTTTATTTATATAGCGGAGATGAAACACATTATGAAAGAGGAGGTCGCAGATGTTAAGGAATAATATCTGAAAGTAATATAAATATCTTTAAATAAAAAAATTAAAGTGAAATTGTAGATGGTAAAACTACTAAGAATACATATTTATCATTTTTAGACAATACATGTGTTAAGAATCGAAATGTATGATTTTTAGGGATTTTCAGGGTTCTCAGTAAAATAAGTATAACTTACAAATTAGTTAAATTTTAAGTATTTTATGTTTAAAAAAAATAGCAACGTATGTATGTCGTTTATATTTAAAATTAAGAATAATCACTAAACATTTTAAATGATTGGGTCGAAAATATATAATTTTGTAATAGACCTAAAAGAAATGAACTGCTGCGCCTTTTACATATCCCACCTATATAACCGAGGGGTCAACTCATGCATTTCCCTTTGGGGCGACACATATTTTCTTTTTTCAGTTTGACCTTTGAAATAAAAAAACATTTTACCATTGATTATAAATATTATTAATACTATATTTTTAATCAATGATTTTACCTATAAAAATTATGTTTTCACATCCTGGGCCCATAATTTAAATGTGTTAAGCACGATTTAAGATAACATCACAGACTATATGAAAATAGTGCAGTGCAGTCACATTATAATATATAACGCTTTTTGTACGGTAATTGTTATATAATTGTTGTAACACGACTTGTGTTATCAATTATCATTTAATATTACTTATCATAACGATAAACGATTTTAAATAATATTGTTTTAAATTATGCTTATCCACAGTTATATGTATATTTAAACTAGATTGCTAATTAGTTACAAGAATGGAAGTCGACGACCTCCATTTTTTTTCTCGATTTATTCGTGTACATAATAATATATATATATATATATATATATATATATATGATTATGTGTTATGAACTTAACTTATAGTTGTTATAAACATATTTTCATGTGATACAGGTTCTAATTCCCGCTAAAATGGCGAAAAATGTCATCTTCAATTATGTCTATTGGCGGCTTGTACATATAGCAATCTAGTTTATATATATATTTATTTATGTGTGCTTATCACAAGCAAACTATAGGAGTAGGCTGGTTAAAACATACTTTTTTACAAAGTACAAAAATGTATATAATACCTATATAAACCTATGGTCAGGTTAGGTAAAAAATTATAGGGGTCAGTAAAGTAGTACTAGTGAAGAGGAGCTGCCAACATGCCAACGAAATGTCTTTTTAAGGTTGTGTTTTGAATTTTTATTTTTACCGGCAAATAACAAAACAATAATAATATTCAACCTCACAAACTTAATACCATAGTGTATGGCATATTCAATACTTATGTACATTCATATTTTTTTAACAATTGTGATTTATTAACTGTGTTACCAGTCGTATTATGTTATTATTAGTCGATTATGGAAAACTTAAATAGCGTTTTAAAAAAAAAATCATAGCTTAGTTAGAAAAATAATATTCAATGTCTTCAAGTTTTTACAAAATAAAATAACACCCGGTATAAGGTATTACCAAGGTATTGTTATCCCCATATAACTAATTGTAAATAATTTCGCATTATCCAATGAATGTTTCTGTGCAGTTTTTGAAGTAATTAAAAAACTGGTGTTAGTCTTATTAACTATTTACACACACTTTCATCCATAATCCATTCCTATATTGTCTATAAAATGTGAAACGGTTCTTTATCATTTAAAGACCATAAAAATGTACCGAGTAATATTTTATATTGTTCCAAAGAGCATTATTTAATTTAAAAGGTTTTTAGTACTTTTTTTTTATTTATAAGTTTTTCAATTAGTTGAGCTATCAAGAATTACATTCCCATTTTTCTCAAAATTTGCAAAACTTTGTGGTTTTAATCCCTGCTTTTGAACAATACATTTATTTTTGAAGGTGACATGTTGTTCTACGTTCTGGTGTCAGTAAAGCAACAGTTGTCAGAGTAAGAAGAGAGTATACACAAATGGAACAAGGGCAGTCCTTTACAGACCCTGATAATAAAATTTGCGTGATAAAGATAGTAGCTAAAATTGATGATTGTGATAAATGTGTAATACACAGAACTCTTCGTGACATGATAACATTGGATTCATGATAATTTTGTTCCACCATTAAAAAATGTGTTTGGCTAAAATATGCAAAACTATTCAGTTTAAGGGATCTAAATCAACTTAAGTATTTTACTTAAGAAAATTGGATTTAAATTTTAAAAAACTAGGAGTGATCGTATGGTATTAATAGATAATTTAAATATGTGACAGAAAACGAATCAAATACTTACAGGCAATTAAAAAGTATAGGGAAGAAAAGAGACTGATTGTCTATAAAGATGAGACTTGCATACTATCCTCACACACGCTCTCAAAATCATGGATTGGTGGAAATAGTGGTCAAACAACACCAGTATCAAAAGTCGTCGTAAATAGTTTATGCTGGTTCTGACACTGGATTTATCTCTAGTTTATTAAGAATGTGGTAATCATCTGTGTCAAATGGAGATGACTATAACCAAATAAACTGATGTAATTATAAGAAGTGGTTAAAAGCTTATTTCAAACCTACAACCAAATGCGGTTCTAGTATTAGATAATGCGAGTTATCATTGTAACATTGATGATAGAGCACCAACATCCAACTTTCGTAAAGCAGACATGATAGCTTGGGTAAAAAAAAAAATATATCCAATACACTACAGATATGTTAAAATCGTCTTTGTACAAATTAGTCAAACAGCATAAGTCAAAACATTTGAAATATCTTGTAGATAATTGTATGAGAAGCCTAGGCTTCGAAATACTAAGGATACTGCCATACCATCCGAATTTCAATCCTATTGAAAATATATAGAATATAGTTAAGCAATGGGTTGCATCATATAATATAACTTTTAAAATAGAAGAGGGAAAATGGGAAAAGAACAAATTGAGGCGTTGATAAAGGAGGATTGGAAACAACCAGTATGTGATCATATCATAAAAAATGAAATTACTTATCGTGATAAAGAAATAGTCTTAGAATCAGAAAAAGAGCAGTATATTTTTTAAGTTGGAACAGGTAGTACTGGTGAAGATTCAAATAACGAATCTACAGATTCATATGATTGAAATACAGGTGTAAATATGAGTGGTATAGAGGTTATTGAATATATTACCTTAACAATATGATATGTTATATATTAAATATTTAAAAAATAAATCTTTAAATTGTACATACCTAATAATTTATTTATTATAATTACAAACTATTTTATTTCAGTGTTGAACTATGAAATCGTTTTCACATTAATTTGCTATGCTAGGTGTTAAACAAATTAATATTCGAAAGCCGGAATTTAATTATCGATACTAATATTCCGAATAATAAATGGCAAACATCAATAACATTCATAAAAAAAAAATAAAACTTATACTATTATTAACTCGTAATATCAATGACCAATATTAGTCAACATCACAAAATGGTAAACCTTGGTGTTATATTTTACTTATACTGGTAACACTGACGTCCGACTAAAAGTTTCGAACTTATCAAGTGGACACATTGAAAATAAATATTGAACTATACTCTATACTTTATAAATGTTTTTATACAGTAAAATAGGAGAGTAGGTTCAAAGTGTATGTTATCTTCTTGCATTCCTAAGATGGTTAATTTCACATTTTGGTTAATCTGTATTGAATTTTACAGTTTTTTTCATAAGTTTTAACTTGAAAAAAAAATTGCTTATGCCAAATTTCGAATATATCTGAAAATATTTAAATGTATTGTTGTAAGTTTTCTTTAAAACAATTTACTCAGCTTCATTGTGTCACTCATACGAAATACTTTTGAAAAGTTCCTCGATTGTGATTGGTTCCACATTAAGTAAAACAATATGACAAAAGACAAAGATGTTCGATAAAATGATTTTGACCAAGTTATAATAAACCTTAAAAAAATTGTAAAATTTAATGTCCTATAACTTTTATACTGGAAAAAACCCGTGTGAACATTTAGAAAAAGTTGTGATCGTAATTTTTTAAAAATCCAGTGAAAACCATGTGGCAATTTGTGTATAACGATCGCTTCACTGTTGTTGATTGAAAAACTGTGAATACATGTTTTATTTGGGTGGAAATAAGTAAGGTGTACGTAGAAATATAACTGTTTTTTTACTGATTAAAGCAAGTCGGTTGTTGTTAGATAATACATTTATTATATTTAAAAAAATGTAGGCGTCTGAGTTTATCTACGGGATGTTGAGTATAAAGGTTAATAATTAATCAATAAATTATAACTAACATTAGTTTATTACTAAAATTCAAATAGTTACTTATGTAAGTTGTGTTTTAAAGTCCATACTGCCTAATGATAAGATTTCATTACATAACCAATCTGGTTGCTTGGGTTCTCGAGTCTTCAATATAAATATTTTTTGTAAATAACTGCAAAAGGTGGACGTCAAACTTACAGAGAATTATACATGTATATACAGATAAAATGTTATCAAGTGAAAGTATTTGTAAACATGTATGTAGATTAAATTACCAATTGTTCAAAAAATGAATAGCGGAAACTCTAGATTGCAATTTAACTATCAGATTGTGTTATCTGTTTTATGTGTGCGCATAAAGTATTATTTTAAAACTATTGCTTGCCAATAAATATTTACAAATTGCTAATAACACATTATTTGCCAAGAAAACCTATTGTTTCTACATCAGTATCTTAGTATTGGTTAAGATAGGTTCATAACTATTTTTTATGAGAATTGTTGGAATTTAAATACTTAAGAATCGAAGGCATATTTGATATAATAACTTAAGAATAATTACAGTTATTTAGAAATAAGTAGGTAGTCAAATTATTTAAATACTCGAAATGTAAAAAGTAAAGTGAAGTACTTCACCACATTCATACAAATCAAAATCAATAAAACGTAAGTACTTATATTTTTTAGTACTTATTAGCTTTATAGTTATAAGTTTATAAAGCACTATAATTATTCAAATAAATAACTACAGTGTCATATAAGATTTATCTATGGTCATCTTGACGTTTTTAATTATTTGACTTGTAATATTATTACTGTCACATACGTAAAAACTATAAATGCTTGTATAACGTTTATACTCATTGTTAAAATATATGAGTGTAATATTGTATATTTATAAACTCACAATCCATGATTTCTTATTTGTTATCCAATTTTAAAATATCTGGCAAATAATTAATTATTATTATCTAATATTAAGTGGTTTACACGCCACAGTAAACGTGAAAAACCAGAATTATTTGTATACTGATTAATGGTCATACATTTTATGTACACCGAAGCTCCTTCGCCCTCTAAATCTAATCTAATACTTTTTTTTGTATTATTCCAAGAGTCATCTTGTAAACATCTCTGCTTTTATTATTTTAGTTGTGTATACTATTTAATACAAGTAGTCTTTAAAGTTATAAATCATTTTTTTTTCCATAGTATTCATAATTTAGATAAAACTATTCATGAACGTCTATTTAACAATCAAGTACGTTTAACCTTAATTATTTAAATTGTACTTCGTTTTTTATTGCTAAAAATGATGAACGTCAAATAAATTTTTATGAATATTACTCAATTTAATTTGTTTTATATTTATTCAAAATACTAGAATGTATAAATTTTTTTTGACTTATAATATTGTAATAATAATAATTACTATGTGGCGTAGTAATGTAAGTATGCATGTGTACTTTCAACTGAAATTTTGTTTTAAAATAACTCTAGTTTTGATTTTCTTAAACGCTAACCAAACATTGTAATTATATTTAAACAGTTTTTCTTTAATATTTTGAGCTTGAATATTTAAGGCCCTCGCATAAAGTATCCGTAAAATAATAGAAGTCAAAATAGCTTTTAACTTAAAAAAAAGACAAATTTCATTTGTCGTTATACTCTTTTATGGGCCACTACTGTCTTTATGTATATTACAATTTTTCACTTATGATAACTTATCGCAAATTTGTTTATATCTCGTGCTGTCTCGAATTATTTTTTTTAAAAACATTTTTTTTGTATTAGATGTAAGTATTGAATATTTTTAATTTCGAATAACATACAGCGGAGTTAGTTAAAATTATTTTTTAAATTTATTCGTCAGTTAATATTTTAAACGTTTATACACATTATTTTTCTTTAAATATCTTTAAAATAAAATACCGATTGTATATTTATTTCGTTTTTTTTTTATCAAAACTAAAGAAATATATCTGTTGTAGTCGTGTTATTAAAATATATAGACCAATTGTGATAAATCTAAAAAATATTTTCAATGAACGTAATCCATTCATACAAATTATTATGTACATTTTACACATACAAATAGTTAAAAACTATAACCGTCTTTAGGTAATCAACAAATATTATTTTTTAAATTTTATGACGTCCATATATATGTAAATAATAGAACATATCACATTGTTGCCTTGAATAATAACGATTATTATTCTGTATTAGTATACTTTTTAAAAAATACCTTTAAAAAGATCCGACCCCGAGATTCTCTACGCGTTCTTCGTATAGGGTTGCCGTTTATTGTGTAAAACGGTACTATGATACCTACTGTACGACTTGCGTCCCAAGGTTGTTTCTTAGTCTATTGTTGAAACTAAATGACTTGACGACGATTGCATCGCATACGGCCGATCAGTTGTATTTTTAAGTCGTAGACACCGCTAGTCATGTCTATGACGGTGATCAACGCTGTAGTGACAGATTTTATTAAATTCATGTTTTTTTTTTGTTTTTTTTTTTGTTAAACGACAGGTGCAAGTAAATTAAGGTCAATAGAAACGATACCCATTCGAATAACCATGGACCGGTGGCCAAAAGACGTGGGCATTCGCGCTATTCATTTCGTCGTACCGTCGTTGTACGTAGACCAAACCGATCTGGAACGTTACGACCAGGCGGCCGAGGGTAAATACACTATCGGTCTGGGACAAAAGCAAATGGGGTTTTGCACGGACTTGGAGGATATCAACTCGCTGTGCTTGACGGCCGTCAGCCAACTGGTCGAAAACAACGGTATCGATTACACGGACATCGGCCGCTTAGAAGTGGGCACCGAGACGATAATCGACAAGTCGAAAAGCGTCAAGTCGGTACTGATGAAACTGTTTCAGCCCAGTGGCAACTTCCAAGTAGAAGGTATCGACACGACCAACGCCTGTTACGGCGGCACAGCAGCGCTGTTTAACGCTCTATCGTGGATCGAATCCAGCGCCTGGGACGGCCGGTTGGCCATCGTGGTGGCCGCCGACATCGCCGTGTACGCCAAGGGTAACGCTCGGCCCACCGGTGGCGCAGGAGCCGTTGCCATGCTTGTCGGACCCGACGCGCCGTTGGTAATCGAAAGGGGACTTAGGGGTTCGTATATGAATCACGCGTACGATTTCTTCAAGCCAGACCTCACTTCAGAGTATCCGGTCGTCGATGGTAAACTGTCCATCCAGTGTTACCTGAACGCTCTCGACCAGTGTTACAAGTCCTACAGGAGTAAATGCGGCAAAAAGTGTAACTTAAACGAATTCGACTCGTTCGTGTTTCACACGCCGTATTGTAAACTGGTTCAGAAGTCGTTGGCCCGGCTGTACTTGAACGATTTCGTCAACAGCGACAGTAAGTCTGAAGACTATCCCGGGCTGGAACGGTTCCAAGACATCAGTTTGCCCGATACCTACTTCGACCGGGACGTGGAAAAGGCGTTCATGGAACGAAGCAAAGACACGTTCGAACGCATGACGAAACCGTCGCTGTTGCTGGCGTCGCGCGTCGGCAACATGTACACGCCGTCCGTGTACGGCGGTTTAGCGTCTTACCTGGTCTCCCTGTCCGTAGATCAGCTGCCCGATAAGAAAATCGGAGTGTTCTCTTACGGGTCGGGCCTGGCGTCGTCGATGTACTCCATTCGGGTGTCCGGCAACGACGGATTACCGGCGCTCATTAGCAACCTCAAGAAGAGTTTCGACAATCTGGAACGACGATTGCGCGTGTCACCCGAGAATTTTACCGAGGTTTTGGAAATAAGACAGAAAGCGCTGCACCAGGCACCTTACGTGCCCATCGGCAATAAGAGTGACCTGTTCCCAGGCACGTGGTACTTGTCTAGCGTCGACGAAATGCACAGGAGGTACTACGAGAGAAAAGAATCGTGATACTTGCACGGCGATTATTAAATACAAAAAGAATTAAGAATAACATCTTTCTATTTTTTAGTCATTATAGGAACGTTTTTTTTTCTATGCTCACCACAGTTATTACCTTCTATTTCGGTTTTCTTAGTTATTTCTTTCGGTATTAGTATAACCTATTTAAAATAATAATGTATTCTTAACTTTTCCGTAGTGCAAATTCTAGTGCGTATATAAATATTATATTTTGTTGTATAGTTTTTTCTTATAAAAGATTATTTTTGCCAGTAGTTAATTATATTATTTTTGTATAATAATAAAAACAATTACGAGTATTTTTAAGTATAATATATATATATTGTTTAAATTTATTATAAACGGTGTGGGTTTTTGACAAAAATATTTTGTAATTTAATTTTTTTTAACGGCTTTATTGTTAAACAATAATCGCAAAACATAATTTACTGTGGTGGTTTTGTAATAACATTATTATTGAACCAGCATCGGTTGTTTTGAATAAACTATAAAATAATTACCAAATAAAGTCTTCAACCGTTATATTTTGGTGTACTCTTATAAATTAAAAAATTTAAGAACCATAATATATATCTGTAAAATGGAGTAAAAAATAATACAAATTGTTGTAGGGTAGTAAAGATTTGTTCACTTGAAGATTCGCAAATATGTTTTTGTTCCCTTAGGAATTTACTATATTTGTAGTTCGATTATTAATCAAGTTAAAGTAGGTAGTCATTCTAACCTACAGTGTATTTTTGTGTGTTACACACTATATTATCAGGGCTGTGTTCTAAATTCATATAAGCAAATGGTTCACATATTCGGATCCGAATAATTAATATTTAAAAATCGAATGTTCGAATAATTATTTAAATAAAATCCTTTTTATAGAGTTATGTAATATTATACAACCTATATCTCATTTTTTATAAACTAAATATACGAGTATATATACTGTTATCAGACTTGAGTAATTTAAAAAGGTGTAATGGGCATTATTCGTCTATTGGTAAATTAATGAAACATTATACCCATTTAATTTTTAACACCGTTTACCTATTAGATAAACTATAGGAAAAATAATAATCATTAATCATTACCGTCTGTAATAAAAAGTAATGTGCGTGATAATTTTAATAGGTGTCGGTTATCTATTAAATAAAATATACGTGTCTAGTAGACATAAAATATAGAACTAAAAATGTTTGAGAAAATGAATAATTTTGTAGTTTTACCGATGGAATGTGTACAATGCCATCCAACAATGGGTGTGCTTTAAAATATAATATTTGTCTGTGTATTTATATATACATATTAATATATTGTTCACATAATACCAACGTAGCTTGTTTGCATACTATCAATTGTCATTATGGTGGACTCGTCGAGATTCTTCGCATTTTTGCAATTTAGACTTTCCATTCATTTCGGGCGCTTTCTCTTTTTTTATTTTTATTCCTCTTACCTCTCTTTAGGCGATTCATATTGCACAAATATACGATGTACTTGACCCTTCGGTGCGCCCATTGTAGCAGACTATATCACGACTTTTACATAATTTTATTTTGTTAGGAAAAATATAATTGTTTCATTTAGGTAGGTGGCGCCTTAAAGACATATTTGTCTTTAAAGTTATTAAAGACAAATATCCCTATCTACCAGATGTCATAAACTTACTTTTTACTTATTTTTCCCAAATTTCTGATAATTTAATCTTAAAAATAAAAATTGTACAGTATAAAATAAAATAAAAATTGGCTTTGAAGGGTTAAAACGCCTTTATATACTAATACGTCATTAGTAAATTTACAATAGATAATAATAATTATTATTATTATTGATTATTTATTTATTATTTATTACAAAATTAAACGGGTTTCGCTTTTTTTATATATAATATTTGAGTAGCAGTAGGTACAGATAATAATGTAGATTATAATAATTAGACATTCAAAATAACAATTGAACAAAAATAATAGAATAAAAAACAAAATAATAATATTAAAACAGACCATCATAAAAATAAAAGTTATACATGGAAAATTAAGTGTAAGCAATATGTATTGGAATTGGCAGTTGGCTAGCTAAACTTAAACGTGTTATAATATACTTCCAATGGCTATTTTCACTAACTATCATTCAACGTAATGGATAACTATGATTCCAATAGAAGAAGATTGATCTGTTATACACTTGTTGTTTTGATTCAGACAAAATCACAGTTTTTACCTAAAACGGAACTGTAAATCTATATAATGGCAAGCCAATGTTTTGGAAGGTGGTTATTGTATGTTAAGGACTAAGCCCCCCGCCCTCCTTCATGTTCGTTCGTAATAGGGGTGGAAAATGAATAGCACGAAATCCTTGTCTTCAGGCAGATGTGCTCGAGTCGCACAATAATTTGTGTTAGTGCCGTTGTTAATGTTGTTTGTTTACACAAGTGATATAATATTATAATGTCTGATTTTCAGTTGGTCACAGCCTATCCGTTTATTTCGAAAACGTTGCGCGATGCCGGTCGTACGTCTGTGCCGGTGTCGAGTCACTGTTGTACTGCACAACTTCAAAAGAACGGAACCGGATACGATGATCTCAATGACCTTTTGGCAGAACCCGACCATTTGGAATTCACTATAGGTTGTTAATTTTCATATTATGATATTAGAACGTACCATACCATACGCGTCTATACACAGTGAGGGTCTCAAGGATTTGACAAATGTGATATACACAATATAATGTATATAAATCTGTCAGTTCGATCAAAATGTTGATCATGCTTATGAAAATGTCGATGTTGAACGTTTTCATATTTTAATATATGATGCATCTATTTTCAAAAAAAAAAAAGTCAGAATAAGGTCAACACTTGACTCTATGATTTTATAATAAAAATAGGTTTACGAAATCAAAGCTTAAGAGTGTATATACTTACAAGAGCTTTTCATTTTCGTCCTATGGCTGTTTTTAAAACCGTAAATACATTTTTTTTACATAGATATATGACTGGTTCTAAAATTGACTTTTTGATTTTTAAATCAACCACAATTTTTCATTATCATCTTACATCAGTTACCTACATAGAGCTATAGAAAACCCCAATAAATGATTATTTTATTCCGAGGTGTGTCCAGCAGGTAGTTAAAAGTTCTAGTAGTGTGTGTGCAATTATACGTCAACGTTTATTCATTTAAACTAAAAAGGCATGCAAACTGCTGTCACTTTAAAACACTTGTTTTAATATAAAAAAAAGCGCAAGCAACACTTATGGTTATATATAATTAAATGTTTAAATAAACCCTTGACCACAAAACCACGAAAAGTGGTCAAGGGTTTTAATTAAATATTTAACTTGTCTTAATAAATGTATTATTTATGTTGTGCGGAGAAGACGTGTTTTGAGTAGAAACAATGGTCAGAGTCCAGACAGTCACCAAAAAAAAAAAACAGTTCAACAATAATCACTAATACACATATCTGCTAAATTTTACATAAAATACCATGTAACTTCCCAAAGCCACTAAACTATGCAGAGAGATAATTTTAGTTTACAAAACTAAAATTATATTCTCAGGGCAATTTTTTTTAAATCAATATATTTAAGCTTAATTTTAAAAATTATTCCACAAATTTAAAATTTACATCAGGATTGTAGAACCACATTTTGCAAGACTAAAACTTTATTATTTTTTATCTGATTATACATTATACATATTTAGGCCAAAAATGTACTTGCAGAATTTTTTTTAATCAAGCCAACGATTTATAAATGATTTGTCAAATTTTCATAACCAAAGCTGAGCAGTATCTTCTACGTTTTTTCATATGTGTAACTTGTAACTTGAGTCACTTAAAAAAAAAAAGTATTTGTAGTACACACTGCACACCATGTAGAATTAAAATAAGTTATGTAAAATAGTTGTTTCGCAAAAGTACACTACGTGATTTGGTTTGAAAAATCAAATAATATTACTCCTAATTTGTGTACACATTATATATATGTGTGCAACTTAGATATTTAAAAAACAAAATTCTTTAACTTGCAGCTTAAATAGAATCTTTAATTTTTGTATCACATAAATATGTTATCTACTGAACAATAAAAGTATATAAATAATAATCATTTCTTAGTTCGAATGAAGACAATATAATATTTTGTTAAAGAACTATTGAAAATCGAACAGCCCGGTATGTTTGAGAAGGAGACATGGTTAATGGACGAAAATGAAAAACTAAAAAACGTACCAGTGTTGAAAGAAGAAGGTAATGAGTTTTACAAACAAGGCATGTACAAGGAAGCCGAAGATAAATACATGGTGGCTCTTGGGTTTCTGGAGCAAATCATGATGAAGTAATTTTGTTTTATTATTCTTATTTATTTATTTTTTGTTTGTTAAATAATTAAAAACAAAACTTTTTACCCACATTATCAGTGACACTTTAGTGCAGCCTAAATGACAATTAGGTTATGATATTTTCTTACATAATATTTTGTCGATTCTTGAATTTTGATTCAAGTATAGTTTAAATATATATAAAAAAAAAATTATTGCCGATTTTTTAGTTATGAAAAAAATCACAACTATTTTATATATACATATTTTTAGACTATAATATATACTAATAATGTAGGTTCAACTTACAGAAATTAGGGGTCAGTGTAGAAAACGAGTTATACAAATTTTGATGTAAAAATGGTTATTTATAAAAAAATATATACAAATTGTATTGAGTATTGACCTTATTTTATTCACTGCATAATTCTATTAATTAAAATAATTGTGAGAGGTTAAGATATTTTTTTCTAAAGTGGGGATAAAAAATATATTTAAAAAATGTTTGTAGGTTAACTTTGGGCAGAAAATTCAAGTGTATAATAATGACTTGTTGATTCTGTTTAATGCGTTACAAAGTAAATCAAATGTACTTTATTATTACTATTTTTTTAGGTTGAAGCCGCAAGAAAAAGAATGGAACGAACTCAACGACATAAAAACTCCGTTGTTACTTAATTTAGCTCAGTGCAAACTCATATCTAAAGAATATTACCAAGTTATTGAGCACTGCACTTCAATTTTAGATGTCAATCCGGGTATGTATAGATTATAAAGTATACATTTTAGTGTATATATTGATCATCAATCATGAATATAGTTTGTGCGTTCATATTTAGACAACATAAAAGCCTTATTTAGACGTGGCAAGGCTAACATTTCTGTTTGGAGAATGGATGAAGCAAGAGAAGACTTAAGACGAGTAACCAATTTAGACCCCTCCATGGAAATTTCCGTTAACCGTCTACTAGTTCAAATCAATGAAGCTATAAAAAAGAAAGACGACGAGGATAGACAAAAGTTAAGGGGAAAACTTTTTTGAACAAAAATATTTTATAACATGTTATTTATGTATATTATTTTGACCTAAGTTACCTACAATCCAACGCGGTCATCTAAATAAACAACTCATTTGATCTATTAGTTGTATGATATATTATAAAAAACCTTTTTTCTATTAACTTTAAAGTTAAATTACAAAAAAACTGTGATATTTTTCTAGTAAAAAAAAACTTTTTTTTTGTGCTGCTAAGCGATTATTACAATACTGTGTGTTTTTATTTATGATGAATATGATTGTCATTACAGATTTTTCTGGTCGAGCTTGGTTTTTGAGTTTTTCCACATAATAAACCACATATATGTAAAAACTAATTATCCGTTTAAAAAATGGACTATTTTGCTTTTTTCTTCCTTTAAAATAAGTGGTTTTAACATTTAAAACTTCGATGAAATCAGAATTTGCCTAGCTAGCACATACAGCCTTACAGGGTGTTCAATAAGTTTTTATAACGGGAAATATTTAGATCTGCTATTGATTTTTGAAAATGTTGTCTAAGACTTGTCTTAGATGTTTGTAGTTGTCTTGTTACACACATATTATGATTAAATTTAAAATTGTATTTTAAGTTTCAATAATACGTGACATCAACTTCTAAAATTTAAATAGAAACTCTCAACTCCCATGTTTTTCGAGATAATATTCAGTTAGCAATTAATATTTTGAACAAAAAATTGTTAAAACACCGTTTTATGTTCAAATATTTACAGCCATTTGAAGTTTAAGTAAGTCCACATTTAAGAAGCATTTATAGGAATATTTAAATCTAATAACTTAATATAGCGTTTTAAAAATCTCAACTATTATAATAAAGAAAAAATGTACAATTATATTAAATTTATAGCCTAAGCTTAATGAATAACTTGTCATCGGAAAAACACAAATTGTACATTTTTTCCAGTGACGCTATAGCTTATAGTGATACGTTGCTAGGTTTGTGAATAATGTTTAATAATATAATATATAATACATTATTCATAATGTATACCTATACGAAAAATGAATGTTTCAACATTTTTCTTATGACAGTTTAATACAGGTAAATAATGACCAGCGACCAGTATACCTAAGTGTCGACTGTCTGCAGATTTTTTTAATGAAAAATTGTATTACTGTTATTTAAAACATTCCAGCACTTAGGTCAAAAAGATAATTTTATAAATAGTAATTATCAAAGCTTGGACCTTGGTTTTTATTTTACAAGGATTTAGGTGTATTATTTATGTCAAACACCCTAACTATTTTCTCCGCTTTACAGAAATACATTGAATCATGGATATGTTGTTAAGTTGTGTATTAAATATATGTAAGCAGCCATAACTTATCAAATGAGCAAGGACAAATTAGCATGCGGTAGAACGGCAGAAATTAATGTCTCTCTAAGTCCATTTTTGGGTAATTATAGATACTGACATTGACAATTAGGTATACTATGATAGGGTACAGGTGTTTTAAAATATTACTCAATGGGGCAAACATATTGGTGTGTCTGGGTGTTTTAATTAACAAACTACGGTTGTTTATTTGTCAAAATAAATAGTTTGATTTTATGTATAAAAACGATTTGGCCTTTCACTCTTCCATACATATAATATATTTACCAAATATATTTGGTTCAGTTTCAAATTGCTGGTATAATAAGAGATATAATAATTTAATAAACAATAATTGTAATATAATTAATTTATATTAAAATTTTAATGTTATGATAAACTGTACCACGGTTATTGGTTTGTGTGAACTGTGAAGTACGAGTCGTGATATCTTATCTCAGTTCACACAGATGTTTATTGGCCATTGATAAGCGTGGGGTTGTGTATCATACATTAATAACATTTGATTAAATCAATGCCATTGTGCTTCCACAATACAATATACATTCAAAATAATGTAATTTACTGTCCGATTCTTTTTGTAATTTTTGTTGTTTGTTAATTTAATGAGATACGGTTAATACTATAAAATTCACGTTTTGTGAAATTGTTTTTCCTAATTTCAAATTAATTCCGAATAGAAATAACCCGTTCAAGATGATGGCCCTAATTAATCGTATACTTGACTGGATAAAAAGCAAATTTTGGACTGAAGAAATGGAATTGACACTTGTAGGATTACAGTGTTCCGGAAAAACTACTTTTGTTCATGTCATTGCGGTAATTATAGTGTATAATATAGCAATATTGTGTTCAATACTAATTTACATTTGGTACCTATGGTTGCCAGATGGGCTTGTTGTCAAACTATGTATGTACAATTTTTAATATAGCTAGCTTAGTTTAATGTTTATCTGGTTAATAAACAATTAGTTTTTCAATAAAATGTAAGTAAAACATCTGACTGAATTCTTCAAGTACATGGAAATATTAATTTTACAACTAAAGGGTGTGGTTATTTCACTTTTATTTTACTAAATTTACATTAAATAATTTTAGTTGATTAATCAATAATCGTCATAAGATATGTTTGATATTACTCAGTACAGACAATACTTTGGCTTTTGCCAGTTGTTTATCTTTGTATATCTCCTTTAAGTTTAATGTTTTGGTCTTCAAACCTTACTTCAATCAGAAAGAAAATATAATAATACTTCTCTTTGTTTAAAACATTATACATTTCATTAATTATGTAATGTTCATACATTTATTAATTTTTTTATTTTTATATTTGGCCTTGGCATCAATAGCCATTGTCATTTGTCATAACGTTCACATTTACATGGTTAGCTAATGTGTATAAGAAGATAAACAGAAACAAAAATGAAAACAATAACAGAACAATTTTAGTATTTTAAAAATTAATATTTTGCTATTGAGTTCTGTGATTCTGAGTAAAGCAAACAAGCTAATGATGACATAGATATGTTAAATTTGTTGCTTCTGTGTATATCCTGCATTCGGTCAGAATATGGTCAACAGTTCCGTAACTCTGCATGTTAAATATTATATAGGTGTATCCTCTTTAGGTAAAAAATAAGTGTGTGTTAGTCTTGTATGACCGATTCTCATCCAGTTTGGAATAAATTCTTGAATTCTGTTTAGGAAGACTTCTTGGACCCAAGGAAGTATTGATTTTTATTCTGTTTAGGTTGGTGTTCTGACTATATCCCCAGTGTGATTGGCACATTTGAAGGTACTTTTGTTTAATTTGGTTTTTAATATCATGAAGTGATGCGGTCAATATTTTATCAGAAGATAATGAGGTTGCTGCTATTTTAGCCTAATATCTGGCTTTTCATTTCTATCTATTTCGGAGTTTCTGTATACACAAATTAGTCTAATATTATACACCAATTAGTCTAATATTATTTTCCCTTTTGGAAACGTTAAACGTGCTTAATGAATCGCTTAGAATAACAATGCCTATTAGTCTTTTAACTAGAACGTATTCCAAAGCTTTTTTAATCGTGAAAACTTCAGCTGAGTAAATAGAACATTCGTGGGCCATTTTATAGGACACTGTCATTATCCCAAATATTGGATGTACCAACTTGATTCTCAGTTTTTGACCTGTCAGTAAGCATTATAGAGCGGTGAGAATATTATATTGATAGAAGATCTCTATATCTTTGTATGTATATTAAAGAAGATGTTGAGCTTTTGGTAAGTTCCGAGAAGTTAGTGTCCACACAAAGTTTCTGAAAGTACACTTTTAAGACAGACATCACTTTTGTGAACGTTTTTTTGAAGGCAATGGCTATATATATAAACCACACAAGTATCATGGCCAGCGGGTCCGCTATTACCATCCACTATAACATTTTTTCTTCTATCAAAATTATGTGACACTCACAATTATATATGTAGGTCCCTCCAGACTAAAATCCTCTGCATTCTATTTTTATCATATAATATTCCCTTTATTCTATAATCTTCTGATGTATTTCTCATGAGATACACTATATAGTATATACATGTACACGATCCACATTCTTTTGCTCGAAGAGCAGAAAATCATAGTTTTATGTTCCCAGTCCTTTTACCTTTAATGTGTGCTTATAATACCGAATGTTCTTTGTTTTTTAACATTAGATGTGTTTTTAGGGTCTGGTTTTATTAAGATGTCTTTTATTTATTCATTTTGTAGCATTTTTCAGCGGGAATTAAAAATATGGAACCAAACCTACTTGGCACAAATTCTTAGGAAGGGGGCTAGAAAAGTTCAGGCCCTCTGAGTCAGGGTTAATACCAATATTTTTTTTTGACGTTCATACTAGTTTTCATTTATTTTAGTCTGGTCAATTTAATCAAGATATGATTCCAACTGTTGGTTTTAATATGAGGAAAGTAACAAAGAATAATGTTACAATAAAAATATGGGATATAGGTGGACAGCCACGATTCAGATCAATGTGGGAAAGATATTGCAGAGGCGTTAACGCTATTGTGTAAGTACATTAATATTGTTATTTGCTATAAAATATTGCTGATAGTTAATACTCATGAAGTATTTGTTTCCTTTACATTTTTTCAACTATTTTAGTTACATGGTAGATGCTGCAGATACAGATAAACTAGAAGCTTCCAGAAATGAACTTCACAACTTAATTGATAAACCACAGTTAGTTGGTATACCGGTTTTAGTTTTGGGAAATAAAAGAGATTTGCCAAATGCATTGGATGAAGTTGAACTGATTGATAGAATGTAAGTGCATAATTTTAACTTCAAACATTAATATATTAGGTCTTTGTCAAACTTACTAAAATGCATAAAAAAATCTAAAGTAAATAAGTATTTACTTATATTAGGTTAAATTGGTTGTAACTTTTAGGTGCCTTTTATTCAAGGTACATTTAATAAAAAGTATTAAAACTTACTACTTGGGTTTTTAGGAAAGCATTTATATTAAATTATCCAATTACTTAATGTTTGGTATGGAATATTTTTGATCTACATAAATAAGATAATATTATCATAACAATACTAAACTAATACCAGTTAAACTAATAGAATTTTAATCTATAGTTAACTTATACCAGACAATCTTTGTGTATAAATCCATTAATAATATAAGAATATTTAATAACAAGGATAAATTACTATATTATCACATTATTACATAATACAAAGATGTTTGGTCATAAAAAGTAAGCATGTAATCTAGTAAGCGTGAAAAACAGCATGACAATACCTAATACATCCGTATCTTGAATTCGAGCGCGTCAAACGTGGTTACTGTGATATGTGTAAACTGGGCTTATGTAGGTATTAAAATGACACTTTATATGAACGACCAAAAAAGTTTGTACAAAAAAAGCTACTAAAACAAACACCTTTTATTTTTTTAAATTTTTGATGCAGACTTTATTTCCATCACTTATTAGTTATTACTTATAAAAATCTATTAATTCAGCAGCAGATTATTAGGCAGTTGCTTAGAGTGGAAATATTTAAGCTGGGTGTCCACTAGGTCGGTTTGTCGGTATCACAAAAGTTACAAATGAATTTTTGAAATGTAAAATTATAATTATAATCGTCTCATTAATTAAAATTCTAAACATGTGTATTTTTTAATAGGAATTTAAATGCTATCCAAGACCGAGAAATATGTTGTTATTCTATTTCATGTAAAGAACAAGAAAATATTGACATTACACTGCAATGGTTAATTAGTCATTCAAAATCAAACCGCCAGTCATCAACGTAATACACCAGCATGATTTTTGTTTAGCACAAAGTAAAATGTGCTAATAATTATTGTATCTATTGTAGAATACATTTTTTTTAAGGCTGATCCAAAATAATATTTCCAATAATCCCAACAATAATGTATTAACGCCATATTTATTGCATGTAAGAATCTCTCCATACTTAGATATTTAAAAAAATAATCCATGTTTCTTAAGCAAACTAATTTTGGTAAAATGGATTTAAAATATTCATATCCACTTTCACTCTATATTCCTTAATTTACAAAATAACAAATTTGTTCTCTATAAAATGAGCCTACCATAAAAATTACTAAAATATTATAAATTATAATATATTATTTTTAACCATTATTTTATCACTATCAATTAATATATTTATTATTATTTTATATTATATTTGTGTATTACTTTGAAATCTTTTACTCAGAAATTATTAATTATCATTAAATTTGTTTATATCTGAAACTGACTTTTGTTTTTAGGTTCAATTGTACAATTAGGTACCATAAAATATAAAGTATTAATAAAGTATATTATGTATTTAGTATTAAAGTACTTCTCACTTACCTAATCTAAATAAATGATAAGATTTTAGCTTTATAGTTTCTTGCTAAGTCCTATCTTCAACATATTTTATTGAGTTGCCTCTTCAAATACATATTTTGTCATTATATAAGTATGATAATTATGCCCAAATTAAGTCCTTTTTCTTCTTCTTGGGTTTATTGGGCCTTTAAGATCATTCCGTCTCACAACCAAGCTTCTATCCTTCTCTGTCCAACGCTAGAATTCTCCAATTGGAACCACCTCCTTTTAAAATTAAGTCCTAATGTATTATTAACAAAGAATATTTTAAAAACAAAAAACTAATTATTTAGGAATACTCCTACCCTATTTATTAAAACTATACTCCATTTATAACATAATATATATCATGTTAGATTATATTAAGAAAAGATAATTACAAATTGTCTTGCATTATATTCCATAATATTGACCTTAATAAACTTATTTAAACTTTTTTTTGTTAGCTTATAATATTATAATAATTGTATTTTTCCACTGTTATAATATGATTCTATGTTAAATGCAAATATTTTACTCATACTTGATTTAAATATTTTAATTGAAATGTTTGACCGAGGTATAAAGTCAAAACTAAGTTTTTTTTTCATATTTCTATTAAAACAAAATAAAATATTATACTTATTAATGTTTGTTCGTTTTTGGTTTTTATTTGATGTAGTCTTAAAAGTTACAACTATTGTAAATAATAAAGGACAAAATAATTAAACCTTAGCATTTATACTAATAACTATCTGTAATAGCTAAGTATTTTACTATATATATATATATATATATATATATATATATATATTTATTAATAAAAACAATAAATAACTATTGTGCACCATTTCTTCGGTAAATTATTTAAATTTAAAACAGTTAATACATATATAAATACAATAAAATACATAAAAAAACAAAGTACTCAATAAAGTCTGTGTTGATTGCTTATCAAACGGTATTTGTTCAACGTGAATGTGGCCACAAACTTGAAACCATAGACCTTTATAGGTCTATGCTTGAAACTCTTTGACGGTTTTGTGCGAATGAAAGTATTCCTTTAGTTTGGCCGCGTCGTGGTCGATAGGGTTAAAGCGGCAGTGTATCTGCGCACTAGCCCGCACTAGTTCGAATCTCGGCCGTAGAAAAAAAAATATATTCATAAAAATAACCTACATTGCTTCTCAGGATAAAATCCTCTGTAAAGGTCTAAATACAAAGTCGGTTGGACGGAAATAAAAGTGAACTTGGTGAAATATAAATGTGAAATAATACCAATATTAAAATTTTTATAGTTCTTAGAATAAAACTCTTGCAACTTCTTTACCGGACGCCCTTTTTTTTCGATTTTTTTTGTTTTGTTTATTAACGTGTTTTTTACGCTGCTTACGAATCTGAAGTTAGAAATAGGCGGACTCCGTTAGTTTAATAGTTAAAGCTAGTTTAAATTTGCATAATTCCCCTATGTAACAGTACGCGGCGGCGATAACTAACAAGGACGGCAGGTTTCCGAATGTTTTGGGCTTTGGCACTCGCTCGCTCGACGCCGTCGCTTCGTTCCGCTAACTAAAAATATCCTAGGTTTGCAAGCTACAGTCTAGGAAGAGATTTAAAGTAAAGTCAGTTTAAAACGAATCTAGAAGCCATGTCACGTGTCCGGTATATAAAAAAAAAGACCACGAAGGGCGCGTACAGTTACATAGAGAAAATATGAAAATTTCCACTAGCTATAACTTTTGAACTAACGGAGTCCGTCTAATTCTGACTTCAGATTCGTAAGCAGCGTAAACAACACTATACAATGGCAAAAAAAGGGTGTCCAGTAAAGTAGATTTATACCCTATATTTTTCTATTGATTTTTGAATTTCTTTATTTTTTTTTTAAATTTGTATTATACTAGACTTAAACTGGATTTGATTTTAGCCATTATTACGTTTTAAAGGAATAGGTAAAAACAAAATGCGAAAACTACGAAGAATAGTGAATTTTTATGATTAAACGAAATTAAATAATTTTTTGTCTTAAATCGACTTTACCATCATCTCATACCCGAATTTCGTTTTTTTTTTCAATGCTGAAAACGATGATGGAAAAGACCAATCATGTTGTAGACGACCAAACAAAAGTGGTTTTTACAATAAATAAACATACATATTATGTAGTATTCATACATTACATTGTTAAGTTGTATATGTGATTTGTCAAGAGTATGCGAGTATGTTTTCAATATTTTATATTCGAAATAAATATCAAAATGGACAAATAAAATCTGTTATTGAGAATTATATTATAATAAATTAATAAACATAATATACACGTTACAAGAATTATAGCTTGGCCTAGAATGTTAGTAGAGAAAGGAATCGAATAAGAATTAATTGAATTATTTAAATGCGAGTTACTAAATGTTGTATATTATGATGGAAAATAATATAAAATACCTATGTATCTGTATTTTAATAGGTAGGTACTTACTTTTTTCTTTTAAGACAGGTTTTGCCACATGGCCAAATCTTATCACCATTCACCACATGTACAGTCAGCTAGAGTCTTATCTGTTTGGTGGCAATTGGCAATGTTTCCATTTCGACACTTGTAACTCGTTAATCGTTATGCTCGTTACTTACTGTTTAGTGAATAGTCTTATTTAAAAAAGATAATAGTTTTTATCTTTAATAGGCCTTTTCTAGTATTTTATAATTGTTAGAAGTCATTAAAAATGTACTCGCGGAGGGTGGCTTCATTAACGTTTAAACCTTTTAATTTCCAATGTAAATCGTGACTGAACTTCACCTAAACATCAGAGGCAAACATCCGTTATGGTTTTAGCATCTAAGGAAGTTATTTCCGTGGCAGTGCTATGTTGCTTTTGGTATGTGGTGAGTTCGGGTAGCAATGTAGTGGGCAAAACGTTGTTGAACCAATTTCCATATCCAATGACGGTCACAATGGTTCAGCTATTGTCAATTGCTGTTTACTCTGGGCCATTTTTTAACTTGTGGGGTGTCCGACGATTTGTAGACATTAGTTGGCCGTATTATTTCAAACTAATAGTCCCGTTGGCACTCGGGAAATTTGTTGGATCCGTCTTTACTCACGTGAGTTTATGGAAAGTGCCCGTCTCCTACACGCACACAGGTAATAATAATTAATAATAATTGTGTAAAAAGTATTTTCTAGAGTATTAATGACATTTTTTTTCAGTTAAAGCTACTATGCCGTTGTTCAGCGTCATCTTATCCAGAATAATACTCGGAGAAAAGCAAACATTAAAGGTAAATTTATTAATAGTATTTTTAATTTTAATTGAAAATTTAAATACGTTTTTTTTTTTAGGTTTATTTATCCTTAATGCCAATTATTATAGGAGTGGCTATTGCATCTTTCACTGAGATATCATTTGATCTAATAGGTTTGCTGAGTGCTCTGGGTGCTACATTACAACATACGTTACAAAATATATTTTCTAAAAAGGTGCTTCATGATACAGGAATTCACCATTTGCGACTGTTGCATATATTAGGCCGTCTTGCGTTATTTATGTTCCTACCAGTATGGCTGTACTATGACTTTTGGTATTTAGTATCAGTCTCCAATTTTAATGTAAGATTATTACATTCAAATTAAATTACATTCAATAATTGAAATTGTAAATGTTTTTCTTTAAAAATATTTCTAGGTTAATAATGAATCTTACAAAGTATTAGGACTGCTAATAACTGATGGCATATTAAGTTGGCTTCAAAATATTCTAGCCTTCAGTGTTATGTCTATGGTAACTTCTTTGACGTATGCTGTTGCCAGCTCATCAAAAAGGATATTTGTTGTTGGTGCTTCATTGTTTGTATTAGGGAATCCAGTAACTCTCAACAATGTTTGTGGAATGTCATTGGCATTGTTGGGTGTTATAGCGTATAATAAGGTTAGTTTAAAACAATAATTGAGTAGGTTGAAACGAAAACTCGCATAATTCATAAAACTGTTTGTAGGATTTTTGAATCTGTTGTCAGTTTGTTTCAATACAGGCTAGATTTATCCTTAAAAATAGTGATTATTATCAAAACTAATAAGTTCCGTTGTATCCTGTAAATGTTGATACTGACGGCTTTTTCAGTCGTATCATACATTTTTACTATTTTGTGCCAAAAACTTACATGTTCCAAACCTCAATTTAAAAAAAAAAAAAAACAGATTTTAACTAAAATCTAAAATGTTGATGGCCAAGTTCAAGTTCTTCTTTCCAATATTTCCCAGGTAAACCCTGTCCTTTTTTTTGAAAAAGGGATTTTTGGATCATGTGAGTTTTGATTTCAGCCTATTCAATTGTGGTTGTATATATTCAATATATTTAAATGACCTAACGTTGTTTTTGTTTTAGGCAAAATATGATGCTAGGCAATTAGACAAAAAACGTGTTATATTGCCCATGACTTACCAAAACCTAAATAACTCCAAAGTATGGTTAAATGGTCATAGCAATTCAAATGGAAACAAATCACTGTTTGTTTGATTTTACATGAATATGATGACAGCTTTTTATTTGATATACATATATAAATGTTTATAGCCTTGTTTAGAACAAAACAAGGCAATTGTTGTATATTTTTTGTTCTGTTATGTTTTATATAAATTAAATTCTACAAATTATATTTTTATAATAATTTTTTAATTATTTCTTTTCAATAATCACTGATTATTTATTATAAAATTAGGGTTTTTAGCTGTTTTGCTAACATACCTTACTAGAGTTTCCCTATGTTAGTCAGCTATTCTCATTTGTTAACATTCTGACGGAATTTTAAAATTTCGTACTAAGTAATTTTTTGTAAAGAGTCCCTACTGATTATATTGCTATCAACTTTTGAGTTGTTAATGAAAACTTACTTGTTAAACAGTTATATTAATAAAATAATTGTGTTGTTTTAATTAAAACAATATATTAATTATATTATTTTACTTAAAACAATGGCTAGTTGATAACCAGTTTTGGGTAATTGTTTTTCAATTTAAAAGCTTAGGCGTGAGGAAAGGTGGGGAATAACTACAGTATATCCAAGTGTATTCCCTGTGCTACACATTTTATTTAAAAATATAAATTCTTTTAATTTGAGATTTTTTCTATAATATGTTATTGACCGGTCATTATATTTATTGGAATATTATTCTATTTATACAACTGTTAAAGATAAGTTTGTTATTTGCAAATCAAAATATGTTCCAAGTACATAAAAATTAAAAAACATCGTCCTTGGTTAGATTATCTTAAAAAAAAAAAATTGCGATATTATTATTTGGTGTTTGGGCGGCATAATTAACGGCGATTGCTGAAACCAATTAAGCTATATTTATTATTATATTTAATAATGTAGGATAATACTGGATATCTCGATTCCCGACCCGCCGTGTTTCGTATGTCCATGGACTATGTATGTATGTAAAATGTATATTTAATTTACATATTGAACGTCCTTGATACTACTTTTTGCCGATTGATGCATGTTGATAACATAATATCTATATTGAATTTTTGATAACAAAACTCGATGAAACACAAAACATTGGAGTTTAAACTTTAAAAATAAGGTACTTGCGGCTTGCTTTACATTAGTGATGGAAGTGATTTTGAAATGTTTCATGTAAATAAAGATTCTAAATTCAATCGATAATGATCAACAGATAACTATAGTCATAGTATAAATAAAATGTCTTTATTATATGGGGACATATTTGACTTAAAGCAAGTATTGAAGGTAGAAAATATAGTCAATGCAGTTAGTTTTCAAACATCCACTAATAACATATTTGCAATAGTTCTAAGGTAAATTTATATAAATTATAATTTTTATTCTTTCCATTTTATTAACTAACTTATAAAGCTGTGTATTTTTATCCAAATTATAGTAGTAATGATCTAGTACTTTTTGGGGATCATAAACCACCTACGCTTAAATATCTACCTTGGCCTAAAGATTATGGAAAAAAAATTGTCTCTTTAGCATTTAAATCGAGCAACGAAAAACTTCTTATATGTAGTAAGTATTTTCTAGTACATGTTGTAGTTCTATTATATTTTCTATTAATTATGTAATATTGGAAGAGAAATTATTTTGATGTATACAAATTAGTGTTTAAATAATATTTTAGGTTTTGATTGTACTCTATATTTGGTCTTTGTTCGTGAACTATTTGATCCACGAGATGGAGACCGAAGAAATAAAGTAAAAATAATTAGACCGGCACCAGGAGAACCTACTAGCTCATTGATTCCAACAGCTATTGTTTGGTGGACGCCTACAGTCCCAACATATTCTAGGTAAAATGTGTTTCACCAGAAATATTTTTTTCATTTAAATTATAAATATGTATTCCTCATAGTGATGTTGGTATTGTTGGTGGAAATATTGGAGAAATTGTATTTGTAAACCTCCGTACGGGTGCATGTCTGGGATCTACTTGTGTAAAGTGCTGTATAAAGTCTCTAGACATCTTGTATGAATCCTGTTCCAACACAGCTTGGCTAATTGTTAGTATTTTATTTTATTCTTAATTTAAATAAATATTTTAATTATAATTTTAAATTAGATCGCTAGCAACAATGGTGATCGCTGGAAATTGTTGCTAGAAAGTTTAGATGTTGGATATTGTTGGTTGAATCCAAGAACACATACTTCTCATGATCGGACATCCAAGTATAATTTGTATTTATAATTATGTTTTTTTAAATTTTATGTGTCAATTGTTTGAGTATAATTTTTATCAATACTTTTTTAATTAATATTTTAGACCATCAAACTCATTGAGTATAGAAACCATAGTTCCTGTTATATCAAATTTCCCTACAACAAAATCACGACTACTTGGACTTAGGCAATTATTTATTGAAAAATTATCAGCACCTAAAAAACAACGATCTATTGAAAATGGCATCCATAATGGTATAAAAATGATGTATTATGTTTGCTCTATAATTATAAACCATTGTCATATTATAGTTTAATGATTATGTATATATTATTTAAATTAATATTTTTCTTTTTATAGTGTCAAATGATATTAAACATCCAAAACGAAGCCTTTCATCTGATACAATATCATCTGGATGTTCATGTCTCAGTACAGGTCCATCACCCGAGCCAATCGCTAGTGTTACTGATATGAAATCTAGTGTGCAGTGTCACCGCGGTAAACAAACTGTTGTGAGTTACGCTTCTAATCATATTTTGGTGAGTCCCAATTATTGTGAACATAATATATTTCATTGAGTTTACAACCCATACCTGCTTACTGTTAGGTGTGTCATATGATGTATAATTTCATATAAGAATTAACACAGAACAGTACATTATAAAATATACAATATTGTAAACTGAATAATAATTAACATCTAAAGAAAACAATCTCATGTAATTCTAATTATAAATTATTATAATACAGGTACATGCATCTGGGTTTAATTGTAATCAGCCATTGGTTTTTAAGTTACTTAAAGGAGATATTGAAAAGTTTCTGTACACTGATCATTACATTTATACGACTGAAGATAATGGTACAAAACTGAATGTTTATTCTTCAAATTTGAGTCAACTTAAAAGTGATATTGTAATGATAATTATAATTTAAAGTTATATTTTTTAACTGCTTAAATGTTTTTTTCTATTTTTAATTTCAGGATGATGATAAACAAAAAAGTTTACTTGGTACATACAAATTTGACAATGGAGAGTTCATTTTAAATTTGTTTAAGGTACACGAACACAAAGTAAGTAAATTTATATTCAAATATTTTATCAATAAATATTTTTGATAAACATATTAAAACATATTTTAATAGTTATTTTGCTATTCTTAGGTGAAAAAAAATACGGATGTTATTGTTTCTCCAAAAATTAAAGGGAATTTAACTCAAAGTAAAAAAAAGAAAAATGAAAGGCATAATCGTAAAGATGATGCAATGTCAGACTTGTGTGCATTAGTTACTAATCGTTCATTATACTACTTAAATTTAAGGTAACAATAATGCCAATTGAATTCAAGTTATATTCATTACTAACCTTTTTTTTCGGATAGAATTAAGCCTGAAGAAGTTATATTCAAGCTTATAATGAAAGGTGCTCTAGATTATGCAAACAATTTATCAGATACTTTCGATGTTGATATAAAACCAATATTAGAAAAAGCAGCCGACGAACAACTTAGTTCTAGAAAATTTGAAGAAGCCACTCTTCTTTATAAACTGTCAAAGGTAAATCGACAGTACATTTTTAGTATGCTTACTTATTTATTAACTACTATTGTTTTAGGGCAGTCCTTTAAAACGTGTACTACGGTTGGCATCATCTGGAAATACTGACAAAGTGGTTCTGTTTGTCAGTACTTTACTTGAACAAGCACACCCAAGGGACCTTACAGCTTTGGAAAGATTGCATATCTCTAATCTTGCCATAATGAGTTATACGGAACAGTTGTTACGCTCCAATGATAGAGATAAACCAAGAATCGAATCAAAATTTTTGTGAGTGCTAAGAAATTTACAATATAAAGGATATCCAAAAATTTCAAAAATATTTTGCTGTTTAATAGGCGGTTATTATTAGATAATCATCATTACGATGAAGTATTATGTGTTAACATTATCGGTCAAAGTCGTCTTTGTTCGATTTTGAAATTTTTAGCTGTCGACAGAGGATTGCATAACGAAGTTCTTACTGTACTAGTCAGTTTAATGAGCCAAAAATCATTAGATAGTAAATATTTACCATGTAAGTAATATTTTATTGAATTTAAAATTTATAATATGTATTTTTGATTTATGTTAAACAATAATACATTTTAATACTTTTAATTTTGTTAGTAACTGAAGGATTTTGGGATTTAGTATCAGATACAGTTTTTACAGAAGCATTAGTTGCTTGTAATAAATTTACTAGAGTTCATGCCAAATACATACAAGAAAATTTACAACATATTTCTAAAGAGACAATTATAGTATGTCGTGTATTATAAAATTTATAAACTTCAGGTCCACTATGAATAAGCAGTAAAGTTAATATTTTTGTTTTTAGAAACTCAAAGTATTATATGATCCTTCTAATCCTGCTTTGCGGCCAGTTTTACGTAAGATGTTTTGTTTAGATAACGAATTGGAGTGTTCAACAGAACAAGATAATGCAAGTGGAATAAGATAGTTGATTATGTTAAACTATTAAGTATAAGGAAGCCTTTTTTAATATTTAAATTATTTTTCTATAGTTAAATCACTGTATGAAAGAATGGTTGACCACGTATTTAATGATATTAATCAAACTTTCACCAAATGAGTACTCAGAGCGGTTAATGAATTCAGTTTCGTTATCACATCCATTTGCAGTAAACACACTTAAAGATGAAATACAAATTGAGCGTAAATCTAGTCTTGGTGGTGGTTGGGCTCATGCAGCTCATATACGTAACCACAAACTCTATACTTGGGGTCATTCTTCAAACGGCTGTTTAGGTATTGGGCCACATATGACCAAAACTGCTACACCAAATCCCGTGTCATGGTTTGTGTGCATACGAGTTGAAGTCATGCAAGTAGCATGCGGTCGAAATCATTCTGTTGCTCTCACTACAAATGGAGTATGTATAATATTTATTTGAAATAAATAATTTATTCATATTTATACAATAAACAATTTGTTGTTTAAGGTCTATTCTTGGGGCTCCAACCATTATGGTCAGTTAGGCACGAACCGCCAGGGACAAGCTCCGTATCCCATGCTTGTTGAAAATTTATCAAACGAGTTAATAACCAGCGTGTCAGCTGGTCAATATCATTCTTTAGCGATTTCCATACACGGAAAATTGTGGACCTGGGGATGGGGCGTTTATGGGCAGTTAGGACACGGATCAATTGATGACTGCAAAAAACCTAAAATTGTCAAAGCATTAGAGAACGAAGTAATTCAAAATAATAATGACTGTACTTTAAACTGATATAAAGTAAAACAATGATTTTTTTATCTAGAATATTTCCAGTGCTTTTGGAGGGTATGCACATAGTATTGTTCTAACGAGTGCTGGTAAAGTATTTACATTTGGATCTGGAGTGTTTGGCCAACTGGGCAATGGTAGCACAGCAAAAATTACTAGTCCAGTTCCTGTGTACGGCCTCTCTGAAACTATAAAAAGCATTTCCACAGCCTATTTTCATAATGTAAGTATTAAACATGAGTATACAGCATACAAAAATAAAAATAAATGCTCTATTTTGTATATCATAAAACCGGACCACGAGACAAAAATATAATAGAATAATCTAAAATGAAAATGGGATGTATTCCCAGCTGTCTGTCCACTTGTTCAGTCTTCCTTTCATTTTATATTCACTATAGTTGTTAACATTTTTTTCTTATAATCTTTTACCATTAGTTTTACTAATACTATAAATTAATTATTAATACTTTTTATTAGTAATTTTTTTTAGTTATAATTTTAATTAAAAAAAAAAAAAAATATATATATATATTATGAATCGAAAATAGATTAAGCAGTTCCTATAAGGCCATCGCTCTCCCATCCTAGGCAGGAGGTTTCCTCCCTATTAATTTAATATTATGTTGTTTCAGTTGGCTCTGAGTGATGTAGGTCGTTTATATGCTTGGGGGAGCAGTCCTCAAGTACTTCGATTCCATGCTCAGTCACAAAAGAGAGCTAGAAATCAGCTGGCATTAAATGAAGTCAACCATGTAAGTTCATAAAAATACTAAAAAGGATTTTTATTCTTAAAATATTTTGCTTTTATATCAAATCAGTAGGCGTGATTGTATTATTATTCTCTAGCGAAAATTAGTAGGTCTTGAACCATTCGCCATGGCCATCGATACTATCTGTTTTAATGTTATTATTATTAATTATACAACTATATAGAAATATACACTAATGAATTCTTTTATTTAAATTTAATTATTTATTATTAATTCTTACAATACATATTATATATTTTTGATAGGTTGATGATGCAGAAATAGATGCATTAACTGCTGATGATGGCTTACTGCATCTAAGTCCAACTCTTATAGATACATCACATATAAAAGGAGATATTGTTCAAGTAAAATTTATATATTGGATTATTGTTATTATTTAAATTTCTTAATAAATTTATATATGTTTAGATGTGCTGTGGATGTCACCATTCAGCTGTTGTGAGTTCTACTGGACAACTATACACTTGGGGTCTAAATTTAGATGGACAGTTAGGAGTAACTGGTATTCGTGAAAGGTTAGTTCCAGCTACAACATTGGTAGGTCCGCCTTCGGTTATGGCGGATTCATCAAGCAACAACGGGGAGCCAATAAAAGAAGTTAGATGTGGAGCAGATTTTACATTAGCTTTAGATGGAGCTAATAAACTTTGGGGTTGGGGAAGTAATCACGAAGGACAAGTAAATATTATGTTTTTGTTAATTATTTAATATATTAATATCATTATGTATATGTATTTAGTAATTCACTACTAAAATTAAAATAAATAATATGCTATTTTATTTTTATTATTTTTTTAACCTCTTCAATTGTAATGGCCATTAGTCATTTTTTTTAAAAAATAAATTTTGACCATGTCAATTAATTTACAGACTAATAATTAATCAATTATTTATAAAAACTTGAAGGTATTATTTTTAACTGGTAATGTTTTAAATTAAAATGTTTGCAAATATCTCTAAAATAACCTATTTGGAATTTTTCAATAAATAAATTCCTCTCCTGACTGTGTCTTTTGAAAACTTCATAATTTTAACTTTTTTTTTTTAGTTGGGCAAAATTCCAGAAGAAGATTTAGCAAAAACTCTATTAGATGGGAAAATGGTTATGATAAAATCAACACATAAAATCATAAAAATTCAACATGGTAGTGTGAACAAATTTGATTCTCCAATTGAGATTGTCTTACCACAACTGAGATTTTCCTTTACTAACACTCAAGATGTTATTTCAATTCCGGTAAATAATTTAAATATCAATAAAGAAAAATAAATGTTGCAATTATATTTCCTAGTTATTTTTTAACTTTATTAGGTCAAGCGATTTTTGAATTTTCCTGGTCAACAGTCAAAGGAGTGTTTTCTTGAAAATCTTAACGATTTATGTGACTTACACGGTGTAGACTACGTCTTGCATTATGCACTGGAATGGTTTTATCCATACTATAATACTTCTGCCATTATTTCTACGGTGAATTTTGTTTGTATAAGTACACACTTTTATAAATAATGTTCATAAATTAATGTTTTTAGTGTTTTCAAATGCAAAATTATCAAGCGGCTAGTAAAGTACGATTAATTAGTAATGAACCGTCCAAAGCATTGCTTCATCAATTTGAAGCTTTTGTAGAATCAAGGTCGTACGGAGAAATGTTTGGTTTTAATGTCGAAGGTGGACACGAAGAACCAGCTGCAGAACTTCTTACATTCGGTGAAGATTTCACACTTAATCTAGAAGAAGGAGAGCTATTGACATCTCTTCCTAATGCCGTTTTATCACGAATGACTTCTGAAGAAAACATAATAAAAGAATGGCCAGGAATTTCTATAATTTCTCAAATGTTTGACTATTATTTTGAATTCATACAAGAAGTTAACATGGTTTCTTTTTTGCACAAAGTATGTATAAAATTAGTTTAATATATGCAAATATTTAATTTCAATTTCTTTCCCCAGTATCTTACGTATTGGTTGACTAAGTCGTTTCCGGTTGACGCACTAGAAGAGATGTTGTTGGAACGGTGGGACAAACTAAAAAATCCATTGGGGGTTTTATTACTGTGGTAAATAATATAGAATTGAAATATTTTCTGTCGTATATAATCAATATAAAATTCATATTTTGTTAAAGTAATGATTTGTCCGGAACAAATGAACATACAGAATTTAGCGAGGAACTAATGAAACCAAATTCTATTCTAAAATGTTTGTCCTTATCATTTTGTATGCGACTGTGTTCATCGGTTTCGAAAAATGTTGAAGAAACATGTAAGTTTCACTGTGAATTTGTTAGTGTATGTAAGATATGTGTAAATTGATGTAAATTTGTACTTCCGTTAAATAGCTGAAAATCGAGGAGATCTCATTAAATTATTAGCTCGTATTACTAATGCCCCGAGTACTGGATGGATAGAGTCGATAGTTGAAAACAAAACTGAAGATTTGTTGAGTCATTCAATACACATGCTTAACAGTGATGATCAAAACTCTTTTATACACTTAGAATTCAAAGTAAAAGATAACATTGCTGTATAAGTTATCAATTTTTTTTTTTATGAAGCCAAAGCCCTTATTATTTATTTTTATTTTCTAGGATACCGAAGTATTGGGAAATACAATTCTGGCATATTCTTGTGGTCATCGCTATCTATCCGAAGAGCAACTTAACCAAGATACTAAACAGTCCATCAATGGTCTGGATAACTTACCTAGAACTGCTATGGCAATACAGTCTGCTATGCAGGATATTGGAGATACTGCGTGTCCCAATTGTGTAATCAGACAAATCGGTAGTCTTGTACAAGACGAATAATATATTTTTAGAGAACTACTTCAAATTATAGAAATATCATTAATAATATATTCGCACCACAAAGGTTGTTTATATGAACGTTATTCTCTTTTTACACGGTCATCTAGTCGGACAAAATAATAATATTTATAGAAAATGTTTTTTATTGTTTATTATTATTTTTTTTTAGTGAAATGTATGTTATACAATGACTTGTTTTATTTTTATTTTGTTTATAGTTGTGTTAAAAATATATACCTAAAATCATTGTAGCTAATTATATAAGTGAATTCTAAATTTTGTTGATATTCATTACGTTTATGGCAGAAAAGGCAACGGGAATTGATTGTTTTTGTTGTTGACACTATTAATTTTTGACGGTTTTTCGTTCTCCGTCCACAGTGGTTTCAAACTTAAGTCAATTTCCGGCTTGTCGTAGTGTTCGTATTCTTCGTTTAATCTTTCCAATTCCTCTGGATTGCTATTGACCATACAGCAGGCTCGTAGTGTGAAGTAATACAAGATTTCCACTCCACTCAGCAGACTGAAACCGAGAAACAAGCCAGCAATACCGCCAAATGCAACTGTGAAAAATTGTTGTGGTCATAACATAACGTATGTGTGTATGTATGTAAAATTGATATAGTTTATCATGTATATTGTATACATACCCAACAAGTCCACCCAACCGAAAAGCACTTCTCTTCTGTATCTGACCATGGGCCATGACACAAAACTAATTTCTAATGGTTCGTCGACTAGATCAGCCCTATAAATTATTAATAGTTTTAGTATACTTTGTGAAAATATATTTTGGCAATTTTTTTAATAAATATTATAGGTTGCTAGTCAATTTTGGACCATCGGCGTGCATTAATGACATCGGCCTTCACGTCAAAAACAGGTTTAAATCAAAGGCTAAAACTTAGATCTATTGAGACATAAGTATATTTAAATAGTTTCCAGCTGCAACATTTTGATTAATGAGCAATTATAAAGATTAAAAACTGGCTAAAAATCATAATTTCTTGAAATAACAAATAACTGTTATATTTTTGTTTCACTGTTCAAAATTAAAAAACATTTTAATAGTTTAAAAAAAAACTATTATGATGTGCTTTTTTTTTAAATTTTCAATTAAAAAATTGCTGTAAAAAAAAAAAACATTAGTCCGTTCCTTATTAAATCTGTTATTACATTTTGTTAGTTGTTGAACGATGACTTACTGTGCGTCCTGTAGTTTTTCCACTTCGTACACTGTGTTCATACACCCAAGTTCACAAGCACAGTTCAATCCGTTTAAAATTTGTTCTAAAAACATGTTGTAAAAAAAAAAAGTGATTGATTGGCATGCAAATGTTTTGGGTGAAAATTCCTCATCATATTATAAATATTAGACCAGCGATGATTTTATGTCATGAAAATTATGTAAACAAAAAAAAATGTGTGATTATTATATCCCACATGTTACTAAATAATATACTATTTATACACTAACATGCTACCAATAAAATGTTCAGGTAGTTATTACGTTTGCGATTTATAGCTTTGTAATTAGAATTTCTTTAAGGCAAGATATAGAAAAATGATTCGAGTCACATCCGATGTTCTGTTTAAACTTACTATATAATTTTGAAGATGCTGTGTAAAAGAGCCTTTTATAGCAGGTGTAAGTAAAGTAGGTTACTTACTAATATTTTTTGCGATGCAAGCGAGGCCGTCTAAATTGCAGTATTCATAACCATCTGGAAATAGTTTTCAGTCAATTATAGCTATGTTAATTTTTAAACGTGGTACCACCACAATTCGCTGTCTTACTGATTTTCTTGTAAAACCAAGGAACGCATCCGCATAAGTTTCTAGTCTTGTCCATCCGACACTGAGTCATGCAAGCGCTGAACGTGTACATATGATCGGTCACCAATGGTATTTCATCTGGGAAAACGCATTTCCTCTGTTTTATCGTCAACTGTCTAGCGCCTTCTGTCGTGTAAGTCTGCTTGCTGTCGAAAAAGATCTTGGCTATTCTCCGGGTCCACAGGTGTTGCGGGGCCGAGTCGATGATTAGCATGTCGTCTGTGCTGTGTATGAATATCTTTAAACATAAAAAAACAATACTGTACCTATAGGTATAAACTAGCACAGTTTTTATTAAGCACAGCTAGAGAGAATCATTCACTATATACTAATATTTTTTATCGTGGGTCACTCAATATCTGGGCTTAATTAATAATTACATTTTTTTTCCACACATTTTTTTGTTCCTACCCCTCTGGCATATTAGTTTTTTTTCATAGCAACTTTTGAAACTTAAATGGTAACACACACACACACACATATATATATATATATATATATATATATATATGTATATTAATAACTTTTTAAATAAGGAACGTTTTATTAAAAATGTTTTGTTAAAACTAGTTGATAACCAGTTTTAAACCACTAGTTATAAGAGTTTAAAAGTTATGACGAGAGGAGAAGTGCGGGCAGATAAAAATAATACTGCACTCCACCTTTCCTCTTGCCTAAATTTGAACCAGTCAATATTTTTAGTATATTATTTTCAATTTTAAAAATTAATTAAATAATTATTTTGGAAAGGAGGAAGGAACTTAAAAATGTGTGGAAAATTGAGATCACATTATATGAAAACACTATGAAAAAAAAATAGATTTGTAGGCCGTATGTAAAATGAAACTAGATTATATATAGTGAACGTAGAGACAGCTAGTATAGTTAAGATAACTATTTATAAAAATAAGTTTAAAGAAAACCTTTCAATGGCAATATGTGGATGTCTTCTGTGCAAAGTTTAAATTATAATTGTAAAACGATGCTGCAGATTTTATACTGCTTGTGCTGGTTTTTTTTAATCATCCACTAACTCGCATTGAAGCAATGATAAATCACTTTTATACACGTTTCGGATCTCATTTTCTCAACTCCTTACTGGGCTTAGTGTACGAGCATACGAGTATATGATCGTTTTGGAAGGTAATTTATTTTGTAACCAGATTTCAAAGTTACCTAATGCATGTATACATGACACACCTAAGTGTTAACGCAACACTGATCAGTAATCAACTAATACAAGACTTCAGTTATTCATTCAAAATTAAGTATTAACTGATTATTGTTTGTTTTACTTTTAACCCTTTTTACCTTCGACGTAGAACGGAGAATAGGTACTGGTATCACAATTATGGGTTTTTTATTTGGGTCTTTAACTAGCATAATACTTTAAACACTTGTTTGGATTTTTTGGTATGTACATTCTATTATAGAACAGAGATCGCTCACAAACGTGTACTTTATAAATATTATAAGGTTATATTATGTTTATTCCTTCCTTGACAAAATCTAGTTTTAGAGAAGTCATTCGACCAGTTGTTAAAAGTAAAAACCAAAATGATCGTTGAAATCTTACGAGTATTTTCGGCCGAAGTTTCTTCTAGATAGGTACTATTTAATATTTAGTTTATTTTGTTTTAAATAAAGAGGAACCTATTTATCGTGTGTCCAGTGTCAAGGTACAGTTAAGTTATAAAACAAAAGGACCATTGTAAATCTTTTTTTTCTCGGTTTTGTTGTCATAATATTATACTATACTTTCAATGGATTTTTAGTGACGTTGTCCATGTTGAACGAAATTGCAAGTTTAGTGTCCGTTTCGTAAACGTATTCTGTACTTGATTTGGTATAGTTTTCAGACATCCTGCAAAAGAAATTGAGTGTCGTGAATAAAATTAGTAGCGTTGTGGTAATTTTCAACGTTTAACAATGATATACCATGGCCAGTCTAACACGACATGTCTGGAATTGAAGCTGTAACAAAGACCGTATTCCGTAAAGGTCGGTTCAAAACCAACACAACATTCGTACGGTTCGCCTTTGAATTTGCAATCGTACAACAGGTCCTCGCAATGATAAACCACCTAAAATATATAATTGTAATACCAGTATTTGAAAATTGTGTGCTGTGCTGTTGCATATTATAATATATTCTTTTATTGCTGAACAGTTAGTTATTGTCAGTGCTGGACCGGAACGAAAAAATGTGCTAAGGCTCGGACCAGCTAAATAAGGTATAGGTATCATTGTTTTTATGAGGAACAGTTTAGGGTTGACGCATTTTTAACACACATTTTACGGGGTTTCTTATGAGTTATTAATACTCGTATAAAAACAGTATTTGATTTTAAATATTTAAAGACTTTGCATTTATACATATAACATACCACTTTTTCGAAAATGCTTGCTCCTATTGGTCCATTGCAGTGATGGGCGAATTGTAGTCTGATTAATGATTGTTATTAGTAATTATGGTGTTAGATTAATGTAACCATAATCAGAAAAGAAATCATTTAAGTATATGATTACGTTATTCATTCATTTGTAATCATGATTAGATTAAGCATTTAGTTATAATCATAAAATTATTACCTAGTGGTTACCTTTTTTTTAACTGCTCAGTGGTACAACTGAGGCCCCCCTCAGGGATTAGCCCCTTGGCTAAAATTTAGCCCCCCCCCCCCAATAATATTCCTGCTTTACTTGAATATTAGTTAAATTGTACCATTTTGTCATTAAAACGTTATTAAAACTAAAAAATGATTTTTCATGTAAAACTGTTATTTATAGAAAACCAAAAATTAACAGTAATGATTTTAGATTTTTTACATTCCAAAAAATAAATATCTTGCCGGCTAAAGAAATACTTAGAAAAAAAACAGAGTTAAAAAAAATGAATTTTCCTAAGAGATGTTTCAAAGGTCAAATCGTAGTGGAACGTCCTATATATTGTTATATTCAAAAGGGCCCAGTCCGTAAAATCTATTAAAAAAAAAAAATAAATAAAAAAAAATAAATATATATGTATATAATATATTTTAGAGAAAGGCTTGGGCGTTTAAAAATTTGTTTTAAATTATTATTTCATGATAAAAATTTAATGACGAATGTAATTATATATTCGATGATTAATGATTAATGAATACAAAATGTAATCATGATTACTCATTAGTCATTACTTTTACAAAATTATTAAATGATTAATGATTAATTTAATCATGATTACATTGTTGTAATCGAATGTGTCCAATACTGGTCCACTGTAATATTAGACGATGCCACTATTAGTTTTAAATTTCCTATTTAAAAAGCATAGGATTTAACTACTAAAGAAACTACAAAATTGTAAATATTTTCTAAGAAAACAAGTGTCTTACGTTAATGAATCACCGGTGTAAAAATATTATAAACGGGCAAACATTTATTTTAGTATACTGTTGAGCATATTTATATACATTAATACTTTAACTCGTATAACGCAGCTGTTATGTTTGTTTAAAACATGTCCAGGAAGATGCACTTTTTTAAGGAACTATGCAGTTTTAGTGTCATATTGTAATGTAAATCGTTAGGAAATTAAAAATTAGAGATTTAATTTTAATTTCGACATGGGTGATACTGGATAAAATTATTGAAATTTGAGCTATAGGACACAATTTTTTTTAAAGGTTTATTTTACTACTAACACCTATTTTGCCACAATGTAAAGACTAATATTGAAAATAAGTAGCACGCGATAGAAAAATCAGTTCAATAGGTACATTACTTTGTAAGCTATGTCTTTTAGATTGTCCTTGGGCAACCATTTGTATTTGGAAAACGCTTCAAATTTTTCCATGTTGCTGTAAGACAACGACGCCACCTCTATTACAAACTGAGTAAAATTTTCTAGAGTCTCTTCATCCGTGTCGTTTCCATACACACTGATAACAAACCAACTTTATTATAGTTTTATTAAATATAACAATGGACGTCCCAACATTTTTTGGTTGTATTGTTGGGATGTTTTCATCATATACGAGTAGGTCATATGTCATAGGTAGCTAATATCCACTAATATTAATTTTTAATTGTTTGATCTAATTTATTCTTATTTTGAATTTACCTGAAAATTTATGCAGTTTCGATTTGTTTACCCAACCAATTTATCATAGGTTATATTTTTATTTACTAAAGTCTTAACAACGTTATGTTCTTCTCTTCTTTCGACTTATATCGACTTCTCTAATTGCCCATAGACCGACTATTGTATTCATTATGGTACATGTTGTAAATTTTGCAAAAAAAATGTAAAGTATACCTGCTGACGTACTCCTGTACTTTCTCATCGACCATTGGCCTCTTTGGGCACACGGTAATAGCCGGAAACTGCACATCCCAGTTGTGGAAATCCGTATCCAGCCCAGTGATCGTTGGACTAGTTTGAAACTTTTCCCACAGCGATACGATAATGATCGAAGTGATGACGATTCCTACGGACAAGAAACTGAACCACATGAACCTATAATGAAACATATTTATATATAAAACCGCATCTACCATTCAACGCATTGTTTAATTGAATATTTATCTATTTTGAGTAGGTATATAGCGCAATATTTTGTTCTTTGCCGATTTATAGGTGGATCAACAGGTGGATTAGGCAAAAAAAGCTTACTACCTTTCCCATAACATTCATTATATGTAACATCTTACTATAGTACGCACCTCTGTAATATTTTTACATTCATCAACTCCTTTATTATTATAATAACCGGGACTAAATAACTTCTTCTCCATAAGTTTGAGCACACAATATATGGTATAAAAATATTTGTTTTTTTCAGTTCTTCTTTTAACATTATGTTTCTTGGAGCAAAAAAATATTTCCTTATTTTTCAGATTTTTAAAATTATTTTTAGAGGTTGCGAGCATCAGTTTTCCAAAAAAAAATGTTTGTTTCTTAGTTTTAACATTTTTAAGGTATAATTATTAATTTTGAACACATGTTTTTTGTACAAAAAATAATCAGTAGAATAAACAAGTATTTTTTTTTGTTTTACAAATAAAAACTATTATTAAACTGATTTTGGACTTAAATGTATGAAAACATTGACAAATAACCCTTATAGTACCCTAAAATATTTTTTTTAAGGGTTGAAAATATTTTAAACTTATTCCTCATTTGATTGCGAAAAATCTGATTTATATACAAAACACAGTATTCCTATACAATGGATCAGAAAAAAAATTAACTAAAACAAAAAATATGATTCATATACTTTTTTAGCACTATGATTCGGCGTCCCGAATGCGAATTTGTTAATAAACCATCTCGTGATGACATGTGAAGGTTATTTGTGGACTTTGTCATCATAATTATCACTTCCAATGTCAGCTATTATTATTATTATATATATATGTTTATATTTAATTTAATTATGTGTATGTATTTTATAGCGTCTGAATCAAACTGACAAACTGGGAAGATGTTTAAATTTTCTACTGACATACACACCGTTCGTGGAGAGGTCGATCAGATTGGGCAATGTATCTGACGCCGTGCAGTGTACTCTTGTTGAAAAATTCGTTGAACTGATGGCGCCAGCTGACTTTGAGCAGCTTCATTTTTGACATGTCAGTATTTTCGACGTTTTTCAAATTTCCGTACATGATTGATGTTTTGAGCTTGCTTGAAAGTTCTTTGTTTGGTTTTTTCTTTTGCGACTAATGTCAAAGTACGGGGTTTTGGGGTTACAGCATATGTTTGTATACAAGTAACCGTGACTGCATATTTACAAGTTATCTTTGTAAATCTAACACGCATGGAACGAATCAAATTATAGGTACTAGTTTTAGGCCACGGTGATATTGATTTTCACTTCTGCGCCATTAATTTTGATGTAATCTGAACATGATTTATTTTAATATGATTTTTCTGTTAAATCGTCCATGAATTTATTGATTTTTGCCATAATATAATATGTATTGTATTAGTTGTTTTAGTTTAGATCAAAATATACTGATTAAGGATGGCAAATTAAATGTAAAAGCTTTTAGTTATATTTTCAGTTTTGACTGTAATGTAAAAAAAGTCAGTACAATAAGAAGCATTGCATTAAAAAGTAGTAAAATCTTTTCGATACAAAATTGTAGATAGTGAATAAACTACATGCCTTTTTTTTTTTTTGTTTCCGGTACAACATAAACTGATTTATTCATGAAATGTATCATCTTAATATATTGTGACCTAGACATGAAATTGGTCGAGCTGTTTACAGGACAAAAGCGTTTGCAAACACAATATATTGTATATTATTTACTGTACAGGGACGCTAAATGCCACTTAAACATACTATAGTTAGTTACATATTGCAGTTGTCTGCAGGCCCTAATAAAAATTGCTTTTAATGTTGCATTGCCGCGTCTTTCTTTGACATTCAGAAGCTATTTTATATTTTACTAAGCTGCACAGTGTGACCATAATATAATCTCCCTTTTTAAGTATAATTTTGCTTGATTGTATACAGTTATTTGCTGAAAATGTCGACTGGTCGATAACCAGTTTGAATAAATAGTTTTAAAGTTATTTAAGTTAAAAAATTAGGACTGGAGAGTTATTTTTATCTGCGCGCATTACTTTACCACACTCCACTTCTCATCCTAAATTTTAAACTTTAATAAATTTAAAACCAGTTATTAAAAACTGGTTTTCGACCTGTCAAATTGCCAGCAAATTATTTTTAATTGAAAAAAATATAATTGAACATATAATATATATTTATATGTAACCATTTAAGTTCAAAAGTTGACAAAGCTCTAAAAAAACCTAAAGAAGCTAAAAATTGCAATATTATTTTAATAGTGAACTAGTGTAGGTTAGTTTAGTGTGCGTTAAAAGAATCACCAGTTATGTCAGGTTCAAAATATTAAGTACAAAATTAAATCGCAACTCTTTTTGTCCTTACCCGATAAAAACCCGGATGTTTTTTAGAAGAAAATTTTTTTAAATTTTTACTACAAAACGAATTAGTATAAATATATATTATTTGCTCGATTATAATAAAGCTAGCACGACGACGTGGCCTCTTCGCACGCCTCTACCGCGGATGCATTGGCTCTATAATTAGAAACAAGTAACTCTCCCACCGCAGTGTTTGTGATGTGGTTGTTAACTACAGCTGCTGCTCACAACAGACTGATCTCGGGGAGTGCACAAAAAAAAATATTATATAGATTATGTTTTTTTCATTTGACCTAACCTTTCCGCATACCCGATAATAATATTGTTTTTTGGTTTTTACTACACATACACCGTATCAGAGTCCTAGTGTTGGGTTAAGTCAAGTAAAACCTACCCGGCCTGCGGTGGACAAAGAGGGCGGCGGCGGTACGGCGTTTTCTCGTGTACTAATTATTATTATTGTGCTGTATATTAAGTATTATTATACATTTTTCCCACCATAATGTTGTGTATTTAGTTTACAGGCCGTCGAGACGTCGAGGATAGTATAGTAGCAAAAAGGGACGGAGGCGCAGACGGTGGCGTCGTGGCGCGTTCCAAAATTAAACCATCAGCCAACTGGATCACCGCGCGCGACACGGACCACAAGTCTGTTACACACACAGGACCACAGTATAATAATATTATAATCTTTGCTGTCACCCAGCAGTCAGCACACATACGGATACGACGGTACCGCGGTTAACAGTGGTTGTGTGTTGTCGCCGGCAATTTTTTGTTTGTTCTTTCGAAACAATTTTTTCCATACACAAAACGAGTGCACCATGTCTGTGAAATGTTTTCGTCGCTAAAATTGTCCGCGCTCAGGTCCAAGAACGGAGGAAGCAACAACAGTGTCAACCGACAGTCGCCCAACGGCAACGAGCAACACCGGAAGTCGACCGGCAAATGTAAGACACTTACCGTATGATCACTAGTGCAGTTTGCACCAACTATGCTTGGAAATTAAACGGCAAGTTTAACAACACTCTAACTTAAGTATAGCCTGTATAGCTGGTGCAAACGGCCACACTAACCGCGCAACTCGTTCGGTCAGAAGTCACCTGCCAAGGGGCAATGTTGTTGTAATATTAGACATTTTATTGTCATAGTCCATCTTAACACGTTGGCTGTCGAGCCTATTTTTATAAAACTCTGTCTCCAAGTCACTCTCACTATGTTTTCCTTTGTGTACCATGAGAGTGACGATCCGTCACTCTAGGCTTCCCACAACATTGGATGGTTTGAAAATTATTACATTTTTTACCTTCATACATTTACTTGGGCATAATGGTGTTGGTTTTTGTTTTTATCTTATTTAGCTCGGTAGCCAACGTTAGATGATGTGCAAAGAGTGTCAGTTTGAAAAATATTGAGGAAATATTGACAGTCAACAATCACGAGGCCTTTTCTATTATACTATACATGGTAATATTAGGTAGAGAGACGCGGATAAAAGTTTGTCCAAGTTCAACACCTTTTATAATAATCGTATTCCACTCGATGATAATCTTAAATTCGACCTTATTTTAGCTGCCAATTATCAGCTAGTGTTTGGAATCAAATTGCCCAAACGATATTAAATCTGTTCCATAACATATTTTATCAATCGGCTAGCACGAATTAGAAGTTTAACAATACGGGTTGAACTTTTTTAATCATAACAGTTGGGTTTTATCTTCATCATGATTTTAGTCTACAGTGTGAGCATATTGTTTTTAATGTCGACTTTTGAAATGGGAGTCAGCGAAGGTCCTATACAATGACTCAGCTTGTACAACTTCCAAGTCGGTTCTGAGTGCAAGTACCTAGTATCCAATACTTGTAAGTTTGCAAGCATAGATTCACTGAATGCTTAAATTTACGCATTAGTGGAATTTCACATCGTACTGGTACAATATCATAGTTAAAAAAGTTATGTTTTAAGTTGGAGACTTTAAAAATGACTTGATATTTAATAACAGCCGAATTAAAAAATAACAAACGTTTTTTTGGTTAATAGTCGGACACTAAACCTAATTACACTTAGACAGTTTTACTTAAAAACCTATTAGAATCATCGTAGAGAACACATGGAAGTATTTCGATTGTAAAGAACTAACGTCATATTTTATGCGAAAAATCAAATATGTCACATACATATCCAATAGTATTGTACCACATATAATCAAATCAGGTCACCTTAATCATATTATCCTTTATATTATAATGGTTCATATATTCATACATATTCTGTTCGTTACCATAATTTAATTAGTTCTACGTACTCCAATGTCTTTATAGCTTATTAAAAATAATTCTGTGGTATTTTTGCAAAATTGGATAAGTCCGGATATTTATTAAGGTGCAAAATATAGACAACATTTCAGTATTACTAATTTTGGTATTGGTACTGGCGTTGGGAATTTTAATTGTACAGAATATTTTCTACTTAACAATAACAAATTCATCCAGACTCGACCGTTCTACCAGTTATAGGATCCTTATTTCCGCTAAGAATATTTTGTAGCAAAAAAGGCAACTTCTATTGGAGTTCGTTTTCCTCTAATTTAAAATATGGGAAATTTTTTACCACCTTATTTTCCGACTTTCTTTTCAAACTATCCCAGTTTACTCTCTCATTTATTTTTCCATTTAGAGACGTGTTCATTTCTAATTCTGCCCGATCTGTACAATAATAATCTCAGATTGAAATCAACTCTCATTTCATTGTAACAATTGTCACGAGCCCACAAATCATTTCATAACCTCGTGGTTTGTTGAACTCTACAGCGACAGTAGGGTTTTCGAGTTATTATGTCTTAACTTTTGCATAGGGTTGTTGGATAAGGTGTGTTCTTCGCAAAAGGCCGATGACTGCGGCAGCCGTATGGTGTCAGACGCTGTAAAGGTATACGAGCCTGCCCATAGGCGCTATGCCGACCACTGCACTTATTACGGCGGCAAATACAATACCAACAGCAGTAAGTAAAATCAAATCCGGTTGGACGTACATATAATAATAATTATTTTGTTGTGATTTTCAGATCAATGCGTCAAACACAAAGTAATCGACGTGTTCATCGAACGCGAAGACGGCAGCTTAGGCATAGTGCTTCGTGGCGGCGCTCATGTCGACCCGGATATGTGTCGACCACTGATAGTCACACACGTTCGTATCGATGGTCCAGCTGACAGGTTAGCAAGTCCTTTACACCAATGTTTATAGGATACACAATGTCTATTTGCTTTTATAAACCGTGTTTTTAAAAGTTGATAAAAAAAAAATACGTCTGTTGTGGTGTTGGTAACATTGTGTAATTATGTATATTTTACAGTATGATGTTTTTTGTATTATCGTTATTATAATGTACTCGCGTTATAATACTTGCAGTAGCAACATGCCGTCAATTTTATATTATACTCTTAATTTTAATATTTTATTGTACTTGTAAATGGCTATGTATTTTAATTGGAAACAGTGTAACATGGCGAAGTAGGTAGGATTGTTAAGAAATCTTTTATTTTTGCGTTCCATAAGTGTAAATTATTCCACTACATAGCAATGTATAATATACCTATCATAACGTCAAACTATTTAAAATATAACTTCGACCATGGATTGGAACTGATCTTAAAGATATCTGTTTAGAAATCAAAACCAGATCGAAACCGTTTGTTTACATAATAACAGGGGCGGACCTAGGAATAAAAAAAGGGAGGGGCTAGAAAAAATTCACTTCAAATATGTATAAGCAATAGTCATAGAGCTGACGTTTATATAGTAACAAAATTCTATAATCTTTATTCTAATATATAATAATAAATAAATAAAAAAAACTTTTTTAAAAACATGCTTTTCTAAAAAAATAGTAAAAAGTGAACTAAAAAGTAAAAAATAATTGTATTTCAAGAACAATTTACCAATCAATTGTAGCACATTTTATTTAAAATGTCAATTACTTTTAAAACAACCGAAAATTAACTACAATTTTATATAATGTTAAACTTCTTTAAATGTTGACTAAAAAGAAATCTATGGATATGAAATTCTATGATATCAGGAAGTGGATTAAATTAATTTTGGATGATTTGAAACAACAAGAAGTTTTAGCGAAATGACCCCCACATTTGACCCTGTGTAGGGCGACCTGGATGTCCGAGTCCCAATATTATTACAGGATATTTTATTGTCATCCGAGATGAGTGTGCCAAGTTTCAGCCCTCTACGACATCGGGAAGTGGGTTAAATTAATTTTGCAAGATTTGAAAAATACCCGTACAAACGTACGTACGTGTTAGCGAGTTAAAGAAAAGTATGTAAAAATATACTTTTAATGGATACAATTTAAGTACATAATGGAGGGACTTCAGCCCCCATAGCCACTTATCGTACTTACTACTTGGTTACAAAACTAAGTCGATAAGATCCATGTAAAAATATTACGTAGTCTCGTTAATGAATAAAAGTAGACCAGTATGTGTCGACACGTGCATGATTAAACGTCATCCGGTACTAAAGATAGGTCGTGTTGTGATCTTAATCATTTTTTTTTCTTAAGAACCTCCACACTGCGGAAGGTGTTATTGCTACTTACAATTTTAACGTGTGCCAAAACTGAAATCACTTGCCAAACATTTTTTTATAACTGGTCCTTATTTTTTGAAACGACAGTGATGCTGTGTTGAAAATATTGTAGTCTTTGAAATCATATTTGCAAAGTTAACTTAGATGTCTAATGGTTGGTCATCTTCCAAAAATATAATTTCTTATAATCTTTTTCTTAATATTATAATTTCTGTCATAGTAAAAATGTATTAAGCTATACACAAAGTATAATATAAATGGACGACGGCCATTTGTTGCTCTTTTTTTTTTTGGATTTCATATTAGTTTTAACACAAATCTTTCTAGATTTGTATCTTTTCACCACATTTCTATGCGAGTAAAATATTGTGACTGGCGGCTGTTACATTAGCGTTGAGGAATATCTTGTTAAAAATCAAACCATTTTGTTTTAGAGAAGGGACGATCAAGGTTGGTGACCATTTATTGGCAGTGGACGGAGTTTCGCTTAATGGCCTGACCCTGGCAGAAGCCGATGCCGTGCTCCGACAATCGGATGGTGCTTGCCGGCTGTCTATTCGATATAAGGTGTCGGCTGCGGAGAGAATCGGCGATACTGTCAATCCCATGATGGTGGAAGTCGAAAGCCCACGACCTCATCAGCTGGGCTTAAGCCTGACCAACACGATCAATAATAGTGCTGTGATCGTCGACCATGTGAAACCCGGCAGCATAGCTGAACGGTAAATCTTACATTGAAAGAATAAATGCCATCCATAGACCTTAAAAGAACTACTGATCGTCGCTCTGGGGTCTGTGACCTGTGTTAATTTGTTAACACAAGTGATACTCGCAAAGAAGAAAAGGTTTTTTTTTTTTAATTATCCCAGACATTAATAATTCTCTACTAGTTTTTCATCTGGGATCACCCTTTTGGCGTTTAGTCCCTCGTCTGTAAACCCATTAAAAATGTACACCACCATATGACGGTATTTAAAAGGTGCACGTGACGCCGATGCATTGGATTATGTTTTTTAAGCCTTACTGGAATGTCATCTGATAGTGCTGTTGCTATTATTATTGTCCTTTCATTAGGTTTTTAATATATTTATTATTGTAAAGGGAGGTAAGTGCCATGTTATCTAACCATTATATTGCTGTATCATATTTTATTTTTATTATTTTAAATGATAGGTTTCTACATCAAAATTAAAATATTGTTTGCGCTAATTCTACCGTTTTTATACTTAAACGCAAGTCTTTTGTTTTTATAATGTTATGCGCATAACGATTCGCCATATATATATTACATAAGCTTTTCCTTTTATTTGCTCCGCAGAAATATGTCTGTCCTGTATTTGCTTCTATAGACATATCAATTATAAATATAATATATGTATACATAATACTTCTATCATAACAAAGTTTATGTTTTAGAATTATTAGTACAGCTTGGGAGTTATACAGTATACTTATGACACAATAACGCCGTCTTAGTACATATATATGTACTAAGGCGATAAGTATATATATATATATATATATATTTAATGGTTAGACTTAGGTGAATAATATTAACTGCCGCCTTAAACTTCTCTCTACACCTAGACGTCTAACGTCCTGTGTACCTTCTTTGAAACGTGTTGTTGTTAGTTTCTTGTATTGTATGGTCGTGTGTTCTCTCAGGTGTGGTGCCATATTCCCGGGAGATCAAATAGTGGCAGTCAACGACACGAGGGTGGCGGGTACCAGGACGGCGGCTAGCGACGTATACAAGCTGTTGAGGATGTGCGGTGGCACTCAGCCCACGCTCAGGTTGGAAATAATACCGGCATACACTTCAGACTTGATTCACGCCGACTGTAAGTGTTTATCTGGGTCAAACGAATCGGCAAAAACCGTCTCCTTTTTCTATTTTTTTTGTTTCTGTTAGACTGTTCGTCGTACGATTTACGCCAAAACATGTATTGCCTGTACGAAGACCCGGTCGAACCGTCCGTATGGGAACCGACGGAATCGCGTAAGACGAGTTTGTTGTCTACAATTCAGTAGACGACAATGCTAAGGCGAATTTCCATTTGTTCACTTATTAAAAATATCACTTACAGACAACGTGGTGCGGACGGACTACACGATACTGACTCTGGTCGCCGACGAAAACGGCAGGTTCGGCATGGACGTCCGGTCGAACAGCTCGGCGTTCGTGGTATGTTCAATTGAACACGGAGGACCCGCAGACCAGTATGCGAGCTTTTTGTTTTGCATTATACACACACACACCGCAATCACGTGTAATAATATAATATATGTTTCTCCAGGACCGGTTGCTTGCAGGTGGGCGACCGCATACTGTCCGTGAACGGTTGCAAGAGCGCCAGTTTCGTGGCCTCGAGCCAGCAACCCTTGCACGAGTTCTTGGGGCCCGAAGTGAAAAACGCCTGCATCAAGGTGGAGTTCGACATTATCGATTTCGTGGTGCCCACGTCCGGCGAATTCACGGTAAAACTGGTGAAGAGCGAAAACCGAAGCCTCGGAATCACAATAACAGGCGAGTTATAAAATATTTAATTTATGCATTAACAGCGGGGTTTATGTAGTTTCTCTATTCATTCATTATGTAGTAACTTAATATAATAGGTATTTGTTCCCATCATTCCCGTATTGCTGGTAGGGGGCTTAGACCTACCCCCCCCCTCTTTTGGGATTAATGTTTAGAGTCTCTATATCCACTTAAAAAGTATTGGCGATCATTTTCATAAAATAATACATATGAAGTTAGTATACGTCTTACATAATAAATAAATGTATACATAAAAGATGGAATTAATGTAATGGTAGAGACGTGCATGTGTTTACCACGCACGCTAGAAGTAAAACTTCAAGTATAGAGGATTAGAGAACATTTATAGGCTGAACTAATAATGAAAAAAAATATATATATATGCATAATTGAACATTTTAAATACATTGTAAAGGTATACTGAGTTAAAAATGTATTTTATTCATAAGTGTCGACTACTTGGTGGTTATAAACGCATGATCAACTCCATCTTAATCTTCCTCTTCATTAATAATAAGGTTATATCTACTTTCTTAAGGTCGTGCTTAAACGGATTTCGTTGTGAAGTTTCACTAGAATAACCGCAAAAATTATAGTAATAATATTAGCATAACACGTGTCTCACGTGTGAATTGATTTGGAAGTCGTTAAGATAAAATACAAGCGTTGTGCAATGACCGCAGAGATATGAAAAATATTTCCTCCTGTCACTTTAGAGTATTACAACTGACTCAACGAATTTGTGTACGTTAATAGATGACGGCAACGGGCACGTGTCTATTTCTGAAATCATTCCCGGGTCGATAGCACATCGGTCGGGGACTTTAAAGACCGGCGACACATTGCTGGCGGTGGATAACAAGTCATTGCACAACTGCACAATGCAAGAGGCAACGGAAATACTTCAGGATGCTGGAGACGTTGTCACTCTACACGTGCAAACGTCAAACGTCGAATTAGGTACTCGCAGATATTTTATTTTAAAATATAGCATTATATCAGTATTATTAAAACTGTTTTATTATTTTCAACGTGTACCTTAGACGATTACGAAAACGACGACGACTTGGTTCAGTACACGGTGGAGTTATACAAGAAGGGAGAACCCTTGGGCATCACCATTACTGGATCTGAGGATTGTCGGTTACCAATTTCCATACAAGAACTTTCTCCAGGTATAATAAATGATATATATATATATATATATATATATATATATATATATAAATATTTATATGTCATTAGATATTATTACATATCCTAAGAAGTTATAGAGCAAGATTATATTATGTGGTATAAACAATCGCGCGATGAGAAAACTAAACTCAGAGTCACTTGTTATTATTGTTGAATAAAAAATCCTAAATCCACAAAAATATTTCACTAACAGCAGAGTGGGCAATATATTCGCCTGGTTAAAGTGAACTTTTTTTGTGGACTCTAGGTTTTTTTTTTTTAAATTAATAAGGCATTTTGACATGGATATGTCTTATGGCTGAGGGTCATTCAGAAAATTTGCCCGTCACGTTTTGTGTAACAGTGCTGACGTCATTATTGATTATGGATGAGTATTGAGGAATTGTGAGATACGGAGGAGGATTATGGAGAGATTATGGAGGAGTATTAAGGAGTTATGGAAGTGAATTAATAGATAAGATATTAGAGATACTAGAATGCAGGACATATCCATGTATTGATGTATCTGCATGCAATTTGGATACTCTTAACTTTTTTACTTGGACTCCGTCTGTAACCATCTGATATTTTATCTCGAAGGTGGCCTAGTTGCCCGTACTGGAGCTATCCACATAGGCGACCGGTTGTTGGCCATCAACGGAACTGATCTGTCCGAAGCACCTTTGTCCACCGCCATTGCGCAATTGCAGAACACCGACGACCGTGTAGTGATCACCGTGTCTCGTCCACAACGGCCGGTGTACACAAGCATTGGGCTGCTGTCGACCGATTCGGCCATCGAATCGGATACCACTCAGTCGGCACCCAACCTGCACGAGCCGACACCCGAAAGGATAGTGCTTCGGCATAGGTCCAACAGTGCTCAGAGGAAAGTGCCGGAGTTCGACAGCGACTATTTTGGAGGCACGCTGAGGCCGTACTACATAAGAGAGCACACGGACTACGACATCGACAGCATATTTAAAATTGCCGAAAACCAGGACAGAGACGGACTTCTGGATTTTGATTTGTTCCAAGTATAAGTACACTGTGTTGTTTGTGAAGTCCGTACAATAATGTTGATATTATATTCGTTCAGGTCACTCTGTTCAAGGACGCCGTATACGAAGACTTCGGATTCAGTATATCGGACGGCTTGTACGAAAGGGGTGTGTTTGTGAATAACATCCGAAAAGGAGGCCCGGCCGACCTGAGCGGCATGTTGAAACGCTACGATCGTATCATACAAGTAATTAATTATATTAGTTTACGCTTTTGTTTCACTTTCAGTGTATATCATGTGCAAATCTTGTTTCACCTCCATCCTATCGGGCAGTCGCTCTGAAATTTGGCCCAGATGTGGATTTTGGATGTAAAGCAACGAGAAAGTTTAACGTTATCTTAGATAGAACGACATCCATTTATCGTCCATCTAGTAAAATGTTATTGATTTATAGGTAAACAACACCAGAACGGATGATTCGGATTGCTGTTTGACTGTGCCGTTAGTTGCATCAGCCGGCGATAGAATAACGTTGACAGTGGAGAGACGCAACAACATGTCAAGAGTGCAGTTTCCTACGGTAAGGTATTTCTGGTATGACAGCACACATTACATACCCAAGTTATAAAGGTGATTAGAACGTGTCATTGTCTTTTGCTGAAAGTTTAAGTCATTAAATGGTCTGTTTTCAGACTAATAAACTACTTTCAACAATTTACATCTTGAAACTCCTTTCCTACTATCTCACCATAAGTCTCAACTATTCGGAAACTTAAAAAATAGTTTTATTTAAGTTTGATTGAACATTATTTAGTTGTTTGTAAACGTTTAAACTGCTAGGCTGTCACATAATATATTGAAAGTTTCAATTTCATTACTAAGCAGCTTTGGATGTCTACAAAATTATGATTAATAATGTAATGTTAAAAATAAAAATTCATAAAAACAGACGTTTGTATTTTTCAGGACTGATTTCAATAACGAGTTGTTACACAATACAAATTGCAATACACAATCAACTATTAACTTTTAAGCTAATTAAATAATATACCTGATAAATAAAAAATACATATTTATATTACTAGAATTATTAAGGTTATTATTAATTGTTTTTTTTTTTTACATTTCACCTTTTCATCTTTGTTAATTTCAAAAATAATTTTTAATTTGTGTATGTGAAGTATAATTTTATTTTATAATTTATAAATATTATACGTATCTAAAAATAAAGAACAAGAATTGTATACCTGTCTACGTAATTAGGTTTAGGTTTCCAAACCGATTACATTTTTTAATGTTAAAGTTTTTTTTCAATCCTTTCTGTTTTACTGATAACATTATATTGGAAATGGGTGCTTTATTGATATTATAATTATTAAGTACCTGATAAATATTATAATACGATCAGCTCATAAGACTTAAATATCATAATAAATACTGGAAAAATAATTAAAAACATATTATTATAATGATCCACGCGGTACACAGTGTATTTACTATGTTTGAAAAACAATGAAATACAAGTAAGTATGTATAAATACAGTAAATACTAAATACATAATATTAAGAATTAAAAGAAAGTCATATATTATTTAGTATTTATACGACTGTCCAGTTTTAATTTTTTAAACGAACCAACTAAACAATCTTATTGTTGCTAATTTGTTTTATCTTAATGAATTGTATACAATCCACTTGAGGCTTTCAACAGCCACAGTCCACGAATTTTCACTTCTTATTTGTACAACGGCGCTTTGAATAGGCAATTCTGATACAAAACTGTATTCACGGTGTGTGGTTACCGTCGTCAGCTATTGTTTTTAAGTTTCGATGCGATTGATTCTTAAATAATGTGTGTTTAAGATTTAACCAGTCCTATTGTGGTACACCAAAATGTACTCTAGCTGTTTGACTATGCATATTCAATAAAAAGAAAACGTCGATTACAAGACGCGTTTCGAACGAAAACAATAAAGTCGGGTGTGGAAGAGTGAAGTGTAAAATCGATCGATGTGTACTCAGATATAAAAAAAAAAAAAAAATTTCAACGTCTCAAAATTCGGGAACCGTCGTTTTTGTTGTACGTGTTCTTTTTGTCTGTTGACGCGCACAAAGCACAAATCACACGCATTCACACTATTATTGACAGACGAACGGCTAACTTAACGAAGTGGAGTGTCTTAGTAAAGTTTTGTGGTATGAATTCCAGCATGAAAACGCCGGCTCTTTTCGGCTGTTTTACATTTCTCGCATTATGCGCTAATAATATATTATCCGGTGCAATGGCGGCAAACAGCGTGCAACAGATGACCGGAGTTCTGGGTCATCCGGCATGGAAGGATTTAAAACCTTTGAAAATCACCGACCGCCATAAACAGATTGAAGTGGAAGAATTACTCAAGAGCGATGCCGAAGGACAGAATTTAGTAACAGCCGAAAACATACACAGGAAAGTCCAGCAAGCCGTGAATTTTCTGAATTGCGATTACGCTCTAATGTTTCTGATTTACGTTGAATACATGGCCAGCATAGGCGACATATGTAATCAGATGACCGGCAAAGATACCGCAGCTACCGATAAACTAGAATGTCTGGAAAAGTTCAGGCGGTTATCCGACGGGAACACGTTGGTTTATCGCATGCGAAGTGCGATTGTTTATTTAAAATCGTTATCTTCACAAGCCGCACAGGTGGACGAATTTTCCAAAATTCTGACAAGCTTCGACTGTGCATACGAGACGACCCCCGACCCTTACTGGGAACAATCAACAACAGCCAGTAATCGGTTTAACTGCTTTGGTTTCTCGGGGGCGGCGGAAGACGTTTTCAAACTCAATACAGGCGGTACGATCAATTTATTAACAAACCTGAAGACAAGGACTGAGGAATTTTTCGGAAACCACTGCCGTCCGAAGTTGCGTTTATTCGAAAGAAACATAGAAAGTTTCACGTATATCTGGGCTAACAACTTGAGCGAACATATTTGCCTCGGTGTAGGCAGCCACGTTAACTGTGTGAACAAAACGTACACCGCGCTCAATAACATGATAAACGATTTCATAGTGTTGGATTACACTCGACTGGGGTTCGCGTTTAATGCACAATCGAACGTTACCGTTTTCAATGAAAATCTCGACACGGGAAACAGAATTAGACAAATCAACAGCATACTGATTTGCGTAGGCTGGTCGAACCATTTGGGTAACTTAAAGATCGTGATGGATGGCCGGCAATACATTATTCAAGATCTACTGGCGATCGATGCCGAAGAGCAGATGGCAAACGAGCAAAACGTGGACAGTAAAATGCGCCTAGTCTACGGATTTATGAGCTGTTATTTCGTTACACAGTTAAAAGAGTTATTGTATTACAGCAAATCCGTGGCACATTTATTCGATCAGGCTAACCCTGTTGACAAGTTGGAGTGTGTCAAATCATTTGTGACAATGACCAAAAATAACGACGCAGTAGTATTGCGCATGAAAAGCGCCCTTATGTATTTTCAACGATTATCACCTCAGACTGGGTTTGGCAAGCATGTTTTGAAAATCATTGACCTCCTCTTGAATTACATAGAAATTATGAATAACCATTTCTTCGGTAGTAGTTATATTTCGAGAAATGCATTGGACGAGACTGTAAATGAAACGATACTTGATGAATTCCTAAGCTATTTGTTAGACGTTGAAAAAGAACTGGACAGCTACACTGCGATGTACTGCGTGTTACCCAATACGCCTACAAGTAATGAGGTTCCCCAAAATTCGCAGAAGGAGATAGAGCAACAACACGATAGAAAAATAAACTCATTTATAGAAACTGTGTTTACAAGTTTAGGTTTAACTATAACCTTCGCTCCACATGCACTACCGTAAGATTGAAGTCGGGAAATTCAGATTAAAACAATAAATATAATGTTTAATATATCTCGGTCTAAGAATATTATTTTATCAAGTACAATAATTATATTTGCACAATTATATTTTCAAATTTAATAATAAATACACTGTTTTAATTTTCAACTACTATTTATGAGTTTAAAATTATTGGTGTGTTAAATTGCTCACGAAGTAATGAAATTATGTTTGTTTGAAAAAAGCATGCGTTATTTTTGCGCCACCCTGTACCTATTAAACTTATACTTTATTTGGTATTAAACGAGACGGACATATTATTATTTCAAAATTAATCTAATAGACTTACGTCGTTTTTAAGTTTCGATGCCAATGATTCTTAAATAATGTGTGTTTAAGACCTGAAAATCAGTCTGAAGATAGGTCTAATGATATAAACTTATAACATGTGTAAAAAATAAAATAAAATCTGTAGGCAACACTTTTTTGTTATAAATTAAAAATAAAGGAAAATGGAAACAGCGGGATCTTGTATTATGAAAACAGTCCTATTGTGGTACACCAAAATGTACTCTAGCTGTTTGACTATGAATATTCTTCTAGTAGGTATTCAATTCTAGATTTCTCCGACGCGTTTCGATCGAAAACATGGAAGTCGGGTCTGGAAGAATGAAATATAAAATCGATCGATGTGTACTCAAATGTCAAAAAATAAAAAATAAGAAAATGTCAGCGTCTCAAAATTCGGGAACCGTCGTTTTTGTTGTACGTGTTCTTTTTGTCTGTTGACGCGCACAAAGCACAAATCACACGCATTCACACTATTATTGACAGACGAACGGCTAACTTAACGAAGTGGAGTGTCTTAGTAAAGTTTTGTGATATGAATTTCAGCATGAAAATGCCAGCTCTTTTCGGCTGTTTTACATTTCTCGCATTATGCGCTAATAATATATTATCCGGTGCAATGGCGGCAAACAGCGTGCAACAGATGACAGGAGTTCTGGGTCATCCGGCATGGAAGGATTTAAAACCTTTGAAAATCATTGGCCGCAATAAACTGATTGAAGTGGAAGAATTACTCAAGAGCGATGCCGAAGGACAGAATTTAGTAACAGCCGAAAACATACACAGGAAAGTCCAGCAAGCCGTGAATTTTCTGAATTGCGATTACGCTCTAATGTTTCTGATTTACGTTGAATACATGGCCAGCATAGGCGACATATGTAATCAGATGACCGGCAATGATACCGCAGCTACCGATAAACGGGAATGTCTGAAAAAGTTCAGGCGGTTATCCGACCGGAAGATGTTGGTTTATCGCATGCAAAGTGCGATTGTTTATTTAAAATCGTTATCTCCAAAACCCATACCGGTCGATGAATTTTCCAAAATTCTGACAAGCTTCGACAGTGCATACGAGACGACGCCCGACCCTTACTGGGAACAACAAAAAACAGCCAGTAATCGGTTTATTTGCTTTGGTTCATCGGGAGAGGTGGAAGACGTTTTCAAACTCAAGACGGTCTGTACGGTAAATTTATTAACAGAATTAAATACAAAGACTAAGGAATTTTTCGGACAACACTGCCGTCCGAAGTTGCGTTTATACGAAAGAAACATAGACATTTCTACGTATACCCGGGCTAACAACTCTCGTGAGCACATTTGTCTCGGTGTAGGCAGCCTCGTCAACTGTGTAAACAAAACGTACACCGCGCTCAATAACATGATAAACGACTTCATAGTGTTGGATTACACTCGACTGGGGTTCGTGTTTAATGCACAATCGAACGTTACCGTTTTCAATGAAAATCCCGACACGGGAAACAGAATTAGACAAATCAACAGCATACTGAGATACGTTGGCTGGTCGAACCATTTGGGCAACTTAAAGATCGTGATGGATGGCCGGCAATACAGTATTCAAGACGTACTGACGACCTATGCCGAAAGGCAATTGGCAAACGAGCAATACGTAGACAGTGTAATGCGTATAGTCTACAGATTTATGAGCTGTTATTTTGTTATACAGTTAAAAGAGTTATTGTATTACAGCAAATCCGTGGCACAATTATTCGATCAGGCGAGCCCTATTGACAAGTTGGAGTGTGTTAAATCATTTGTGACAATGACCAAAAATAACGACGCAGTAGTGTTGCGCATGAAAAGCGCCCTTATGTATTTTCAACGATTATCACCTCAGACTGGGTTTGGCAAGCATGTTTTGAAAATCATTTACCTCCTCCTGAGTTACATAGAAATGATCAATGACAATTACTTCGAGTCGATAGTCTATGAATTCCTAAGCTATTTGTTAGGTGTTGAAAAAGAACTGGACAGCTACACTGCGATGTACTGCGTGTTACCAAATACGCCTACAAGTAATGAGGTTCGCCAAAATTCGCCAAAGGAGATAGAGCAACAACACGATAGAAAAATAAACTCATTTATAACTGTGTTTACAAGTTTAGGTTTAAATATAACCCACGTTCAACCGTTAGAATGAAGTCTGGAAGTTCAGATTAAAACAATAAATATAATTTTTAATGAGATATATTAAATATTATTGTTATTGTTTTAATCTGAATTTCTGATATTCAATATATCTCGGTCATATTATTTTATTAAGTACAATAATTATATTTGCACAAATATATTATTATTAATTATTATATTATTACAATTATATTTTCAACTACCATTTATGAGTTTAGAATTATTGGTGTGTTAAATTGCGCATGAAGTAATCAAATTATGTGTGTTTGAAAAAAGCATGCGTTATTTTTGCGCCATCCTGTACCTATTAAACTTATACTTTATTTGGTATTAAACGAGACGGCAATATTATTATTTAAATATTAAGTCTTGAATCTATAAGACTTATGTTGATTTTTAAACATTATGTCAATATTATAGTTTTTATGTCACGTAAGGCTGCTTGCACACAAGACGATACTTTCGGATGTCGAAAACGGTGTCAGAGTTGGGTGCATTGCATATGCATTGATTTTAATGAACTCGTTGCACACCATCTCCGATCCGATATCGATACAGCAGTCCGATTGATGGCTAGAAGTCGGATCAGTGCATACCCATAACGAAGTTATCAGGCAGCGGCTTTCGATAGTATCGTCGTGTGTGCGTGCGGCCTAATACTGGAAAAATAATTAAAAACATATTATTATAATGATCCACGTGGTACACAATGTATTTACTATGGTTGAAAAACAATAAAATACAAGTATGTATAAATATAGTAAATACATAACATTAAGAATTAAGTGAAAGTCGTATACACTATTTATACGACTGTCCAGGTTTAATTTTTAACAATAAAAAAGAAATTGATACATATAGTATTAGCTTTCCATTGTATATTATTTACAAATAAATACTCAACGATCAATTTCTCCAAACACAACATCCAAGGTTCCTGCAATAGTACATAGGCGAATGAGAAATGTACAAAGTATTTAAATAGCACGCGTTACTTACCAATTATAGCAACTATGTCGGCGAGGAAATGTTTTTTGCCTATTTTGTCTAGAGCGGCGAGATGTGCAAAACCAGGAGCCTTAATTTTACATCTGTACGGTTTGGATGAACCGTCAGAGACTAAATAAACACCAAATTCACCTAAAAAAAAAAAAATAATAAAAATAATAATAGTTTAACTTAATTTCAAAAATATATAAATCTTAAAAATATATTCTACCTTTGGGAGCTTCTATCGCAGTGTACGTAGCACCAGGAGGTACTTGATAACCTTGGGTAAATAATTTGAAATGGTGAATCAATGCCTCCATAGAATTCTGGATAAATAGTTTTAAAATTATTAGTTTACGTACATTTTTATAACAATTGAATAGTATATTTATTACTTTCATTTCCGATCTGGATGGTGTCGTGACTTTCATGTCGTCAGTTTTAATTTCACCAGCAGGCATTTGGTTCAAACACTGTTCGATTATCCTAAGCGATTGTCTCATTTCAGCCACCCGACACAGATATCTAAAATAATGTGATGTAGAACAAAATGTGTACTATCATGCCTAATTTTTATTAATCACACTTACTAACCTGTCGTAACAATCGCCACGAGTTCCAATAGGTACATCAAAGTCCATAAGATGGTACGCATCGTACGGCTGTGTTTTACGCAAATCCCATTTGATTCCAGAACCGCGTAACATAACACCACTTTAAATAACAAACAGTATGTTTAGTTTAAATGGTTTCAAAAGTTTATGTAGACAAGCATTTTAGCACAGGATAGCTTGATTCATAATATTTTGCCATTTGATGATTGATAAGAATAATACAAAATTACCTGAAGCCTAAATTGAGAGCATCTTCGGCGCTTACAATACCAATGTCACGGGTCCTAGCTATCCAAATACCGTTATTAGTAAGCATATCTTCGGTTTCGTCAATTCTTTCTCCAAACTTTGATATAAACTGATAGATGTCATCCATTAAACCGAGAGGAATATCCTGAAAATGTTTAAATTGGGAAATATAGTAACTACTGCAAGACGTTTCTCACTTAGAATATAAATTAACACTAGACAAACTTGAGACACTCCTCCTGGACGAATGTACGCTGCATGCATCCTAGCACCAGAGACACGTTCGTAAAATTCCATCATTTTTTCTCGCTCTTCGAAAAGCCAAAAGAATGGTGTCATAGCGCCAATGTCCAATGCATGCGTACCGACAGCCATGATGTGGTTCAATATGCGTGTGATTTCCGCAAACAGGGCTGTAATATAGCAACAGAAATTTGTTTAAAAAACCTCTTTTAAATATAAAAAATGTCATAATTTATTTACTTCGAATGTATTTAGCTCTAATTGGCACTTCTATATTTAATAATTTTTCAACGGCTAAAGAATAACACTGTTCATTACACATCATGGATACATAATCAAGACGATCAAAGTATGGTAACGCTTGAGTATATGTTTTGTATTCAATCAGTTTTTCCGTGGCCCTATGCAACAGTCCTATGTGTGGATCTGCACGAATGACAACCTAAAAGTGAAAAATGAAACTTTGGTATAGAAACGTACTTCTTTATTTTTAATGCGTCGTTAAGTTTACTTCTCCCGAGAGTTCAAGCACTAATCGGAGCACACCATGAGCAGCTGGATGTTGAGGCCCAAAGTTGATGGTCATATTCTTCACTTCACGTTCTACCGGTTGTATATTACTGTTCCAGGCGACAACCTTCCAATCGCCCGCTTCTTCGGGTACAAACATAACAGGCCGTTCAAACTTTTTCATATCTTCTACGCCTGGGTACCATTTAGATGCGTACCTTACATGTCTATGTAAAAAAATAATTTACAAAGTTTTCTTTATTAATTTCACTAAGTACTTTAGTGTCAAATATATTTGGTGTTGATTATTAAAATGTATACATACTGGTTTGCAGTAAAGTATTTCGACAATACTCCCAAATTGCTTCTCTTCACCAAATTAATGACTGAAGCCATCGTGAAATTAAACTCTTACCGGCTAAATAATTGAATGTATAATATACTTAATTAGGGAAATTTTATTAAATTTCCCTAACGCTAAATGGGAAAGAAAATTGCTCCTTTTTAACTTTTCAATCCTAGTGCAGCTAATCACGTATTGATATTATCATCTGTCTGTAGGTCTTCCATGGAACAAAAACAAACTTTCTCATGGAACACAATTATTAAATTCAGCGGCTGGTGTTGATAAGACCGTTATCAGCGCCTTGCTTATCACAATTAAACTAGTTAGTGGCGGCGACAGTGCAATCTGCATTCTGATTTCTGTGCAATGTGCATAATAAAATAAGTATTAAATGCTTACAAGTTAACGGTTGTTAGTTATAACAAAAATAAAACATAATTATTTAAAAATAGTTTAAACTTATTTATTACTCGCTTGTTTAGCAATATCTTTGTAATGAATACATTAACATTTTCAAAACTAGTTTCTAACATTAAGACGCTGATTTGTAAGTAAAAATGATATACACCTGTACATTATTGATCGAAATGATGTACACATTATACAAAAACATTGTCAATATAGTTTTTCTCCCGAAATTGGGTTGTCGAAAAAATGTTTATCAATATGTATATTATTATTGGTGACACACTCTGATTTTTAACGTGGGTTGTTTCAGGTCACAATCAAGTGCGAAATGCGTCAAAGAAGTCCGGTACGAGCACAGCCAATGTTGGCGGTCGTGTTCGACCTAAGCACAGAGGCATAAGGTACAACGAAGGTCATTGGGTTTCAGCAGGAACCATGTTAGTATTGCAGAGAAACCTGAGATTCCATCCTGGGCTTCATGTAGGTAGTCAATTGTGTGTTAGTTAAACTTATATTACAATTAACTTGATCGAACGGTTGTAGGTGGGATTCGGCCGTAATGGTACACTGTTTGCTTTGGAATCGGGCAGAGTGATGGTAACGTGTGAAAAAATAGATCCCAAATGGGATCACACGTGGATACAGAGAATCTACGCGGGACGACAAGGACAGACAATTTATAAAAAATTCTTTAATATTTTACCAGAACCTCAACATAATAGATTTAAGCTAGTGGATGCAATATAATTTTAATGAAATTTGCTGTGGCATAATATGAGACTATAATTTCCGAGTTGTGTAGAGATTTTTTTTTTTATAAATAGTTGTTAATAAATTGATTTTGCATACTAATTAGTCTCTGGTTATAGTATGAGACAAAAATTGGAGAATTATTTTTTATCATCATAATCAGAACTATGAAAATATAATATACTAAATAACTCGCAAGACATATTATGCTCATAATACTTAGTTGTATATAGTTGTAGAGACTATAATAATTTATTGTTGTTGTTACCCATATATCGTAATCAACAATCCCTCGATGAAGGAAGTCATTATCTACAGATGAAGTTAACCCACTAGTGGCGGTAATTCAATTCGATCTTCTTTTAGTATAATATAAATTTGATATTCATGTTATTTTTAGCTTAAACAAATAGTCCACTATAAAAAAAGTTCTCTTACTAAATTTACGAATGACCTGTATTTACAGTAGATTCTTATTATGTGGAACGTAGATATCTTGAACTTTTTTTTTTGTCCCCATTGAAACTTCCATTACACTCAATAGTTTATTCTTCTTGATAACTCAAACTACTTTTTTTCTCACGGATATTCAGATAGAATGTATTATAAAATTTCAACACTGTAAGGAAAGGTATAGCAACTATTTATAACACAGGAAGGTCATAAAAATGTGTGACTCACAATTGAAATTGAATTGGATATTAAGTAAACGTATCGTTTGAGACATTAACATAATTTAATGCTGAGGATACAATATTGGGCATGCAATATATGTGTAAAAATTATTTATTGCTAAATTTGTATGTGCACATATAATTATTGTGCTCAATAAAATAATATGATAAGACCGAGATAATACATCTCGGTATTTATTGTTAAATTTGAAAATATAATAATAATAATATAGTTGTGCAAGTATAACTATTGTGCTTAATAAAATAATATGATTAGACATAATAATTGTAAATTAATAAGACATATTAAACATCAGAAATTCAGATTAAAACAATAACTATAATAGGTATTTAATATATCTCATTAAATATTATAGTTATTGTTTTAATCTGAATTTCCCGACTTCAATCTTACGGTAGTGCGTGTTGAACGAGGGTTATACTTAAACCGAAACTTGGAAACACAGTTTCTATGAATGATTTTATTTTTCTACCGTGTTGTCCCTCTATGTCTTGCGAATTTTGGCGGACCTCATTACTTGTAGGCGTATTCGGCAACACGCAGTACATCACAGTGTATTTGTCCAGTTCTTCTTCAACACTTAACAAATAGCTTAGGAATTTATCCAGTGGTTCACGTAACATCTTAATACGCGTCGCGTCCAGTAAACTATCCGAGATTCCACTGCTAAAGTACTCGTAGAAATCTATCATTTCTATGTAATTCATGAGGAGGTAAACGATTTTCAAAATATACTTGTCAAAACCGATCCGAGGAGATAATCGCAGAAAATACACAAGGACGTCTTTCATGCGAAATACTACTGCGGCGTTTTTTTTGGCTATTGTCACAAATGATAAAGCACACTCCAACTTGTCAACAGGGTTCGCCTGATCGAATAATTGTGCCACGGATTTGCTGTAAGACAATAGCAGTAGATCTTGAACACCGTATTGCCGGCCATCCATCAAGATCGTTAAGTGACCCAAATTTTGCTTCCAGCCAACGTGACTCGGTATGTCGTTGATTTGCTCAATTCCGTTTCCCGTTTTGGGATTTTCATTGAAAACGGTGACGTTCGATTGTGCATTAAACGCGAACCCCAGTCGAGTGTAATCCAAAACTATGAAATCGTTTATCATGTTATTGAGCGCAGTGTACATTTTGTCCACACCGTTGAAACGGGTGCCTGCATTGCGACGAATATGTTTTTCTAACTCGTTAGCCCAGATATACGTGAAACTTTCTATGTTTCTTTCGGTTAAACTCAACTTCGGACCGCAGTGGTTTTCGAAAAATTCCATAGTGTTTTCTTTTAGGTCGCCTAATAATTTAGACACGTACCGTCCGTCTTGAGGTCGAAAACGGTTTCTTTGTCCGAGGACTCAAGCCCAATATCGGTTGGTCGTTCCCAGAAAGGGTCGGGGGTCGTCTCGTATGCACGGTCGAAGCTTGTCAGAATTTTGGAAAATTCATCGACCGGTGCGGCCTGTGAAGACAACGATTTTAAATAGGCAATCGCACTTTGCATGCGATATACTAACGTCTTACCGTCGGATAACTGCCTGAACATTTTCAGACATTCTCGTTTATCTCGTTCACCTGAGGTCATCCAATTACACTCATAGCCTGTGCTGGCCATGTATTCAACGTAAATCAGAAACATTAGAGCGTAATCGCAATTCAGAAAATTCACGGACTTTCCTGTGTATGTTTTGGGCTGTTACTAAATTCTGTCCTTCGGCATCGCTCTTGAGTAATTCTTCCACTTCAATCCGTGTATGGCGGTCGGTGATTTTCAAAGGTTTTAAATCCTTCCATGCCGGATGACCCAGAACTCCGGTCATCTGTTGCACGCTGTTTGCCGCCATTGCACCGGATAACATATTATTATTATCGCATAATGCGAGAAATGTAAAACAGACGAAAAGAGCCGGCGTTTTCATGCTGGAATTCATATCACAAGACACTCCACTTTGTTGAGTTAGCAGTATGTCTGTCAATAATACTCTGAATGAGTGTGATTTGTGCTTTGTGCGCGTCAACGGACAAAACGAACACGTACAACAAAAACGTCGGGTTATGAGTAAGTAAAATTTCAAGGTTTCCGAATTTTGAGACGTTGACATTACTTTATTTTTTGACATCTGAATACACATTGATAGTTTGTACATTTCATTCTTTCAAACCCGACTGAAGCGTCTTGAAATCGACATTTATCGCATATTTATGTTGTTTTTTCAAAGAAATCCAGTATATTTTGGTGTCCGTTCTCTGAAGCAATTCGGGTTGATTTTTAACAAGTTATTGCTCAATATCATAAATTAATACACAATAGATAGGCAACACTAATGTACAGCTGCCAGCCATAATATTTTACTCGTATAGAAATCGGGTAAAAATAATACAAATACAAGTACAATACGGAAAAAAATGTCATAAGCTCTCAAAATGGCTACAGAGACGTTTATAAAACTGGTTATCGACCAGTCAAAATTTAAAGTACATATTTCTCAATTAAAAAAGTTAATATGAAATGTATGCGTTACCATTTGAGTTTCAAAAAAAACCAAGTCGGGAGGAGGGGTAAACACAGAACATTTTTTTAGAAGTTGAGATCACATAAAAATACATTATGGAAAAAACACTTTACACCACTTATAATTAAGTTGTATAACTTTTACTACTTATTTTTACCTAACCTATTAACCTTTAAAATAAACGGTAAAAGCATCGGGCGTCGTGGCCAACTCTTGAAGTGGAACTCTTACCGGATAAACAATTTAATGTATATTATACTTAATTAGGGAAATTTATTAAAATTTCCCTAACGCTTAATGGAAAAGAGTATTGCTCCTTTTTAACTTTTCAATCCTAATTCCTAGTGCACGATGTCTACTGTCTATGGTTATAACTTGTAAATATTCCTATTATTATATTCATTATTAAATTTAATAATACTATTCTAATTACTAATAACATATTATTTAAATATAGGTGTAATATTAATCTACCTTTGTAGAAAAATATATTTTTCTTGTCATCACAAAATTACATTATCTCTTTTAAAATAGTAATTCGGATTTAATGGATTCAGTTGTTTTTAATATTTTCACAGTTCATTTCTTATTATAAGATTCGTATTATTATATGTAATAATACTGTAAAACAGTAATTTTACAAAAATTAAAAACCATATTGAATCTTTTAATATCCAATATTCTAAAGTAACATAAGACACCAAAAAGATCCAAAGGATTATGTTTACCAAGATTCCATTTATCGACCAATTTGAATGTATTTTTTTATTATTATTATTTATAAAACTTTTACTAAACAGGTAATTCAAACATAACTTTATACGACCATCTAATATTGTTATTTTAGTATTAAACTTTTCCGAAGTGTTTGAAAAACAATAACAAATGTGTATTATTTATTAATACAACTACTGAACTTTTTTTCGACCGGTTATTATCAAAATGTTATCTAAATACACTTGTCACTTACTGCCTACTTTAAAATATGTTTGAAGTGATGATGAGAACCCGAAAAACCGGATTAAAAAAAAACTCCATTTCAGCCACTTTGAAAGTTTTAAAATTATTAAATAACATTACAGTATAAGGCTGTGTACCTAAGTAAAATGTTTTGGAGCAAATTAAAAACAAAACGCATAACTTTGACTATAAATTGATTTCGGATTCAACAAATCCAAAATTCAAAAGCAATATATCTTTTTAGAGTTATTTTTATAATTTTGTCGATTATACTTAAGTTTGTCTAACAACTGTATAGATCACTATCGGAAAGCGCACCTGAACATGGGACGAACATTTAAAAAGTTCACTGCTTCAACTTTTAAAATCGAGTAAAACACCCAAAAAATGTAAATATTTTTCTTACATACCCTTTGAGTGTAGTAGGTAGTAATTTTCTACGATTGTTAATTGTGGCATCTTATTGAAGACACCAAAGGGTTAAAATTAAAATTAGTCCAATTAGTTCCAGTTTCGTGGCAACTTTTAACTATAGTAAGTTTAAGTATTTGGTTTTGTTATATTTTTTATGAGTAGACTACTTTTGAATATTTTTTTATCATATTATATTATTTTAAATTACTGTTATAATAACTAAAAACATATTTAAATATATGCATAATCAGAACCATCATAATATAATATACTAAATAACCTGTAATACATAATATTATGCTTATAATACATATTTTATTATTAGTATAGACTAAAACAATTTATTGTCGTTACCCATTTAACGTGTAATGAACATTAAATGAAAATATTTTCAAATACCTGCTGACTGTTGGTTCACTCACACATAGAAACCTAGAAATTGTCAAAGTGTAATTTTCGTGTGACCTTACGGAACAGGATTAGGCTTATAAAGGCCTAATTTAGAAATAATACAATGTACAGAAAAATAATGAAGTATAGGAGTGAAAATAGGAAAGAACAATTAAAGAGTTACGGCAGAAAAAAATATTCTCCAAAGTGTCTGTACAGATTATTATTTAAGTTTTATAAATGCTTCAATAGAAGCTACAACGAGTCACTAACAAATCGAGTAACTATGTATAATTTATAATATTAAAATTATAAAGAAAATAATGCTCATACGAACAATACAATAATAACAACAAAATTGTGACTACAATAAGTCAACAAGTATTATAATAATAATATTAATAATAATAATGAGTAATTGTAATTACAATAATTAATATATCATGATTTCAACTTTTAAATATTTTTTTTTTATCAAATTTATTACTTACTAAAATAATCCGTTTATAATATATAATATAATGTACTCAACTATAAAAATTATATATAGTTTTACAGCATGGTTTAAATAATATAATCCAAATGTTGAAACAACAGTAATAAATGTAATTTTGGGAATGTTGGTGTTAGGCACTCGCACATATTGGTAAATACGTTTTACAATAGTTTTTTGGACCCAAAAATAGACCTAACAAAATGGGAGAAAATTATAAATTAACAACACTATTATTCCCTTTTTTTCGTTAGAAACAAAATACACGAATACACTTTTACGCTTAATTATTTACTGAGATCTGCGATTAGTTACCACTTAACAGTTAACAATTTTTTGTTTAATTTATACATGCACGGCGTGTATAAACAAAAAGAAAATTATTAACCAAAAATTCATTTTGGTAACAAAATTATCAGATCTACGAGTCAAGTGTGTGGCCGTTAAAAGATTTTCATTCGATTACGTTAAGATGAACCAGTTACGTTTTTTAGGTGGCTCTCAGATTATGAAGTTCGTTTAACGGAAAACTGAAAACAAAGAGATCAAAACAACACTAAAATAACATTAATTTTGTAAAAGTCTTTTTTTATTTCAAAATGTCTCTTCTATATTATATATTCTTAAAAAATGAACACATACTTTTTGTAGGGTAAGAGAGGTTAGGTAATGTTTAAGAAGAGTATAATCAGAATATTTGTTAAGTTTGAAGACATGACGTGCACTCTTTATCCAGGGTGACTGACGTTTAAGTTGGAATTTTATTGTATGAACCATAGACCATAGACTCACTTATTTTTTTGTAAACATTTTAATACACCCAAGCTACGGGCACCCATTGCGGGTCTTTGTGTACGCTATCCATAACCCTTTCTAATTCTTCGATAGTTTCTTCAATGTCTTCATTGACGATGGTGATGTCGAACAGGTGCTCGTAGGCGCGTCGCAACAGTTCCGACTCGTTGGCCAGTTTTTCTAGACTGCCGTCAAACTGAAAACAATTTTTGTTATTAGTACCTATGTATAGGACTGATTTATTTTTTAATTTTACTTACATCGGTGAGCGATCGATGTGGTGGAGCCGCGATGAAAACCACCAATGGCGCAAACTCGGCCGTTCGCAATATTTTTAAAGCTTGAGGTTCGACGTCAAGTATGGCGATCTTGCCATCGTGATGTATCTTCCTGATAGTGTCCAGCTTCGTGCCGTACATGGCATCGTCGTGAGTGCCTATGATACACAATAACAGCGTTAATTAGACACGGTTTTTAAACAGAGGAGTGAATTTGATAAGAGGATAATATTAGAAATATTTTCATGTTTTTTAAAACAGGTGATGTTTTATTAAAGAGGGTAGTCTGTTAATGGGGTAGAAATAGTTCCGTCAAGGCATGACCGGAAAGTTGAAATTATTCGCTTACCGTATTCTAAGTATTCGTGAGCATTGATATCGGTCATCATTTCGTCGTAAGTAACAAAGTAATAGGCGATGCCGTTTTCTTCGCCCGGTTTCAGCGGTCTAGTCGTGTCTACGTTAAGAATAAAACAATAAAAAGGCGTTAAACATCATAAAATCACAAGAGCTCTATTCTAAAAGCAATATTTTTTTTTTAACCGACAGGAATATTAAATATGATCCTAATTTTTTTTACATAATAATTACATACAGTACGGGTTGTGACTGAAGGCCTACACATATTAAAAAGGGTTAATTTTAGAAGAGACATTGGATCATGAATATGTCTTATGGTACTCCTCCAAGTATCAAGTCTCCAAGGTTAGAAGACATTTTCAAGTCAAAAAACCCTACTAACATTATATTAGTTCTAAGCAATCATCTAGATAACTTATTATTCAAGTGAAAGTTATTCGAATAACTTTTTAAACACATCTTTAAACGCATGTTTTTCAAACAACCATAACTTCATTATTTCATGAGCAATTAACCACCTTAATAATTCTAAACTCATACATAGTAGTTGAAAATAAAATAAAAATGATTTATTGTTAAATTTGAAAATATAATTGTAATAACATAGCTATAAACTATTAAACTCAACTTCGGACCGCAGTGGTTTTCGAAAAAGCGCTTAGTCCTAAACCAAAGCCAATAAACCGATTATTGCCTGTGGGTTTTGAAGACAACGATTTTAAATAGTCAATCGCACTTTGCATGCGATATACCAACGTGTTGCCGTCGGATAACCGTCTGAACTTTTCCAGACATTCACGTTTATCTCGTTCACCTGAGGTCGTCCAATTACAATTGTAGCCTATGCGGAACGTGTAATCAGTGTAAATTAGAAACATTAAAGCATAATCGCAATTCAGAAAATTCACGGCTTGCTGGACTTTCTCGTGTATGTTCAAACCGTCTTCGGTGTTTAAAGACTTCCAAAGGTTTTATATCGTACCATCCCGCACACTGTAGAACTCTGGCCTTCTATCTGTTGCAAGCTGTTTGCCGCCATTGCACCGGATAACATATTATTATTAGCGCATAATGCGAGAAATGTAAAACAGACAAAAAGCGTTGGCATTTTTTTACTGAAATTCATATCACAAAACTTTACTAAGACACTCCACTTTGTTGAGTTACCAGTATGTCTGTCTACAATACAGATATCACTATGAATGTGTGTGATTTGTGCTTTGTCCGCGTCGACAGCCAAAAAGAACACGTACAACGAAAACGACGGTTTCCGAATTTTGAGACGTTGACATTTTTTAATTTTTCGACATCTGAATACACATTGATAGTCTTCACATTACATTCTTTCAGATCCGACTTTATTGTTTTCGTTTGAAGCGCGTCTTGAGATCGACGTTTTCTTTTTATTGAATATTCATAGTCAAACAGCTCGAGTACATTTCGGTGTACCCCAATAGGACTGTTTTCGTAATACAAGATACAAGATCACGCTGTTTCCTTTAATTATAGTAAAACATTTTGACTACAGATTTTGTTTTTACACATGTTATAGACATATCATTAGACCTAGCTTCAGACTGACATTCAGCTGTTAAATCTTACACACACATTATTTAACAACCAATCGCATCGAAACTTAAAAACAATAGCTGACGACGGTAACCACACACCGTGTACATAGTTTTGTATCAGAATTGCCTATTCAAAGCGCCGTTGTACAAATAAGAATATAATTTATACGTGAAATCGAGTTTGGTATTATTCGTTTTGTTACTGTCGATAGCCCCAAGTGGATTGTATATAATATTCATTAAGATACTCACGAGCCATGGGATAAGCGTATTTGTCTGGGTGCTTTTGGATGATGGTGTTCTTGATGTGTCTTCGGCCTACACCGTGAGCGCCCAAGAGAACTAACGTTTTGCGTTGGAAAACTAAAGAAAAATACGTCAAAAGAAAATAATATAATGACATTAACACACAAGACGTAGGCGCAAAATAACAAGTTATTAGAATAAACATTTTTTTTTATTTACACGGCAGTTTGACCACTTCTTCGTAGGTGGCCAAGTCGATGTGATCGAATACCGCGTTGTGTTTGGCCAGATACTTGTCCTTGAGTTTCTTTTTGCGGCCAAATATTGAGCAATTTACTGTAACAGAACACCGTTTGCATACTTAGTTTAAAAAAAAAAACAAATCAGTAAAACACATTGCAAGCAAAGTGCGTCTCTACTCGAAAAAGGTTGATTTTTCTTTTCTATTTTTGTATTTACTTTAAAACACTCTAATGCACTAATAATGCTCCGGGCCCGGATAGCATCGACTAGCAAGCATATTATATAATGACAAACTAGGTTGTTTTCGTTTAAAGGGAGACACTATACACTACAAAAAACAATTATGCTTTTTATTATTTTAGGGCAACGACGACCTTACCGGTGGTACCATCACAACCTTCGTGCGACGAGCAACTGGATTCTTTTGGAGCGGCAAAGTTATCGGATAATAAAAAAAAAAAACAAATGGCAAAATGTAAAACACACTAAAGCAATGTTACAATAATATGGTTTAGGTGGTATATCATTATAACGCACACACACACACAAACACAAAATCAACTCAATCGCAATGGTCAGGTCAGGTTTATCCCGGATATTGGTATTATTGTATTGTAAGTACACAAGTTTGAGTGTTTCTCGGTATTACCTTGTTCGTGTTTAGAATTCTCCAAGGCTTTGCATGTGATCCGCCATTCTTGGAGTTCTGGTGAAGGTATAAGACCCGCCGAACCGGTTGGGTTGTTATCTTTGCGCGCCTGCCACCACTGGTGGTCGTCTTTGCTTATGACCTGCAAAAAAAAACCGCATCAACGACCAAAGTTAATTCTCAAACAACACTGTCTGAAATCTATTAGATTTGTCAACATTTTACTTAAATCTATTGTTGTAGGTTTTTAATTTTAGTTTTACTATCTTCCGTACTGTAATACTGTAGAAAATCGCCAATTTCTACCTTTATTTACTACACTCGTGTATTAAACAAATATTATTTCATTCCATACATTTATACGAATATTATCGAGCAAACGACATTATTGTGCCTTAATCATAGAGTAACAATAATATTATAATTTATACTAGCTCGTATGCGATAGTGAAGTGAGCAAAAGGACCAAAAACAGTATGACCACACAAAATAAAAACAAATTGTTGAGCAGTTGGTACTCTGTATGATAAAATACAGATTTTACCCCTTATCTTAAAATGTTATTGTTTTTATTGTTGTTATCATTATTATCTTATCACACAACTATATATAGAACGGTATCTCTCAATTAGAATTATTGTTTTTTTAAATTGTTTTACCCAGATAAATCGCACACAGCGAATACACAATATCATACCTGTAATATGTCACCGATGTTGAATGTGACGCCGGCCTGGGCACACGGTATCAAATCGTCTTGAAGAGGGTCATAGCTGAACTGAGCCCGGACATATATCTATAGGGGAATATATTTTATTATGCGCAATCGAATTAGGAACACACCAGGAAGATGGTACCACAATACTATGATGATAATAATATATGGAAATTCATAAAATTCCAATTGATTTTATATTAATATTTATATATATTTTTTTTTATTGAAATAATAATAAAAGTTACGGTTTAATAATAATAATACTAAAATAATAATAATAATAAAAAAAAAAAAAATAAAAAAAATAATAGAGATAACCATATTATTATAGATAATATTAATATTGTAAATCATAATAGTAATATTAATAAAAATGCATACACAATCGTATTAACTGTGGTTTCGGTAAAAACAAATAAAATTGTTATATTACAATCAAAACAATATCATATTATCATTATTAATGCATATTAAAACACGTGTAAACATAAAATCGGTTAATGTCGGTTAAACGATCGTATTTAAAATTAATCGTTGCAGGTTAATTTTATTTATTCCAATGTTTGATTAGTAAGTTATTTAGAATTTTGATTAGTTATTTATAATATAGCAATTATTCTGCTGAAATTACACGACAGTGCTCTTTAATCTTTATACAGTGTTATCGACAAGGATAGAACGATTATAGGACTCCAACACTACAGATAAAGTTAGTATAGATTAGTAGTGGATACTTACAATCACAGGTAATGGTTTTATCCTGAACAACTATATACAGGTAGGTATTTGCAAAAAAAAAAAAAAACACACACAAGGATTAACAATAATCATTAGTTATTCGGTTATTTTTTGTGGTTAAACTATAATTAAGGTTAGTTATATTAGAAAAAAAAATGTATATACAGTGAAAGTTATCAACTACTTTTCTGACGGAGGCCAAATTTTAAGAAGTCGATGGAAATATTTTCTATAATTAGCTTATTATTAAAATATGTTTGTAGTGATATCATTGCTACAACGGACGATGCCGCCGTTTATCAATAATAATAATAATAATAATAATTTCAAACGAAATAAAATAATATTATGCAGAAAGCCGGTGTCATGTCGTCAATCGACTGATGGTTGATTTTTTAATTTGGCCAACACCGGATAGAGTACACTTGGGCTTACTTGTACCTCGCACGGTGGTGGAGCGCTCCTGTACGACGGCACTATTTTGAAAGTGACAGACCCTCTCGCTTCTCTCTGTAGAAACAAGACAAGATTGAGAAATAGTTTGAATTATATATTAATTTTTAGTATATAACTTTTTAGTTTCTAACTATTCCAAAAAGACCAAAGGGAGGGATCTACCCCCCCCTTCCTTATAAATATGTCACTGCTCTGGGTATGGAAATATTGTTAACATCTTAAAAATAAACTTTTCTTTTTAGGTCGCTCAATAATAATAAAACCGACGATTCTTTTCTTCTTACATATAATTAACTTTAAAGTACACCACCATAATATTCGTGACGACCAATTATTATTATTTAATACACCTCGCGTCCCTCAGAATTACATGTCAAACCATTCAGTTAGTATTTTAACGTCTCTTGGCAATAAATTAACCGATATTTCTCTATTTATATGATTTATATTCTCTCTATTGTTTTTCTACATATAATTATTTTCTATATTGTATAATGTTATAATTTTTGTATCCGTTATTATTTATAGTATATTTGTGTTATTATTATATTGTATTTATGCGTTAGGCATTAGCTAATCATATATTAGCTATATTTATTGGCTTTACATGCGTAAGTATATAGTTTAGCCCAAATAATTTTAATTTGTTTCTAAGCTTAACTAGTGATAACAGCTATTGATAATACTTTTTTACTTATTTCCCCCAAATTCCTGATAATTTAATCTATATATAAAAAAAAATATTTTATAAAATTAAAAAAATTGGGCATTGAAGGGTTGAACAATTTGCATACCTTATCTAAGTTAAACATGTCACTTTATAATTGACTATAACAAATAAATCTGTAGTTGGGTCTAAAAGATTCAACATTTAATCTCATTTTTATACGTTTTGGCAAGTGAGATTTTAACGTTTTTCCTCCATAAAGCTTTGTGTTCAATTGTTTAATGAACATAACAATGCCCATCGGTTTTTTTGTCCCGGGATTGTTATATTTATACATAATAATCAATAAATAGGGTGTTTTAGTTTACATGTTTGTACTGATTTAACTTATTTTTGCCCAAAATGTCAGTTGTCCTATTGGATTATTATTTATATAATTTAGCATATGAATATGATACAATAAAATGATTAAAAAACGCATGGATATAAAATTTAAAAAATTATTTTTTTTATCGTTTTACACGCCTAATATATTATTTTTTAATGATTTATTTTATTTATTCGCGAAAATAAACTACAACGATAAAACATTACAATTTCAACATAATATTATTACTATTTGTAACGATTCGTAATTACAGTTGAAGTTAATTCGATCTTCATGTTTCAGGGTCGGTATCTGAGAAAACTTCACGAGTGTTTATTTTTTAGAAGCCACGCGATTATAAATCGAATAGAGTCGTAAGATTGTCTTTTTTTAGATTTATTTGGCCGTTGTTACCACAATAATAATATTATCCATTATATTGTACTGAAACTCCCAAGACAGGATATCCTCTATCGACTGCAAACCCCCAGCCTGTAGTTCAGACAGCCGGGCTAACGGCCGCGTTAAAGATGGTTTTCCATGGCATTTATGTACTTTTGCGGATATCCGTTTCGAGTAAAGGGTTTTTTTTTTTTTTTTTAAGTAAGTTTTCTGTGCTCACCAAGAGTTTTTGAAGCGCTCCCACCGACTGGTTGGCGACAGTTGTACCGTTGATTTCCCTGATCTCGTCGCCGACATGTAACGTGGCTTGCCTGTGGATCATTCCGCCGTGCATTATCCTTGCCACGAGACATTTGCCGTTTTCGTCCAATTTTAAAGTTATTCCCTGGAAATAATAAAAATAAAAATACTTAATGTGTTTACTTTCCTTAGAATAATAATAAATTATTCAAAGGAAAGAAAATCTTTTTACGCGACCCTGACTAATCTGTATATAATTTGAATAAAGTGTTGCTTTTTTTTTTTTATCAAACCATTGCTCATTTATAAGTCAGTTTCAAATTTGCACCGTTGAGTAATAATATAAAGAGATGAACTAACATACACGTAATATGCTAGCTTGTATGCGATAGTAAAGTAAACAGAAGGACTAAAACCAGTATGACCACACGAAAGAAAAAAAAGTCTTAATTGTTGAACAGTTGGTACTCTATATGATAAAATACGTTTTCGCATCTTATCTTAAAGTACTATTCTTATCTTATCATCACTATATTATATTGAACGGTACATTTGTTTTCTTTTAACTAGGCAGACTGACTTTAGTCCTTGTGTTTGCGTCACATTAAAATTACTATGATTTACACAATCCTACACAAGTAAAATATCTATAAAGATTTAGGATTGAGTAATATACACAAATGCTGTCCTGAGTATATTATTGGCAGGGCGTTTCCATAGCCCAAACACTGAATTTCTATAATATCAATTGTATCAAATAATAGTTAATCATTTAATAATTAATAAATAAAAACATCAATATAAAACCAATACTATTTCAGCTTCGCATCATAATTATAAAAAAAGTAGATTTGTAATTGATCAATCGTTTTACATTTTCGGAGATAATTCTGGAGCAATTTGAGATAGACATTTCTTTATAAAAATAAAAATATTATAAGACTTTAATTTAATTTGCGACATGACACGATTTTAAACCCAGAGGAAGTTTTAACTCTATACCCTCATAATAGGCAATTAGTCTAAAACCATGGCGAATAATGTACTTAAAAAAATATATATACAATTTAGTCTATATTATAACAAAAGCATACGTTGCAGAACCGTGTTCCATTGGCGATATTTCATTTACAGGCCTGCTTTGATTACATTACAACGTGACTTTACATTTTAAAGTACACATTATGTAGTACATTAAATGTTAGTAAATCAATGTTGTGTGTATTTCCATAGTTTTAAAATGTTCTAAACGTTAAAGATTGAGTATTTTATTTGCTAATAAAAAAAGTACGAAATTTGTAAATCTTAATTATTCTGAACCGGCATCCTTATGCCGATGATGCTAGAGGCCATTCTAACAAATATGGTTTTTATATAGTGAATTGGATGGAAAACTTAATGGGCAGCATCATCGGCCATATTAAATTATACTCGATAAAGGGGTTTCCTTAAATAGTTGTCAACGCTGTTAAAAATTGAATGTTTAGAAGGTTAGTAAAAAAAACAAATGTTTTTCTTCCAAGAAGAACTTATAAACACAGAATAACCAGAAGAAACAGCCAATAAGAACTCGAAAAAGGTAGCAAATTCATTCATTGTTGCCGAAACTGATTTCAGACATTTACCGGTTAGGAAGTGAACAGTGTCGCCTGAAATGGTAGTTATCTTCATATTGTCTACACTGATTCTCCTCCCACAGATGTATCACAATCAAATCTATCCTCCATATAAGGAGGACCCGCGGAATTCTGGAAAAATGTCTCTTCTGGCCATTGCGTGTTTTTTATTATTGTGTATCCAGTACCAAGTAGAGAATTTAGCTAAATTTTTTAGTTGTATGTTACCATTGGTTCGTCGGTGTTTTTCTGGAACTGTACCAGTCTGACCCGGGTGACGTTTTCCAATTCAACGTCATCTTCCAGACCGTTTTCACCATCGTCAACGCCGTTGCCATTCAGATAAGGCAAAACCAACGGAGGCGTCACGCGAACCGCTTCCTCGCCGAAAATTTCGTGGCCTGCCACGTCGTGGGTTTGCATTAACGACTGAAACACACAAAACATAAACACAATTTATCATAATTGTTTCATATCTGAGAGGAAATTCCTCTGTTAATTACCACATTGTTATAACCCGTCCAGTTTATTTTTAACCCTAGCGAACGTTAAGTTTTCAAACTTTTTGGGGTTAGTATGACCAACAGTATAGAAGTGTTTCCAACGTTATTAATATTATGCTTATTTAGGATCTGTAGGCTGAAACTTTGTGGAGATGAGGATTTGGAGGTATGCTACCTTCAATAAAAGGTGGGCGCTCCGGGTAAGGTTAGTATTTTCTATTTTAAAAATAACATATATTGTAATTTTAAATAAACACGTTAGTGTGAGACAAAACAAACGAATGTAACAAACTAGTGATGAATAATTTAATAGCATAGTACAGTTTTTTAAATTACTTATTCAATTTCTTGCCTGAGGGTGAACAAAGAAAATATGAGTTTATTACAATTGACATTTTAAACATGTATATTATACCGTTTATAGTTATAATATCAACACTAATAAATTTCTGTAGTGATATTGAATTCAAAATTGATTATTTTAACGAGTCGTGTTAGCTGATATTTTTTATGTGTTTAAATTAAACTATAAAAAAAAACGAAGCTGCTAACCAGAGTAGCCTAACGTAAATATAAGGTAAACCACCCTACAAAAAAGTCATTGGTTAGGACCCTACCTAAAACCCGTACTTGTAGTGTAATATAGGCTTTATATTGGCAAAGCTTTTTTTAATACTAGGACTATTATTATTTCTCAACCGTATATTGTTGTCATTTCAGGATCTATTATTTTGATAATAAAATACAATCAGCAGTATAGTATTCATCCCTTCCCCAAAAAACCCCATTGTAAATCCAATACCTTCTAAAGTCTCGCATCAAAGCTATAATCGGCTAAGCTCAACAACCATTTATCCTCAATGATCGGCATTCTAACGTCTTAAATTTTATCTATTAAACCCTTTTATAAAAACTATAAACTATATATAACATAATATATATATATATACTGTTCTTTGCGTTCAATTCAATTACGTTTACTCGTCTGTATTTCGAGCTTATACATTGCAGTGCACAAAGCTGACTAAGGAAGAAACCAAAATCGAATTCGACGTTTTAAACCAAAAACAGGAATTAAGAGGGAATAATGTATATAATTAATTTTAAAATAATCAGATAGTGTGCATTCAGAGGTCATCGCCAAAAGGGAGAAAGGAATTTATAGTTATCGAGTAAAAGTAGAATAAATATTTAATTTAATATGTTCAATATGTAAATATTTTAGTTGTATTATTTTAACACGGATACGTTGTTGGGCGTTACACTTTCACGTGATAAAAGATAAGTGATAAGATTTAAGTGATAATAGATAAGAGAGAAGTGTGAAGAGAAAACATATTCATGTCATTTTTTTTCCAGTGGAGCAGAGAAAATAACTAAATTATATTTTTTTTGGAAGAACAAATTAATTATAATATTCAAAAATGTTATAGATTATTTATGTTCGTAAATAAAACATGTTTGTCTTTCCGTGAAATCCGCAGAACTACTACAATACATGCACACATATATTATTACTTGAATAATAATATATGTAGCGCGGCAAAAGTTTAACGGGAAACAAAACTTAATTATACTTTATTAAGAGTTATTACATGTTATGATATTATGATAACATCAGTACCGTCGTCGTTTGAAATTGTCTACGTTAGGGTCACTTCGTTCGAGTATGCCAATTGTTAAGTTGTTGTTACTAATTAGCCAGCTGTAAATCATACATTCGAACCGACAGTTTATCCTATTGTTGGTAGAGGCATTTTTGAGTTCTCTGAGGAGTTATACGGTCGCCAGAGAGAACCCGTCAAACAATATAATATGCGATCTGTCATCAACCGCCGAACTACTCTACTTGAATAATATGAGATAAATTACAAATTAGTTCTCGCAAACTCAGTATGGTAAACTGCCCAATGTGTGCCGCGAATTAGTTTCAATACAGCTGATAAATAATAATATAATATAAATCATTATTGTTATTAGCAGAAACGGTGGTGTGGCGTATAACCGTTTTAACGGCGCGGCCTTTATAAACTTAGATACCCGGAAAGCAATTATGTACACAAACAAGATTAATGCTCGAATTTTATAATAAATCATAACGTTATAATATTATGCAGAATAAATTATTATTCTCTTTCGACCCATTGACACGCTGGTTCGTTTAATTTGACTAGACAGACAATACTTGGTACACTCGGGGTTGCTCCACAAAAACGACTATCATCGTTGTATAATATTAATTAGATAACAAGCTCAAAGTATTTGTACTTCAACTTGATAGATTTCTAAGGTCGGTCGCCTAACTCAATTATTGACAATCTAAATTTATATTTAACGCGCGTTTCTTGTTAACAGCTGTGAAAATGTTTAATTTTGCGATTGACAAGTACACCACACCACGCTTGCAAAAAGCTTCCGGCCAGCAATGGTCCAAAAGTTTAACCATTTAGATGAAGTAATATTTTGAAAAAAGCACCTTAGTACTTAGTTATAATTGAACGCCCACAATATTGTATCGACTAGAGTGACTTGTTTAAAAAATATATACATTTTACATAGTAAATCGAAGAGGAAAAAAAAAAGAATTTCTGGTCCACGGAAAAATATTGAATCATGGATATGTTATCTCTTATTAACTATCTGTTATCACTTTTCTCTTATTAGTTATCTATTATCTAATATCAGTTATCTCTTTATCTTATCTCATATATCTTATCAACATATTAACATGAAATCATGTCTCTTAATAACATATTATCCATGTTAAAACCAAAGAACAACCAGTTTACTTGTGGTAAACAGTCAACCGTTTCTATTGGCATATAAATTCCAAAAAATGCGTTTTTAAAAACATATTTCATTATTACAAACGTTTTATATAACTCTAACTTATGTTATTGCGAAGTATTACATTTAATCATTATTACTATTGTATGTGATTTTTACAGCGGAATATAATTTTACATAGAAAAAAGACCGGCGCGATAATAGTTTAAAAGAAAAGTATAACGTAATAAATGCTTTTTGTTTGTTGATCAACCATACGAAAAAGATAAATGGTAACAGCTTCTTCCTCTGTAGTAGGTTGATAAAACTTTTACGAAACAGCAATAGATCACCGTCGGTAGTCGGCAACGTATATTATGTAGGAATAATAAAAATTTATGAAAAATAATAACTTAACCGTCATCAGATAGGAGATAAAACAATATATTATTGTAGCCGTGCGGAATATACAAAAATATAACACAGCTATGGCCATGACAGTAATATAGTATTATACGATTAGATAATACCGACTGCCGTCGAGCCAATTCATATTCATCAGGAACATAAGGGAGAAAACGAGAGTAGGTTGCCACTGCTGCGGTGTCTATTTTTTTTTTTACAGAAAAATGATTTTATATAAAATGTATGTACTACAGCGGAGTGGTTAATATAAATATAATAATATATTATTTATAGTGCGAGTTGTACACAAATTGGATCCATTTTCGTCGAACTTACTTTGGGCGGGACGCGAAAAGAGAATAAAAGTTTTCCAACCACTATATCGCCTGTTGTGCCCTAGGGCACATTCAATTATATTATATAGTAGTACACACACCCCCCATCGTCACACCGACACGGTGAGCGTGCCCATCAATCACACGGTCTTTTCCGCCTCGTGAACCGGCATAAATGAGACCCTCTAGCAGCTGTTAACGTGGTAAACATGAAAAATAACGCACTCCGAATATCAACAGTAATCTAATTAAAAGATAATACCTACGGGTTATAACGAATTGGGTGGGGGGGGGGGTAGTGAAATTCATATGTGAAGTTTGTATATTTTATAGTATGGACAGTGATTTCTTTTCCAAGTTTTTTGTTTTTTTCTTAATCGGATATGTTCATATTATAATATATATAACTAGAGTCAGTATCATCCCACGGGACACCGTTTCGTTTGAATTACCGATATCAGTAATTGCCATGAATTTTCGACAGATGTTTCTGGATATTTTTTACAGGCAGAGCAAACACGGCGTGTACTATGAACGATCAAATGCAACTGTGTTGTATTTTATTTAAAACATTTACTCTTAACAAGTACAAAAAATCATGGCGGCAGCGGTAAAATTTAGTCAATGTGCGCGCTCATATTACAATTATGCAAAGTTTGTATTTTTTACTCTGGAAATAAAACGTATTGTCTTCCTTCACTCGCCTTTGACTTCTGTGGCTACATTAGCACCATAATGTTACATTAAAAAAGGCGAAACAATATATACATAAAATATAATTATTAATAATAAATCCAGGATCGAGGGTCTCGGTGGGCGTATAACGACCGGGGTTGTTTTTTACACACACACACGGAGCGGTTGGCGACTAAGGGATGCGGTTTATAATATTTTTTTTTAAACAAACCACCGCACACGAACCGACAGGTAGGTGAAATTTAATTATAACTCGGCCCCTTTGGAGTATAGACGATAGAAGATAATATAATAGTATACCTTGAGAACCCAATCGGCGTAGGATGTCAGAACTAATTGATGTGGATATTCTAATATGTATATGATCTAAAAATATCAGATCAAATTTTGTAAAATGAACGAGTAAAACGGGGTAAAAATAAAAATATCACTATATATTTTTATTTTCATCACGCCCGTTGGATTCAAATAATACCTTTTTTTTAAAATTAATTCCTAAAAAAAACTATATTTGGATTAGGTTAAAGAGAGTTCATATTGGGGTCAACATTTTTTTATTTTACACTTAGAATCAATTGTAGCGTGACACCGTAGAAATAAAGATTTCGTCTAAATAACTCAATTGACCTAATTAAACGCATAGAAATTATTTTTGCACTCAGTTTCGTTACACAACATTAAATCAAATCGACCAATTGTTTTTTTGTTTTTGATTGTTTGCTTG